TTTTAATTTTACAGACTTTTACAGTATTTCAAAGCTTAAGGCATTTTTCTTTATTTAATTTCAATTCGTGGAAATTATCTGAAAGAAGGACGAGTTGATGTCAAGGCCAGTTTTTCTGTTGTGCAGCTTAATTCTCGGCTTTTGCTTCTCAACCGAAAGTCAAAGCTTTGATCTAAAAATGCAGACCGAGGTGCTCTTTTTTGCAGCCCCGTGAGAGACAAAACGAATTCATTTTGTTAAAACGGAAAGTTTGCGCTGCTAATTGAAAGTGGAGCTGATTAGGCGCCGCTTTTAATTCCGTTTTCGTCTCGGCCAAATCCCAAAATCCCAGCGCGCGCGGTGACGCAAAAGCGACGCGGCCAAATAAAAAGCAGGGATTTCGGGACTTGAGACACGCAAATTGAAACGCAGCCAAGCGCAAATCCCTGAGTTTTCGTGGCGAATCGCTGCGTCCGTCTCTCCTCAAAAGGACAGCGAATGAAAAACAAAAAAGCCTTTCAAACTTAAAACTATATACAAATGTCCGCTGAGACTGAGAGGAAATCTTGGCCTTTTGGCCTCTGATTTTCTATTCCTACAAACGTTGGTTTTCAAATTAATTTAGAACACGACTTAATCTATAATTGAAATAGAGACGACGTGGGGCGGCATTATTGCGTACCTTATAGGTTTTACCACTCTTACCTCTAGCTTTGTTTTATTTTATCTAAGTTTAATATATTGAATGAATTTTAAACAAAATGAATATTCAGAATAATTATTTCAAATATTGAATTGTGATTTCGAAATGGAATTAAAAATTAATTCAATATATTTTACAATTCAAATTTGAAGCTTAATTTTGTTTATTAGAACTTAAATTACGTTTTTGATAGATGGTTTAATTGTTTATTTATTTGAAGGAATTGAATGAATTTCATTAATAAAAATTTAAGTAAAATTCAGAAGAAACTCATTTCCAAAGTTTCAATTTTGAGAAACAATGTTCTTGAGATAATGATTGTTAGGTAAATCTAATCTATACCTTTAGATAAATTTAATTCACACCTTAATTGCAATTAGTGTGAAACATCCTTCCTCTTTATTCTGTGGCGTCTGTTGTTGGTGGGAAACGCGCGCCTTTGATAAATTTTTGGTGTGCCGAAGGGGGTGATCATTCAATTTGCGTTAACGACGCCCCCTGCGCAGCCAACGTCTCATTATATAATTGAGTCGCGGCTGTTGCGAAATAAACCGTAAACTTTGTCGCTGCCAAATTCTCCTCTTCCCCCTGCACTTCTATGTGACGCAATCTTGGTTTCCCTCAAAATTACAAATTTATTAATTTAAAATGATTAAAATGTTTTTAAAATTTAACCTAATAACGAATGATAAAAATTATTTTAAATAGAAAAGGAAAGATCGTCAAGATTAGGCTAAAGTGGGGGAAGGAAAAATTATCTCGTGCTTGTCCTTTATTAATTTTTTCCAGCCGTGGTTCGCGACCCACTTCAGTGAGCAAAATGGAAAAAGCGTCTTTTCGCGGTTTGCTTCGTCGACCGCGTAATTGCAGCGCGTCAAGCCCGATTATTTCGCACTCGCCGCCGTCAACCTCCTTTTAACGGCTCGGCGAACAAATTGCTCTCGTGAACTCGGTTTTTTTCTTCAAAAGGAAATGGAAATTTGTTGCTCATTTCAAAGAAGCGAGCTGAAATATTCCAAAACTCGTGAGTTTTTTTCCTCGGCGGTTTTATTAATATTATTAACACAGGACGAAGTTTAGAAAAGGTAGACGCTTAATTAAAGGCGAGTTTGCAAACGGAGCGGGAAGGAAAGTTGCTGCGAGCGAATTGCAAGTTAAAAACAAGAGGGAATTTGGTGCGTCGCGGCTCATTAATTTAATGTGATGTTCTAAAGGGGAAGGGGTGGATTCGGCCTCCGGGGGCGGCAAACATGAAAACAAGAGTGCCGCAACAACACACATAATTAATTCCATCAAAAATGTTTTCCTCAAAAAGAGGTTGCACCAATAATTCTATCTGGATTTAGGGATAGGGAAAAAAACATATTTTGGGATCATTTTTTAATTGAAAATCGTTAATAAGTTTTGATAAAAAAAGGATAAAGGCACCTGAGGGCAGCAAAATCCTGCACAAAAACTAATAAATTACGCTATTAGGATGATTGAAATTACCAGAAAATTTCGATACTTATTTTGAATAAAATTGAGTAGATTTTATTGTATTCAAAATTGAAGAATTTGAAGGAAATTAAAATAAAAGGTTCCTCATGTTTTCAGCCTGAATTCGGGAATGAATATTTTTTCCCTTCGTGCCGGACTGCAAAGCTTTGAAATGAGAAACTTGACACAGCGTGTGTTTTTTCCCCTCATGGTGCGGAATTTGGAGTGCAGGAGGATGAAAAATTGCGCTCTTGGCGATGAAAGAAAGGTGCATTTTCGCTGGGCGTGAAAAATAGGGCGCGCCGCAGTTCCCAGGTGCTTTTTCGCAATAAAGAGAAAATATTCCGCACTCGGCTCACTACTTATTGTTATTGCGCAAAACCAGGTCACCCAATAATATACAAAACTGCATAAAATTGCAGCCTCTCTTGCGTTTGCATTTGCCAATTTGCAAAACAAATATATTCGGTTGGATTTCGATGCTGCTTTTGATGAGGAGGAATGAAATGCGAAATAATTGCGTCTGGAAAAATCCGTGCTTTTCCACTCGTGCTACGAGAGCAGCTTTCTCTCTTCGCTTCTCTTCTTTGAGATCTATAAAAGAGGATTTCTTTCTTTCCATCAGGCGGATCGTTTCTCTTTGTCAAGAGCGAAAGTAATTTTTCTCCGCCGACCAAAATCAAAACTCGTCGTGATTTCATCTTGAAAGTGTTTCTTTGCAGCGAGACCGAATTTCGCCATCGAGCAGGAGAAAGTTTTGTGGTTTTCCGCGGTGTTTTGTTTCCTTTGCTTGTTGCGCAACCTAATTTGAATTCGTACAAACACAAACGCACACACATTTCGGTACCTTGGGGCTGCGCGCGCGATCTTTGTTCGCTTTCATTTGCAGCCAAATAACTCGCGGCTTCTCGGCAAAACCGAATCCAACGTTCTCAACTTCATTTCACGGCAAACAAACGTCGCAATTGTAAATACATAGGTCATGGCAATTTCCATTAGATTAGATTAGATCAAAATTTATTGCATTAGACATATATATAGTACATCTCCAATTTGCCTTTACAACAGGTCATTATAATAATAATCTTTTCGTTATTTGCAGTATTAATTATTCCATAGTTAAAAACCTTCTTCCTTTTTTGCGTATAGAGTCAAACTCTGCTTACAATTTTAGCAGGAATGAAAAGTGATTTTCATATCCAAAATTATAGAATCTATTTAAAAAAAAACTCCTTTTTAAAAATTAGTTACTAAATGTGGGAAAACTTTATAGCTGTCTGAATTTTTCACCATCTATTGAGGTACATTTGCTGATATTTCCCAAGTTTTTCCTCTTCCACTAGCCTTTGTAGGTGTAAAAGTGAAAGGTGGCGTTTTTTTTGCATTAATTCTCTACTAAATTTGTTCAATTTTCACATTGAGCAGAAAAACTTATTTTTTAACCTTTCCACTTTTGTTACTTTCTTCGCTTTGGATTTAAAGGAAATTTTTTAATACAAAAAGTGTGAAAAATTAAATTCTCCCCAAGTTTTGCATTGAACTTTTTTTCCTCATAAATGATTTCCAGCAAAGCTAGATTGGTAAAAGTTAAAAAAAAGTGACCAAAAAAATTACGATTGTTCAAATCATTCACAATTTTGGGGTTAAAAATTATCCGAATTCAGTTAATTGCAAAGATTTTTAAATCTAATCTAATCGATTGGTGTTAATGTCGCGTTTGTGCAAGAAGTAGAAAAGCATCTTAGGCAATATAGCCGAATTTCTCATTTTTCAACATTTTCGCTTCTACAACTTTTCTCGTTTTGGATTTAGACGAAAATTTGAAGATACAAAATGTAAACAATTAAATTCTCTACAAATTTTGTATTTTACTTTTTCCTCTCAAATAATTTCCAGAAGAGCTAGACCTTAAAAATTAACATAAAAGTGATAAAATTTTGATCATTGCTCAAACAACTGAATTTTTTAGCGCGAAAACGTGTCTCATTTGAATAAATTTGGTAAATTTTTAAAGTTTACTAAATTTCCTATCCATTGGCGTTGCGGTCTCATGACTGTATATAAAATAGAAAAATTACAAAAAAAAAAAACGCTTCCTTTTAAAGGTACTTTTTTACCTAGAAAGGGTGGCGGCAGGAAAGAACCTCTGGAAATTAGAAGATGTTTCTCAATAGATGGTGAAAATTTCAGTCTGGAATTCATTTCTTCATGTTTTATAGGCCAAAATACTTCAAAATTTTGAAACGATGGCAGCCATCTTTGAATTTAGATGGTGCGACGCATGCTTTAATGATGCGTGGCTGCAAATCGGTTCGAGATCTGGCACGTGTGCAAAGCACTTTTGCGAACAAGGGCGCTCTCTCGAATAATTAGGTTGCGAAACTCGGGCCGGCTTTGATCACGCGGGCCCGAAGTTTATCGCTCCGTCCGACGATAAAAATTTATTGATCCGCCCGCTTTTTAATTAAAAGCGAGATTTGCAAAGGCAAAATTTGTTGTTCGACTTCCGCTTGAATTCTTTCATTTCCAGAAATTTTTTTTGATTTGATTGCTTTTTTCTCTCTCCTCAAAACGGCAAAATCAAAATTGTTGTCACAATTTTTTGACTTTTTTTATTATTTTTAAATTTCTGTACTTAAAGATCCGTTCTGATAAAAATCCGAATTTGAATTTGGTTTTTTTGGAGGACATTTAGATTAATTTGCATGTTGGCGGCGCTATCTGTGGCCGTTTGTATTAATAGGATTTGCGAGTTTCGATCTCAATCGGCCCCCATTCATTATTTATTTGCAATTTGCAATCACGGTGAATTAACCTTAACGTGTGTGTTTTGTTGCAGATACGCGGAATTTGTCATGGCGCTGCGGGCCATTAAGGTAAGCCTCTGTAATTTCAACCGTTCCGCATTCGAATTAAAACGAACTTTTCGTAAAAAGCTCGAATCGATTATGAAAGTTTTTAGAATTCTTGAGTTGCTTTTATATTCCTTTGCAGATAGAAACATGCTCCACTTTGCATGGCGAGCAGCAAAGGCCTTTAAGGCCCAATTAGCGAAAACTCTTTGCTCTCGTCGGAAATACAAAAACATTCTTGCCGGCTGCGAATGCGCAACGAAAACACTAATTTGCTGTGTTGCCGGCGAATTTGCCTCTTTTCTTCCGTTCAAAGCATCAAAACGTTTTGTAGCATTTTGTCAGAATCTCCTAAAGAAAGTTTTCCTCGTTCGCAATTTTAATCACGTCATATTTCAAAAGACTAAAAAATTTAGTCAGCAGTTAAGTTTCACAATTAATTTCGGATTAAAACAAACTAATATTAGAATTTACCGGTTGATAAAATTGGCTCTTGAAAGCAATCGAGCTGTTCGAATTTATCGTTTGTAATAATTTCGCAGCGAAATGACGAGAATCATTATTTGAAACCAAAGCATTATTGCGAACGCGCGTTTAATCAACAATGGAAACTCGAACAATAAAAATTTGACAAAGGTCGCGTTTTATGTCATTTTTGCCACATTGGCGCGGGCTATCGATCGGGCAGAGTTTCAAAGCCTCATCAAATCAGCATTAGGGCCTTGTTTGCCTCCGGTTTTAATATCAAAGGACACGCAAATCGCCTCTTCTTTATCGTGAGAGATGATGAAGAGCTCTATTGAAGAAAAAAAACTGTTATTAATTTCAGTTTAAATCAGCCAAAGCTCAGATCAAATTCAAATCTCTTCATTTAAAACCAATTTCAGGAAAGCTACAATGGAATTTTTATAATGTGAAAATCCTGAAATTCAATCATTATTTAAAATTTCAACAGAAATTTCTTCCAATTCAATCCATAAATATTAAGTTGATTTTGAGCAGAAACCTCATTTTTCAACCTTCCCACTTTCATATCTTTTGTCCCTTTGGATTTGGAAGACAATGATAATTACAAAAAGTTTGCGGAATCTAATTTTCTACAACTTTTGTATGAAATTTTTTTCGCTAAAGTGCTTTTCACAAGAGCTGCAGCTTAAAAACCCAATGAAAAAAGTGTCAAAATTTCACCCTTCTTCATCGAATCAAAAGTTTTGGTGCTAAAAATCGTTGAATCGAAGTAAAATTAATGATTGAAGATTTACTTCAAAAAACTAAATATTTTCCATTTTTATTCTCTCCCTGCTTATGCAGATTTTTTTTAGTAATTCTGTTGGAAAATCGAAGGCGAATTATCGGTGTGCGGGGGCGGAAGTGGCGCCGATCAAACGACGAGCAGCTTTTTTGGTCGGTCTTTGGGTCGCGCGCGCGTATCACTTTTTGCCGCTCCTTTGAAATGCGCCGCGCAGAATGCCCTGGAGAGATTCGAAAGGACCTTCTCTTCCGCCTCGGGAAACCGTCAAAGGCGGATTAAAAGCACGCCCGCCGCCGCCGCGATCAACAAACTCGACCCACACACACACGAAATCTGCCTCCTTTTTCACAATTCCCCTGAGCAGAGGAAAAATAAATAACAAAAATCTTGCCTTTTCCACAGAAAAGCTGAATTTATGCAACAATTACATGAATAAACGTTCCAAATATCAAATCGGCGTTCAATTTTTTTCTTGACACTACTTTAAAGAAAACCAAAGTTTGGGCAGAAAAAGAGCAAACTTGTAAATTTATAGGTACTTATGATATCTTTTTCTATTTGCAAGAAAATGAATAATAATCTTTCAAAACTTTCACCTTTCACCTATTTTTTGTTTGTTAAACCAAATTTTTTTCATCTCCTTTCAAAAAAAAGATCAATTTTCCCACTACTATTCTTTGCTGTGGATAAAATAATCCGATTTTTTTACAATTTTTTTTTCAATTCACAAAACTTTGGTTATGAAATATAATTTTCCGCTGGGCTTTGTTAATTCTCTCTCTAAATTTTAGAACAAATTTGAGACTGTTTTATCATTTCAACCCTTCTTATGGTCCAAAATCTTTAACCAGTCAAAAGCAAATTACTAAATTTTGCTCTCCATTGAAGTTAATTTGCATTAATTTTGATCCGGATATTCCACAAATTTCAGCTCTCCTTGTAATTTACTCACACACGTTCGTGCGAGTTGTTTGCTGAAGCTTCTCGTCGGTTTGAATCGGAGGGATTAAATTGGGCTGGAGCAGGAGTCGGAGCGGAAAATTCACTGGTTTGCTTAACTGGCCAACTTCACTCATTACCAGAAGGTCTGATTTCGTTTCAAAAGGCGAATTAACTCGACCTTCTCGTCTTTCAGCGAATTTACCAGAAGGAAAAGTTTGTACCACTTTTTGGAGAATTCCTTGGAAATATTTAATCAAGATTTTTTTTTTTTGTATTGATTTTTGTGAAAAAGCTCGACCTTTTTCCAGCAACAATGGCGGAGCAATTTCTCGTCAAGAGATCATTTTCTGCGTGTTCGGAAACAATGCGGTGCAAACAAAGCCCTAATTTGAGACCTCGGACGGGCCGAAATATGCAAAAAGAACGATTTTCCGTCTCGAACAATCGCGCAGTTCGGGAAGGAATAAAGGATACATTGCGAGCAAACAAAAATAAAAAGCACCTGGCCGGGCCGGGCCATAAAGCAGCGATTTCCTTTTATATGAAACGATGCTTTTCTTGCTCTGCTTATTGAAAACGAGACGAGACCGAGCAAAATGGAAATCGTTCCGCCCAAAAAGGGTCACTCTCGATACAAAATAACTGTGCAAGAAAAAGAAGCAAAGAGGAAAGTTGCTGGAGCACCTGCGGCAACAATGATTGTTACAATTTTTCCTTCTTTTAAAACGAAATATGATTTTTAACTGACTTGAAAGTTTGCAGGAGATGACAAAATCCAAATTTCGAATAAACAAATATCAGGAAATTTCAACTTGAAACATAAATGAAATCTAGATGATTAATAGAAAATATTTTAATTAATAAATAAATTTGCGTTTGAAAGTAAGAATGGGGTCGTTTGGCGAAAAAACTTGGGAGGACGGATCGGAAAAAAAGGATAATCAAACAAATTTAATTGATTTGGCGCCGAGCATTGAATGGCCCTTTGAAAGCCCGTCTCATTCTCATTGTCCAGAACTTTCGCTCCATCAAGATAGGAAAAGCAGCTCCAGTTTCTAAGCAATCATTCCAATTTTAATGCTTGAGTTTTGCTGAAGACAAGACAAGACTCTAAATCGTAACGTGAAATCCGAGCCCAGAGATGATCCTTGCAAATGAACTTCAATAATGTCCAAAAGTGAACTCCGGAGCTCGAATTTTCAACGCACGTTTACTATTTTGTCTGCAACGTTTAAAATGCTACAGATTTGCATTAAAATATTTCCAGGCATCGCAGTTGTTTTTTTTTATTTATTTTTTTTTTAATTAAAAAATTTAGATGCAACAAATGGCTGCTTTTTCATTAACATTCGCTCGGCAGTTGGCAAATAAAATGGAATTTGGAGCTGCACGACGCGCCGTTCAATTTATCGGTGGAGCCAGTCCAGAAATAGACGCACTCTTTTTTGTAAGCATCGTCCGTCCAGAAGGTGCTGTTTTGCCCCAACTCTGAGCCGTCCTGCCAACGAACGTCGTGTTTTTCGCCACTTCCGTAATTCCTCGCCGACACCCACCAATAACTTCCTGGAATCGGATTGATTTTCAGAACAAACAAATCTTTGCAAATTCAAATTCACTTCTTCACCAGGTGTCCTTTTCTTCGCTTCCTCGAAGGTCGCGCTCAGGTCGGTTTCGTCCTTCAGGGTTGCCAGGTGCAGGCCCATCCCCTTGCACTGCTCGTCGGCCTCATTCCAGTTCACCTGCAAAAAATTATCAATTGTAAACTAAAATTTAAACAAAGCAAATCACTCACTATTTTCGTTGGATTAGAAAATAAATAAATCTTTCCGTTGGACAACTGAGAGTGAAATAAGCTGAAATTTTTATTGAATCTCAATTGACTTTGGTCTAAGTAAGTCCAGATTTTTTCTTTATTTTTTAAAACTCACGTGCAATCGGGCATCGATCACTTCTCAGCGTCTGGTTCACCTTGTTTGTCATTTTGAACAGAACTTGCAAAATTAAATATTTTTTTGTGAAAATGCAAACTTTTATGTACAAATTTCATTTCATTTTATTCAGCGGAAAGTGTTTTTAATATATATTTGCTAAACAATATCTTTTATCTGGTTAATCATTGTTATTAAATTTTATTTACTTTTGAAATTAAAATAATCAGCATCAATTGCTGCAAATTTTGTCTTTTTCGTGAAAAATTATTTAACATTATTCAAACCTATTGAAATCGGTCGTTAATTGCGGCGATCCCCTCTTGCAAGTTTCTCACCTGTAATTTTTTACGTTGAAGAATTAATTTGAATTTATTAGTCTAAAAAAAACAACGTAAATATCAAACAAAAGGATAGTGTGATTGAAAAATGTCTGAAAAACTCCTTTGCTCGGAGCACGTGACGTAAAAGTTGATAAATAAAAAGCTTATTTTTTGTAATTGTTGCAATTTAAAATCGTTCTTCTTACTTTGGTTGAGAGGAGGAAGTAGACGAGTAGGGCGGAGGCTAAAACGGCGACTAATTGCAAGTCGATGCTGACAATGAAGGTGATCAACAAGCAACGATATTCCGCTTTCCCCTTTTCAACCCTTTTGGGCATCCTGATTGTGACCGACTTTTCTTTCTGGTCCTCCGAATCAAGTGGCACCTCGTGATAAACGGCCTCGCCTTCCATGTTTGCAGGTCAAGTGAAATTAATTAAACCAAGGAAAAAAAGGGCCAATGTCTAATTTCTTTGGGCTTTTCCGCTGATTAGAGTTAGAAAATAGGAAACAATATCAATGTTTGAAAATCGAGAAACTTCATTCTTAACTATGCGTGCGCATTGTTAACAAAAACACGACGTCAAACTTTATCAAATTGCGTGGAGCAAAGCGCGATTAAAATCAATAAAATCATCTTAGTAAATCTCAAATCGGTCACACATATGTTTATTATATCAATATTTTATTTTCTTCTAAACATGAATTCTTTACTGACGACTAAGATTCACAACTATAGGACTAACCTGGGTGTCAAATGATTGATTGATTTTATAAATATTCGATTGATTTTCCAATTTTTTAATTTTTGCTGCGATTTTCATGCCAAAAGGCTTCAAAAATTGGGGACCGTTCAATAAAAGCCGCCGAAGATAAAAAAAGTTCATTTTCTAAAATAAAAATCACATAACAATTTATCTTGCTTACAAAGTAGGGAAAATGTTGGCCTTTATATTATTGAAAAACCTGTTGTTTCAATTTAAACAGAGCTTTTCCTTTTGTGCGTTTTTATCTCAAAATAATCATGAAGGAAAAGCCGAATATTAATTCACACACCATTAAAATATTAAAAATACGTTTTCTTCATTCGTTTTGATGGGGAAAAAATCATGTAAATTCACTAATTGTGATTTATTTCAACAATTATAATTTACAAATAGCTAAACACTTCAATATATTTGCACAAAAGCAACAATGGGAGTTTTTTTTTGTAATTACCGCTCCAACAATTGAATATTTTGTTGTTTTTTATTGAACTTATGTGATTGGTTGTAAGTCTTAAAAATTAAAAATGAATTGTTTTCAAATAATATGCATTTAATTTAATGAAATCGCTTTTTTTTAATATAGAAACTCGGAAATTATTGAATCGGAAATCATACAAAATTAATTAAAGTAGAATTTCGACAACTTCCAAAAATCATATTGAAGAATTATTTTTTCCGAAAATGTTGCTAAATTGAATAAACAAATGGCTACTTTTTCAGTAACATTGGCTCGGAAGTTCGCAAATAAAATAAATCGTGGAACTGCACGCCCCGCCCTTCAATTTTCCCGTGTCGACATAGACGCAGCCCTTCTTCTTGTCAGCATCGGCCCTCCACAAGGGGCTGTTTTGCTCCAACTCTGAGCCGTCCTGCCAACGAACGTCGTATTTTCCTTCCTTGCCGTAATCTTTGGCTGATAACCACCAATATGACCCTGAAATCAGATTGATCTTTAGAAGGTCACGTCTCAAACCAAGAATCTTTGCAAATTCGGATTCGATTTTCAAAGTGCGCCACTTTTTCTTACTCAGCACGAATTCGTGAAAGGTACGATGCGTTGGCAGGGGTTGACCGATCAAAACCAAATTTGGTGGGCTTATAGATCATGTCGTTGGCTATCCAAACATATATAGTTTTACCCCGATATCTCAAAATTTGCAGGTTTTACGGGACGTTGAAATTTGGGTTTTGAAAAACTTAAAACGGCCGTATCTCGGCTTCCCGTGGCCGTAAAACAAAATTCCGGGTATGGCTGAATTTGTCTTGGCAATTAAGTTCTACAACTTTGCTGTTGGGCACAAAATTCCATGTCAAAGGTCAAGATCAAATTTGGTTTTGATCGGTCAACCCCTGCCAACGCATCGTACCTTTCACGAATTCGTGCTGACTATGTTCCCTTCTCTTTGCTTCTGCCCAGGTCGCGTTCAGGTCGGTTTCGTCCCTGATTGTGGCCAGGGTCAGGCCCATCCCCTTGCACCTTTCCTCAGCCTCATCCCAATTCACCTGCCGAAAATTAACATCGATTTCAGAAAAAAATTAGAACAAAGCAAATCACTTACTCGAGTTTTATTGAAGTAATATTTCTTTCCGTTGGACAACTCGGTCAAATAAGCCGAACCTGCAATTTTTATTCGAGCTCAATTGACTTTCGTGGTCCAGAATTGCAATCAAAAAATTCTTTAATTGAAAAACTCACGCGCAATGGCGCACCCGTAACATGGCAGCGTCTCAATCACCTTTTTTGACATTAGAAACAAATTAATTTAGCTTTTTATGTGCAACTTTAATTTTATTTCATCTACAATGTTTTTGTTAATCATTGGGTTTTATTTTCATGAGCTGGTGACGTCACTGGATAAGGGGAAGACCCTTTTTAATAATTTATGCAATTTAAATTATTAAAATGTCACTTTTTGCCACGTTCTTTAAACATTTTGAGCGGATTGAAAAGAATCTGTTTTATTTCTCTCCAAGGAGGAATTTTTGTTTTCAATATTTCACAAAAATTCAGAGCTCCGTGGATTTTTCTGTTTGAATATCTCAGAAAATGTGTAATATTTTAAAATTTTCGCGCTAAAATATTTACAATTTGTTCAAATAATTTGAAAGCGGTCGTTGTTTGCCTCTTGCAAGTTGCTCATATACAATTTTTGTCGTTTTAATAATATTTTCTGTTTCAATTTTATTTTAATTAATTGATCGTGTTTAAAAAGCTAAGCGATTTACAAATTTCTGAAAATTTCATCCCTAGCTTGAAGCATACTTGACGTAAAAATGTTAGCAAACGAAAAGCTTTTTTACACGATTGTGAAATTCTAAAAGGTTTTTCTTACCTTGGCCGCGAGGAGCAAGTAGACGACAAGGCCGGTGGCCAAAGTCGCGGCTAATTGAAAGCTGAAAAAGCAACGATTTTTCGCCGCATCCACCCTTATCCTGATTGTGACCTTCTGGTCCTCTGGATGAAGCGTCACCTCGTGATAAGCGGCATCAAGCACCATGTTTGCAGCTCGAAATGACCAAGATTTAATTAATTCGATTGTCCCTCGGACTTTTCTGCAAATCTTGAATCGGAAAAAACAATCAAAATGTTCGCAAATCGAGAAACCTTTAATTATATTATTGTTCTGAATTTGGAAGTGAAAAACGAGGCGCTTGAAAATTAGTCTCGCGAGCAACGCACGACCTGCCTCGGCGGTCTCGCGACCCAGAGTCTGCCTTAATTTCTCTCACAATATAAAACAAATATGTGCTCCACAAATATGGATGCACTTTGGATTTCCGGACTTGGCTCACTCTCCAAAGCACGTGACAATGAATGAGCGCGATAAGACGTGGTCACTCCTCAGTATCACAAAACACGCCGGAAAACTTTATCAAGTAATTGAGGAACGAAGCGCGATGAAAATAAACGAAATCACCCACGATAGCTCTTCAAATCGGAATCTCCTCCTATAAAATAAGATGAAACTTTTTTTATACTTTCATGATTTATCAGCTGAAAACCAGGATTATCAAACAACACTTGTTTGCAGTAAAATTGTATGATTTATTTTAATATTTTTTGTGCCAAAATAAATACAAAAAGCCTAAAATCAGAGTATAACAAGCACCTAAATACATAATTATATTCTTAGACAAAAGCAATATTACAAATAATTTAAATCCTGCAGCTTTAACAATTTTGTTGAGTTACGAATCAGGACAATATTTCATAAGAGAACCAGGTGTGATACCATTAAAAAGAGGAACATTAAAAAGAGGAATTTATATTTTTCAATAAGATTTATCAATTCCATTGCATTGACCTCATAAAACGCAAAGATTCAGAAACTGTAAGTTCAGTTTATTTATTTGTTGAAACATCTCGCATGACAGGGATGCGGCAACTGCGGCAAAAAGTTACAACTCACCGGCCACAAAGCGACACACAAGCCGGTTCTATACAAATCACGTGACACATTTTTCTCAGCATACAAGTTACACGCGGAAATTTTAAGTCATTTTCCTAAGGAAATCGGCAACTTTTTGTAAAATAAATATAATATTTGATATCAAACTTTGCCCAGATGGAACATCAGAATTCACACAAATTTTTCACTTAACTTGATTGAAAATTATTAATTATGCCGCCTATTTGTTTAATTGTCTTTAAGCATTTAATTCTGACGCTTCAAGAGAGATTAGGTTCAAAATTTTGAAGTACAGTGAAATTTATTCTCTTGCTTGATAAGGTAAATTTAATAAATAACTACTTAAGAGATGTTGATTCAAAACAATTAAGAACGTTTCAATTGAAAATACTAATTGAAGGACATTGTTAAATTATGAGATTAGTAGGATTGCAAAAGAAGTATTTGGTCCATTTCATAATTAATATTTTAGGAAAATAATACACAAGTAATTGTTTAAATTTTTCAATCAAATAGGCATTAACTTATTAATTGCTTTTAAATTGAATTAAATTAATCTAAGAAGTGGTCAACTCAGCGCGTTTGGCCAACAAAATAATATATTTCCTTATTTTGGCCGTGAGGAGGGAGTAGACGAGAAAGCTCGTGGCTAATTGGATGCTGGAAAACCAATGCTTCTATTCGCATTCTTTGTTTCAACCCTTTTTGACATCCTTGATTGTGACCGAGCCTTCTTTCTAGTCCTCCGAATTGCGAGACCGGCCTCAGCTAAACTAAATGTAATTTGCAAAACTTGAAAAAGTCATCGCGCTGATTCTTTCGCTACAATCAGATGGAAAAAACGATTTGATTAAAGCAGCAATTGGCTATTCTTTCAGTAACATTCGCTCGGCAGTTCGCAAATAAAAAACCTATTGCCCCTGCACGACCTGCCGCTCAATTTTTCGCTCAAGTCAGGGTCAGTGGAGAAAAAGACGCAGCCCCCCGTGAGTTTGTCACCATAGGCCCTCCACAAGGTGCTGTTTTGCTCCAACTCTGAGCCGTCCTGCCAGCGAATGTCGTATTTTCTTTCGTTGCCGTAATTTTTGGCAGATAACCACCAAGGAACGTCTGAAATCAGATTGATTTTCAGAAGATCAAGTCTCGGAACAAGAAACAAATCTAAAAACATGGATTCAATTTTGAAAGTAGTGCTCTGATTTTCTCACCATCCTTTGTTTTCTTTGCTTCTACCCAGGTCGCGTTCAGGTCGGCTTCGTCCCTCGGGGTGGCCAGGTGCAGGCCCATCCTCTTGCACCCTTTGTCAGCCTCAGTCCAATTCCGCTGCCAAAAAGTATCGATTTCAGAGGAAAATGATAACAAAAAATTACTCACGTAAATTGGATCAGAGAAGAAATATTTCTTTCCGTTGGGCAATTGAGTCAAATTAGCTAAACATGCAATTTTATTGAGGCTCAGTTGTGACTTTGTTTCAGAGGCGCGGCTTATTTAAAAACTTACGTGCAATGGCGCATTGGTGACTTATCAGCGTCTCATCCACCTTATTTTGTCATTTAGAACAGAAATTAAATAAGTAATTTGAAGAACATTTAATTGCTAATGAAGGATTTTATTTAATTATCCTACAGTGTTAAAATATATTTTTTGTAAATCAGTGTCTTAAATTTTGTTCAAACCTGTGGAAAATGGTCATTGTTTAAGGCAATTTTCTCTTCCAAGGTGCTCACCTGGAATTTGTTGAGAAAATAATAATTTTTTCCCCATTACAATAATCAATAAGTATCAATTGTGTATAAAGAAAAGACCAAAATAATGCATCATAATATTAGAGCTTCAACTCGGAGCAGGAACTCTTTTAAAATTCATCAAATTTAATTAACATATTAAAAGGTCACCAAGATCAGTTACCATTCGGGATCTGCTAAATATTTTGTGAACAAGACAAAAAAAAAGAACACGTCAAGCGAATCAGTTTCTGTTATTTACGTTTTTCTGTTTTTTTTTCTGCGGGAGGATTAATTTTATTTTATTTTTAACTCGTAAACTTCAAACAAATGAGGAGATAGAGAGAGATCGAGAGATTGAAAAATTTCTGAAAGTTTATACAAAAAATCCCTAGCTCGAAGCAAATAACGTAAGTTGATGAATGAAAAGCTTTAACAATTTACAAAATTCTAATATTTTCTCTCACTTTGGCTTCAAGGAGGAAGTAGACGAGTAGGGCGGAGGCTAAAACGGCCGCTAATAGTAAGACTATGCCGACAATGAAGGTGATCAACAAGCAACGATGTTCCACCTTCTTTGTTTCAACCCTTTTGGGCATCCTGATTGTGACCGACTTTTCTTTCTGGTCCTCCGAATCAAGCGGCACCTCGTGATAAACGGCCTCGCCTTCCATGTTTGCAGGTCGAGTGAAATTAAACGAGGAAAAACGGCCAAGTTTTAATTAATTCGATTGCTGCGCACTTCCGTCGGGCTTTTCCAGATTAGCCTCGGAAATCTCGATTTAGAAAATAATCAATTTTTTAAAAACCGAGAAAGCTTTATTCTTACCACAGCCTTTATCACAAAACATGACGACAAACTTTTTCAAATTCTGAGCAAATCGCGCGATAAAAATAAATAAAATCACCCAACAGAGCTTCCAATCAGCCTTTTTTTCAACACAAATCAAAACTTTGTTGCTTTTTTGTTAAATTTAAAGTCATCAATTCCATTTTTTACATGTTCGTGACGTATTCACTCAAAACAAGGATTACCATCGATCAGTACTAGTTTGGTTTCAAATAATAGGGATTTAGTTTAAAACGAAAAATCAATTCGATTCCATTTCAAAATAAAAATACCAAAAATTTCTGTTTCTTTAGTTGATATTATGCCCTTCCATAAATTACTTTCATTTGAATAAAAACCTTCAAAATTGCAATCAGAAATGAAATTTAAATATATAAAAATAACTTAATTTTTAATCTTCTTTACACACATGAGATATGAAAACAATCAATCTGTTGACAAAAGCGTATTTTTGAAGAAACAAAACCGCAAGTTGGTTTGAAGAAAAAAGAAAATTGCGAAAAATGATTGTTGTCGTGAGCGAGTCTGTGAATTTATAATCGTGGGTGAGAAAACTGCACGTTTGGGCCACTTTTGCAAGTGCAGATAATGAAAGTTTAATTAATGCGGCCAAATCAAACCAAACAAAGCGAATCAGAACTAAATCCCACCTCAAATTGACACGAAGACCGACTTTTCTATTTGAAGAAAACAGACATCATAATAATTTCAATGAGATTCAAAATTATTATTTATAAGCTCAATTTTATCATCTCTATTTTCCAACAAAATTTTAAATGATTCCCTTCCCATTGTTGATATATTTTCCTTTCCTATGAAAATGGAATCAGGAATTAATTATATAGTTTGGTCCTTTGTGCGGGATTTTCTCTTCCTTTGGTGGAAAAAAGAGCATTTTCGATTGCTTGACTGCCTCAAGCTTTTCCTTATTTTGGACCTTTTATCAATTTTGTCTTGATTTTGGCACCAGGAAAACAGAAGATATGCAAAATTGTGTGTTGATTCAAACAAGTAAAGACAATAGTAGTGCGTGTTCGGGCCGAGTGCAATTTTCAGCACGAATGCTGCTCAGATTAAAATCAATTTCATTCTGAACATTCAATGAGGAAGTAAAAATTAATGGCCCGGCAGCGATTTATCCACTCAAATTATATACCAAAACTTGAAACAGGAAAATAGACGGCATGTAAGGTCAAAAATAATGGAAGAGCCAACTTTCCATTTGAAATAATCAAGCACATAAAAATTCTAACTAATACAATTTAATTATTCCAGCTGATTTCAGTTATTTAAAATGGTATAAATTATTTCAAAACTCTAATTAAAATTTATTTACCAAATTACAATATTTATTAATTCATTTCCATTTTTACACATTCACCAAAAATCTACTTAAGAAGAGAAACTTTGTGTTTAATCAATCACATGAGGGCAGTTGAGAATTTTGCCCAAAAACTGCTTCATTCATTTGTAAGGTCAAGTTGCTAAAATCTGAAAAGGTCACAAAATAAAACAGCAAAATGTCTTTTGCTAAAAGTGGAGGGGAAGTTGGCTGAGAATTTCAGCGTCGCCGCTGCGGAGAACTTCCTCGATCAGAGCTTCCAGGTCGTCAAAGCCTGTCCCTGGAGCGTCCAGGTGACCTTGCCCGGGGTCACTCTGGAAGGGAGGCGTGGGGTCAAAGCGCCAACAGGAAGTAGTGGTCGTTTCCTGCGCCTCCCCCCACGGCAACACCTGCCCTGACCCGTCTTCCTCCTGGTAATCCTCGGTTATCACTGCAAAAAATTATATTTCGTAAGATAAAAAAGTCAAAATTGGACACGTAAAGCTATGTACAGACAGGTTCGATCCATTCTAAGTTCCAATTTGGATAAATTAATTTGTTTATATTTGACGAATCTGAATTTTCTGGTCAGATTTCTAAAATTTTGATAAGAAGAAGTGATTTTTTTTAAAATTACTATCAGTAAATTTATTCTGAATTAAAACAAAAGTTTCTTCATAATATTGTAAGTAAAAAAACTCAAAATTTAAGCATCTTTTTATATTTACAATCTATTGGTGCAGAAAAAATAAAAATATTTACAAAATTTATAAATTTCAATGTTGAAAAAAGTAAGTAAAACTTATACTCATCTCAAATCATCAAAAGATTAGCATTTTTAAATTTAAACGGCAAGAGCTATTTTGAAACCACATCTCGTCCTGAACTTTCCCATTTTTCTTATTATTATAATTTTTATTTGCCAACCTGTGGAGGAGAGAGAGACGATGGTGTCGAGTCCCAGCTGGGAATAGTTTGCACCTGCGTCCGGGTGTCCCATCGTCCAGGCGTTGTCCGCCTCCAACTTGAGAGGCTCCCTCTGCCTCCAGTGACCAAAGTCTGACCCTGGCGAGGTCAAACACCACTCCTCGAAATTCACTCCTGAAAAGAAAGAAAATTAGAATCAAATTTACAATTGAGAAGGGTTCAATCGAGACCTTGGGATTGCTGACTCAGGTACGGAGCGATTTCGTTGATCGGAGGCAAATCAATGCTGCTGCTGCTGCCGCACTCCTCCTCTACCTCAGTCAAATCACTCGATTCTAGATTGTGGAAAGCAAGATTAATTAGTAATAAAAAATGGAAAACAATTGTTCTGTCAAATTTGAAACTGCAGAAATTTCTCTGAGACATTCAGGTAATTTCTGAGGTTTTCTTTGTCAGCTCAAAACAGAACCTTTGATAGGTTGCTCTTTATTTCTTATTTAATAAAAATTGTTGCTCTAATGATACAAATAAAATGCATAAAAAAGGGTCAATTGTAAAGAATTTTAATTTACGAGTTGATTTAGCATTTAAGGAAAACAAATCGGAGAATAGTTATTTTGAGTTCAATTTGACCATGACAGATGAGAAAAATTTTAGAAAATTTAATTATTTGAATAAAATAACCATTCTTCCAGCTACAATTTTAAAGCCAAGCCTCATTCAATCAGGAAAATTTGTATTTTCTTTAGAAATCCATGAAAATTCCTTTTATATCTGTGCAGAAATTTGGCAAAACCCTTTCAAAGGTAAATTTAAACCTGGCGAAATTGCAATAATTCATTTTTTTTTAAGTAAATTATCTTTTGCACCTGTGTCGGCGTCCTCGATTGCCAGGGGTGGGAGTTGGAGGGTAGTTTTGTAGCTCTGCATCTCGAGGGTGATGGCCAGGGACTGCCTCCACTTGAGGCAGCCGAAGGTGGCCGAGAACGGATTGAAGAGGACGTCACCTGGCACGGGGCCTCGAAAGGGCAGCAACGCCCCCTCGCTGCTGTCCAAGTCACACTCCCTTTCCTTGGCCAGGGTTGCACCTGAGCCTGGCAGGGCGACGGTCAAAGGGTGGCTTTCGCCAGGGTCGGAGGCCGTCAGAGGTGACGAAGGAACCTCCTCAGGGTCGGGGACGTACTCGTCGTCCGACTCGTCCAGCCGCAGCATAAAGTCCTCCTCAGGGTCATCAGAATCCTCCGAAGGTGGGCAAGTAGTTGCCTGCAGTTCATCAGGGCTCGAAGGCGGTTTCTCCTCCTTAGAGTTGAGAGAAAAAATTATAAATTTAAATTTAAAAAAAAAATCCGTACCTTGGGCTTGCAAGTGGCGAAGGGTCTTTTGGCCAGGGTGCGGTTCCTGAGGCGGAGGCAGTTGATGTCGGACCCTTTGACAGGTGGCGCCGGCGTTTCCTCCCTTTTCTTGGCAGGCCCGCGGGGCTTCTTGCTTGTTTTTCTAGGTCTTTTTGGGCGGGGCTTGCGACTCTTCCTGGGTCGGCGACCGGCCCTGGCCGACGCGTCCCTGATCAGGTCCTGCAGGCGTTTCAGTTTGGCCGCCCTGGCCTCGTACTCGTGGCGCTCGGCGTCGGTCAGGTCGGACCAGAGGAGGATGTCGCCGCCGTGGTGGTGCCCCTGGTTGTTGGTGCCGCGCTCGTGCAGGAACAGTCGGTAGCCGCACGGCGCCTGCTTGTCCAGACGAAACGTCTGCAAACACGCCAAGGGTCACAAAATACAAAAAAGACCTTTGAGGAACAAAAACTCACCTTGGAGAAGAGGAGCTCCTCATACTCGACGCACGCCTCGAGCAGCTCGTCCGACCGCAGCCGCTGCAGCTCGCCCAGGACGCCGTCCACGTCCAAGGTCATCAGCTCGCTCCTCGCCTTCTTCTTGCGCGGCCCCATGCTCAGGGTCTCAGGTCTCAGGACGCCGGTTATTCGCAGGGTTCGAATTCAACAAAGGACGCGCTAATCTCCCGGCGTCGCAGCAAAGTCTGACAAGATTGGCGGCAGTTTTCTTTCAGGAGATGAAAATGATCAAAATTGTGCAGTTGCAAACAAGTCGAAACGTGCGAAATCCGTTTCTCCTCCACCCCCCTCCCCCGCCCGCCCGCCGCTCTCGTTTGACGCTCGTTTTTCTTCCTCCGCACATCACACGGCGGCGATCACGTGACCCCTTATTTCCTCCAATTTCCTCAATCCACGTATTCCGTTGCCGAATCCATTCCTCTTTTCTTTTGTCTGTTCAGTCTGTTGAGACTGAGATGCCGGCCGAGCCACAAAATAAAAGAAAAACATCAAAACAAGCCGCGCAAGAGTGTGTTTGTTTGCTACACTCTTAATAGAACCACATCATTTTGGCTTTCCATAGTAAGATATTTTACAAAGTTTTTTAAATTATTGAGTAATTTTTGATCGAAATTAAGGGCTAATTGTTTTCCTCTTGGAATTAATTAATTACGACTCATAATTGATTCAATACCAAGAATTAAAATTTAATTTAATTTTTAAATTTTATGATTTATGACTGTTGTGGCTTAAAAAGGATAAAACCACATCTGAGCAGCAAAAATTTAGCAAATATCCGACATAAAAAGTAAAAGTTTCGGCCAGAAGGACAAATTTGATTGAACATCAGCTCGTTAATTTTTGTGAAAAATTTAATCGAAGGTTTTGAAAAACGGGTTTTTTCCATCATTTTTCTCGTTTCCAAGAATATCAAACTACTTTTTGAGCACTTATTGCATGCTTTTTTTTTTTTTATTAAAATTTGATATTTGGTTCTAATTGAAATACCCAAATCATTCTAATGAAAGTGTTAATTGTTGTCAAATTCCGAGATTAAAAACAGGGGTTTTCTCAAACTGCTGCCAAATTAATTGGAGCTGTAGATTTGAGCTCATTAAAACAGCAGCTTTTCTTAATGCTTCACCAATAATTTATAAAAATTTAAAGCGAGAGCTCTTTTTGAAAAAATTATTGATTTAAAAATAGTTTTCAAAATCTCAAAATGATCTGTTCGGATGAGTTAAAAACTAGCAAAATGAGGTTTTTCTACATCTTTTCAATATATTTTGTAATCAAACCATCGTATTTTAATGACTTCCATTCAAAATTGATGGATTTGAAGATACTCAGTAGATTCTGTTTTATCTATTTTAATTTTATTTAAATTACAAAAATTGTTTTCTTAATTAATTAAAATTGAATTGAAGGTGAATAAAATTTGGTATCGAAATGAAGATTAATTCGACTGACAAAATTAATAATCGAGTTGTGTGTTTTTGTTTTTGTTGCAGATGTGCGGGGGGCAGTAGGGAGGGGGGCAAGGTGGGATCGTCGGCGGAGAACCAGAGCGTGCCGTGGATGGCGGACCACGGCGAACGCATCCGGCTGGTGATGCTGGGCGGCGCCGGCGTCGGCAAGAGTTGCATCGTCAAGCGATTCCTCTTCGGCACCTTCTGCGACCGCTACAAGTCCACCGTCGAGGACCTCTACTACCGCGAGTACGACCTCGGCTCCGTCACCCTCAAGGTACAAAATAAAATTTACATTTCACTCTCAACTTGATCAATTTTTCGTTGGGAATTTTTTAATATTTCACGATTTCCTATAAAAAAAATTGTTTTATTATAACAATCACTTATAATTGCTGTTTCTTTTTACTTCATTGAAATCTACACTTTTCTGGTTCGAGTAAATAAAAATAATCAAATTTCGCCAAAATGCAGGAAACAAATTTGAATTTGAAACGAGTGCGATTCTAGTTGCTGAGCTTGGAATTAAATATTGTAATTGCTTTCGCAGAAAGAGCAAAACTCGCGCTGCGTCTGGCGTTTATTCCACTCAAGGGTTAATTTGCAGAGCTGCTCAAAGTGAAACTCGCCTCAAAAGCACCGTCGACGACGACATGCAAATACAACCAAAGTGCGCGTCTAGCTTTTTTTTTACTTCATGAGACCTGGAATTTTTTACAAACTTTTGCCTCTATACTTTCTTAATTATGCTTTTATTGTTGGTCCGTCTTTTGGGCCAGAAACTAAAATCAATTTTCATTCCCTCGATTAACTTGCACAAAAGCCTTCGTTTTTTTTCTTATTAAGGTGAAAGTTGTGCGGTGAAATACCTTATATATTCTGATTAGCTACTGACGGTTGGGTGAAAACTTTGCCGCACTAGAAGAGTTTTTTTTTCATCCACGCTAATTAACCTTTTGCTCGGACGAAATTTCCCTGCTCGCAAAGAAAACCAAATTAAATTTAATAATTTAATGAAAACTTGGCGCCTGAATATTCCATTTTTCTTTCTTTCTCAAGAACAAAAGCAACTTTTTCCAGTCCGGCCATGAATTCTCTTTTCACCTCAACTCTGGTATTATTTTAAAAACTGGGAATTCTATACAAGTAAAAAATCCCAATAGAAAAATTATCTACCAAATAAATATTCATTGGATGCGCAATTTCTTGGCTTAAATTTTGCGTAATGCGTTGAAAAAGTCGGAAAACCGGTGGAATTGCAATTTTTTAAGGGAAACTTTGCCGTCAGTAGAAACTTTTGTCAAAATATGCTTCTGAAATATTTGTTCCAAATCTTTTCTCTTCCAAGCATATCAAAACATTATTTCGATGATTAAGAAAATGAACTTTTCATTTGCAACTTCAGTTTTGAAAAGAAAAAACGGTTTGATGAAACTGGCAGGAAATATTTCAAAATCCAATTTGGTGCATCAGAAATTAAGAAAAAAAGTTGCTTATCTTTTCAGTAATCAAATGAAGACGAGGATCACAATTTCATTTTGCACTCCTTCATTGAAAAGAGGTCGTCGAAAATTAAAATTTATGCAATCCGCTAAGCTACAATCACGATTCAGTCTTTGCGGATATGAAATAAATGAAATAATAATAAAAAAATCATGAGCCTATAATTTTGAAATTGAGTCAATCTAATTTTTTTTTAATTCTGAGAACATTAAAATTTAGAAACATCATCATATATATAAAAAAAATAAAATAAAAATATTCAAATTTTAGAAGGGAAAAAAATTAAGTTACCTTAAAATGAAGATTGAAATGCTGAAAATTAATTGGAATTTTTCATGTTCAAACTGTTTTTCCGTTAATGTGAAAGGTTTGACTGTCGGTAAGAAAAACGTCACGTGAAAAAAGGTTTTTATGGAAATGAATAGATCGGGCTTTTTCCTCGTTGCAGACAAAGCCCGATCTCTTGATTTCCATGATCATCTCCTTCGAGCGTCAACTTCTTCAAAGTTAATGTTTTGTGTGCAGGTGGACATGCTGGACACGTCAGGCGAGCTGCAGTTCCCGGCGATGCGGCGGCTGTGCATCGCGACGGCGCACGCCTTCCTGCTCGTCTACTCGGTCACGTGTCCGGGCTCGCTCGAGTGCGTGAAGCGGTGCCTGGACGAGGTGCGCGAGCAGCGCGCAGACTTCCAGGACATCCCCATCGTGGTCGCCGGCAACAAGATCGACATGCCCGCCGTGCACCGCGAGGTCCGCGTCGACGACGTCACCGAATGGCTCTACTGCGAAATGCCCAAGCTCAGGTACAAAATTATACCAACTTTAAATCCAATCTAGTAATATTTTCTAAAATAAGCCACATTTAATAATATCGAAAACGATTAATTTTGTGTTTACCTTAATTTCATTAATTAAATTGGTGTAAATTCCTGTAAATTTTTACATGAAAATTGGAAAGTATTGTTGGAAAATAAGAATATTATTGGACTCGGAATATTTATGAAAACTTTGAAGATCATCTCATTAAATTTTGTGCAAAATAAGGGTTGAAAATAATTAATTAATTAATCAAGGATCGGTCCTTACCGTCTTCTAGGTGCTTTCAAAACCATGTTTGTAAAAATGTTATTTATAGTTTTACCCTAAAATCTCACAATTTAACAGGACGTATAAAATTAATTTTTTTTAAATTTCAAACAAATGCAGCTCAGGTTGCCGTTGTCCTAGAAAAAAAATCCGGGTGTGGTTGAACTCGTCTTGTCACCCTCTACAACTATACTGTTGGGTAAAAAAATTGTGGGTCACTGGTCAAGGTCACTTTTGTTGACCTCATGACCTTTGACCTCAAATTTAACAGTACCGTCAATTTATTTAACATTCTGAAATAGCCATTATTAGAGCGTAAAATTTTACATTAGAAGTGCACTTAAAAAAAGTGGTATTTGTCACAGTTTTTTATTTGAAAAATAAGAAACGCAAAAAACGTGGTTTTCCAAGCTCTTGAGGTTCAAAAATAACTTTGAGCCTCCGTAACGTTTTTCCTGTTACTTTTAGAACAACACGTGTAATGACAAAAAGTAATCCCCTTGACTTGTTCTTTCTAACCACGGGTTCCACATAGTGACCGGGTCACAAAAGGTCATTGACCCTGGTGACCTTTGACCTTACCACAATATATTTTGTAAGTTTGACACATGGTCTAAGAGGGCTCATCGAGAGGCACATTTCGGTACCTGGAACTTTGGAATAGGAGTAGAGTTATCTCATTTTTTCATGGTCAGAAATGAAGGATAATAATTAATCTTATTTTAATTGCTATAGCTCTGCTCCTTGTTTAGCCATAAAAGCAGTGCATCGTTGCAAAGTTGAGGTCACGCGAAATCGATTAGTGACCAAAAAAGTCAAGGTCAGTGCAGTATTTCTTGAGAAAACTTGATTTAAAAGAATGGAGCGTTCTCATTGGTCCGAAGACTTCCCCCACCACCAAATTCAAGTTGGCTTTAAAATATAATGTGTGACACATAATTAGAAAGCTCAGATCACCAGGAATCGAATGGTGACCGAAAAAGTAGAGGTCACCGCTCAAAATTTAGGAACAATTTCAACGAATTTGAATAATAACGAACAAAATAATTGTTGGCAGGGTGAAGGTGATGGAGTGCTCGGCGAAGGAGGACCGGAACATCAAGGACGTGTTCCGCAGCTACCTGAGCCTGTCCAAGATCCTGCCGGAGGCGAGCGAGGGAAGCGGCGCGGGGGCCGGGGGGTCCTCCGGGGGCGGCCTGAAGCGGCGTTCGAGCGCGTACGTGAGCAACAAGGGGAGTCGGCGGTCGGCGAGTCCGGCCGTGTCGGGGGCCGAGGCGGAGGCGTCGGGGTCGGCGGGCCCCGCCGCCGAGCCCACGGGCCTCAGCCGCTTCAAGCCGCGCAGCCGCTCGCTGATCCGCCGCTCCAGCCGCAAGGCCAAGCAGCAGATGCGCGACGCCAACGACGACTGCCACGTCTCCTAAGAAGATTAATTCATCAAGGTTTTACACACAACGCGAATCCATGTTTCACCAAAACTATACATAATAATGTACGTGTGCCCCCCTCCCCCACCCACCCCTATTTTTACTCGGCCAGGCAGAGCGACCAGACGCGGAGAACAGGGTAGGCAGGGTCCCTTAATTCCCTACCAACACATTTCTTTTTTTACCAAAAAGTGTCCGGTTGCTTGCATTGTTAAAAAAAACTATAGACAGTGATTTGGGAAAATGCATCATTTACCTGTTTGATTGTTGGTGTTATTCGGAGTTGATTGTTGCAAAATTTATACGAAAATTTATATTGATTCGTGAGAAAATGAACATATTTAGGAAGGCATTTTTTGAAGGAGATCTGGAAACTTTAAACTTGCTTATAACAAAATTTTCAAATTTAATACCTCGTCAAATTTGAAAAAATCTAGTAACTTTCTTGGAACTATTACATAAATTTAGAAAACTCTTTATTAATTTTAATATTAAATTTCTTATGAAAAATAAGGAAATTTGAATAAAAATTGTTTGTAATTTATTTAATTTTTTTAACAAAATCCGTATCAAATCGGCACCGCGAATCGGCGCCGCACATGGGTGGAGAACGAGTGCAAGCTTTAAAAAAAAAGATTTTAAATTTTTTTCGTAAAAAAAGTTTAAAAAAAAAAAACTATAATCCTGCTTCGAATGTAGAGATTTGTTATGAAAAAATGAATTTAGTTTTTACTTGAATTTTAGAAAAGCGTCACTTTTGTGTTTTCCGTTGTGTTTTGAACAAATTCCTTATTTCTCCATTTTCGCCGTGATGCTCGCGGGAAGTTGGAAAGCGAAAGCCAGGTGAGCACTTTTGTGCTTGCTGAATAATTTTGGCAATTTAGGCGGCGGCGCCCTCAGCCCTCTTCACATTTCTCACCCTCCCTCGAGAGCGCGTGTTTTTCTGTTTTTCCGAGGCTGCAGAAACTCGTCCGTCGCTTTCTCTCTCATGAATTAAGTAACAAATAAGCAGCTGCCCGGCCACTCTTGACGAATTCCATTTGCTAAAGCAGCCTTGCAAGTTGCCACGGGAGCGGCGCAAACCAAAACGCTAAACGAGGAAGTTTCAATCTTGAAAGGCTCTTGATATAGTAAATGAGAGGTTCATCTAAATTTACGGTAAATATTTAACTAGAGTTCCCACCACACTACGGATGAACCCAATTTCGCTAAATACTTTGGTCGAATTTGTAAAATCTTGATTGAAATTTAAAATGTAGCAAAATATTCGTTACTTTAAAATCATCAAATTCTTAGAATCTTTCAAATTTAATGCATTCATTCTTTTGAACCGATTTTTATTGCGAAGAGGAAAACCAAGCGAAATCAAATTAAGAGTTGTTTGCACACTGGATCGACCTTTCAAACTTTGCGCATTGACGCCGAAATTTATAAATTAAATTGTGGCTAAGCGCTTTGGCAAAAGCACTTTCCGCACAACGCTCTAGATGAAAAATGTGGCCTGAAAGCTTAGAAGTTTAATTGAGGGCTTTTCTTTCGCCGCAAACAAATTGTTGGAAAAAGTGAATTTCCAGCAAAAGCTGCTCTTTCGTCAAATAATATTAAAGTAAAACTTTTCACTGCAACAAACCAATTTGGGCAAATCTCTGCTTCTGCTTGGCAAACTTCAGAGAAAGAAAAACGCCATTTTCTGCTAAAATTTGGTCAGAATTGTGCGCGTGTAATTTTATTCGGAAGGGCAAATTGCATGAGAGGAATGGGATCGGCGGCATTGCTGGGCGTCGCGCAATTCGCAATAAAGCAGCGGCGGCAGATGCGAAATTGTAGCCGCGCCAAAGCGATATCAAATTATCCGGCCGGCGGACGGACGGACGGACGGACGGGGACGGGTGGTGCATGCATAATTGAGTGCGTCCAATAGAGCAAAACAAGCCCTTGTTGATTCATCGGCATTAGCCGTGGCTCACGGTACAATAATTAGAGAGAGAGGCCGACGCGCGGTTTCAAAACTCGTCACGTACGCGCGTCCGCAGCCAGCAAACTAATTGATTGCCTGCGGATCCGAATCCAATTTTTCGTCAAACGTCACAGACATTAATTTCGGTCCAAATTTGAATTGATCTCCGTTTTATTATTCATTTAAGTAGATAAAACCGGTAATTGTTTTTGTAAATTCTTCAATTTGAAATGGAACCTTCGATTAGTCTGAAATCTGATGAAAAAAAGACTCGATTTCTAAATTTTTACTCTAACCAACAGAGCATTTTTTCAGTCCTTTGAATGCTTCTTTTGATATCGTTAATATTTTCACAACGGCTCGTTAGAAAAGATTGAAAATTTAGAGTCTATGATGGACATATATCAGATTTTTTCAAATGTTGCCTAAATTCAAGGGGCTTTAAAACTTAATATTTTGACCTTTTGCCAGGGTCAATGACCTTTAAGTAGAAACTTGGTTATCATTCGAAAAAGATACCTTGGTTCATTAGCTCGACCTCCCGTCAATAAAATTAAAAAATCTTTGCCTAAATGGATTTGGCAACACTTTTATCTGTGGAATCTTATAAATGAAATTGGACAGTGTTTTTCATCATTATAAGAACCAAAACATATCAACCATCAAGGCATTATTTTGCAGAAATCAAATCATTTCAAGTGCTCAAAAATTAGCTACACTTTCTCGAAATATACAAAATTTAAAAATAAAAACACGTTTTTAACTTCAATTTCCATTTTTCTCAAAAACTTACGCAGATACCCCAAATTCTCTGGTTCGTCCGTAACCCTATCAAGATAAAAATGATCCGTATGGCTCAGACTTTTAAGTTCTTGTGGAGGTTTTCGCTTTCCTGAGAGTTGATTCCATCTTTTATAATTTTGCCAAAATTTAAAACAAAAACGCTTGTAAAAAAGCATAATTTCCTAAAATTTGTTGATTATCGAAAGTTTCCAGACCCTTCAAATTTGCTTTTGCGACGAGGATGGGATGGCGCGGTCAATGGAACCGCAACTGAATAATTTGTCAGATTGGCATTCACTTGTGTGGCGTTAATTAATCGCAGTCGACCGCACCGCCAATCAACGCTGAATTATTCACCGAAACCAATTTGCTTTAATTTCGCTTTTGAATAAAATGAAATGGCAAAAAATTCTATATACGAAATCTGCATGGAACAGCTTTAATTCATGAATGTTTGATCCAAATGGAAGTAAAAAAAAGTGCAAGTGCGTTTAGAATTGTAAGAGCAGCTCGAAAAAAATCAAGTTCCACGCGATTCGCGACGAGGGACCACGATAGTCTGTCAACATTCCTCTGTGTATAAAAATATATCACGTTTCATTGTGAAGAAGACGAAATCAAAAAAGTTGTTGATTTGCTTTCGACGTTTAAGGTGTGTAGCGGTGCCAAATTAAGTGACACGCGCGTATTTTGCTGTCCTAATCTAGAATCTATGAAAAAATAAAAACTCGTTGCTTGTTGAAGCGGGAAATTGTTAACGGAAGAATAAATAGAGGTAGTTTTGTCGCTGCTCAATTCATATGATGGCTGTTGCGCAGTATAATAAATAAATAGAACAACCTCCTTTGTTTTCCTGATAAAAATAAAAACTGAATTCACGACGTCTCAGTTCATGTTAGAAATCACGATTGAACAATTTTACCGAAGGAATTAGTTTTCAATTATTAAAGATATTCCTGGAAATTTAATCAACATTTTAGAAAATTTTTTTTAAAAATCGAGTGAGCAAATGTTGAGCCAGACCAAATATTTGAGCGAAAGAGAGCTTTGCATATATCTGCTCTTTCAAGTGTTACGATTCCTCTGTACAAAATTCCTTATGTAAATAAAAAGTATACAAAATAGAAAGCTAAACCGCGGCTCATCAAGCATGGCTTGTAGATAATTACGTTAAAAGCCGCTTTGAGAATATATTAATAGAAATTGCTTAGATTATAATAGACGATTTGCAGATCAAGAGGTTAATTTACGGAAGCAACTTGTCCGAATCCTACAAGTCGAAACTTTGGCAAGCAAAACCGTTTCTCTCTCAAACAAGGCCAAATCCTATCTGTGTCTCTCTTGAAAGTCTTGAACTCTCTGTGGGTGTCTATCGATTCGTTTAATCTCTAGATGTGAAACACTTATTCGAGGGAAGAGTGCCATTTGACAATATGTGGATTTTGATTGTTCATATCATCTCTCGTCTCTACCTATCAAACAATTCAAGTGGTTGGACAAGTGTTTGTACGTTGATTGCGTTCCACCATTCAATAAAATACCACATTAAGTGAAAACTCTGCTTTTTTCATTTCAAGTTCCACTATTTATTTTAATTGTTTTCATTTTGTAGATATAAAATTATTAAAATAACATATTTTTTTTTAAATTTTTACGGGAATACTAGTTAATTTGTAAATTAGCGAAAATAATTGATTTTAGTTTTACTTGTCAACTCATTTCAAGTTGAGCAAAGTGGAAACGCGGTTTGTGCATTTGGCGTGAGGGAAGAAGTTGGTGTCTCTGTTTGCGCTTTGTAATTTGCAGGGCAACACGTGTGGTGACGCTCGCTCGGGTGCAGAAGGCGGAGGAGAGAAAAAGGCAGTCGAGCGGAAAGATGCTTTGAGGCTGCAAACAAAGCAAGACACGTGCGGATGGAGACACCTTTTTGCCTCGCTGTTGTCAAAAGTGGGAGTCTTGCCAGTCGATTTGCACGAACCTGCAAGTGGAAAATGAGATTTTCCACAACTTACACACTTCTGATACTTCTCATCGGACTGAAGAAGAAAGTTGATTATGTTGGTACTGATTTTCTGAAGATAAAAAAGTCATATTATCTTATAAAAAAAAATATAAAGAATTTCCTTCAGTTTCCAATTAAATTTGCATAATTCATTGTTATAAAATTGTGCCAAAAGAGTCTGTGAAAGTAATTATAAGAAAAAGCAAAACCATCTCTTATATTTTGGACTTACTAAAATAAAAAATTTGAGAAATTAAGAAAATAAAAATTTTTTTCGTCTTACAATTAGATGAATTGTTTTGAAGGTAGAACAATCGCCGCGTTTTCTCCTCCTCTCAGTCTTGGGCAAAGCAATTAAAATGAGCACACGGTGACTGGGGTGATGCCAATTAGCAACTCGACGAAGAAGTTGTTCTTCAGCGAAAAGCTGAAATGTTAATTCCTGCGGAAGGCAATCAATTCTCAAGCCTCATTAGCGCGATCCAAGGGAAATCGGTAGCAATTTCCACGCTCAATATTTGTTGTTTCCCGATGAAGGAGGAATTCATTTGGCGTGACGTCACCAAAGCCGCCTAGCTGTCCGTCGCAGATCATTATCAATTCCGCAGACAAAACGAAAATCCTTCAATTCCCTCCTCTGGGACGATCAATTCCACTTCGCTCAGACCAGCAATATTCCTTTGAAACATTTTTCAACAAAAATATTTTCAAACATTGATCAACTTTAACTAAAATCATAAAATACAACTTTTCTAAACGAAAAAATGCATTTTCCTGACAATCGTTCGCAAATATTTTGCTGAATTTCTTTTCAATTCTAGTTAAAAACCTAAATAATAGATAAAAAGCATGAAAGTAAATTTTTAAAGAGATCAAAGCACAAGTGTTTTTAGGCACAATAAAATTTCCTTTCATTATGAAGTCTCATAATTTTTTTCTCTACTGAATTAATGTTTTTTCTAAATTAATTGCTTCCCAACTTTGCAATCATCTTTTATTAGTGGAGTCGTAAAAGCTGTTTCGATTTATCTATCACCAAATGGAAATTTAGGTCGAAAAGCGCCTGCAGCTTGAGAGGTTATGCAGTCCGCTAAGCAGACATGACCGGCAAATTGCATAACTGCGCCAGGAAATTGAACTCTTGTTGGAGCCAATATATCAGATTTATATTCATTTTTCGGCTTATTTAAAATGATTTGAATGGTTTTTAAAATCATCAAATCTTTGGTCTTTTTAAAAACAATTTATGATTTTCCTTAATATTAATTTTTTTACTTCAATTGCTTACAAATAAGTTTGAGAACAGATAAAATAAATAATAATTTGAAACAGTTAATTGTCATTGTAATTTATTAGTTCCAATTGTTGCAAATTGTTATTGAATGAAAAACAAAGTCAAAATTTATTCAGATGGAATTTGTGGCGAGGCCGGCTGCTGAGGAGAGGATGAGTCCGACACCTTTGTTTTCTTCGTTGGCGGCTCCGATTCATTTGAAGTCAAGCACTCGGTTGCCCTCTTGGTGACGATTTCCTCCTCCTGCTCACTCATTCCGTCCAGACCTTTCTGGGCCACATTCCCTTCAATTTTCTTCTCTTCAACCTTGCTTCTGTTTCTCTAGCTTCTCGGAGCATGTTGGCGGCTCCTTGGTCTTTTCCTCTTCAACTCGTATAATATCTCGGTCCTCTCCTTTTTCAATCTTTCCGCACATTGAGCCAACTCTTTTTTCTCCTCATCACGGAAAGTCTCAAAATTCTTCCTCTCCTTTTCCAACTTATTCACAGCCTCCGCAATCTCTTCATTCTCCTTTTCTTGGAATCTCACAAATTCAGCAATCTTCTCCTTGAGTTTTTCCTCAGACTTCTCAGCTTCTTTGTGTTTGTCTTCTTGGTGCAGTTCAAACTGCTTGCTCTCCAGCTCCAGCTTCTCCCATGTTTTTTAAAAAAAAAAAAAAATGTTTTTTTTATAAAAGAGGTCTGAGGAAGTATCAACTAGGTCTGGCGGGAAAATCCCGCCAGACCACCCATGTTTTTTTTTAAAAAGAGGTCTGAAGAAGTATTAACTAGGTCTGGCGGGAAAATCCCGCCAGACCACCCATGTCTTTTTTAAAAAAGAGGTCTGAAGAAGTATCAACTAGGTCTGGCGGGAAAATCCCACCAGACCACCCATGTCTTTTTTAAAAAAGAGGTCTGAAGAAGTATCAACTAGGTCTGGCGGGAAAATCCCACCAGACCACCCATGTCTTTTTTAAAAAAGAGGTCTGAAGAAGTATCAACTAGGTCTGGCGGGAAAATCCCACCAGACCACCCATGTCTTTTTTAAAAAAGAGGTCTGAAGAAGTATCAACTAGGTCTGGCGGGAAAATCCCGCCAGACCACCCATGTTTTTTTTAAAAAAAGAGGTCTGAAGAAGTATCAACTAGGTCTGGCGGGAAAATCCCACCAGACCACCCATGTTTTTTTTAAAAAAGAGGTCCGAAGAAGTATCAACTAGGTCTGGCGGGAAAATCCCGCCAGACCACCCATGTTTTTTTTTTAAAAAAGAGGTCTGAAGAAGTATCAACTAGGTCTGGCGGGAAAATCCCACCAGACCACCCATGTTTTTTTTTAAAAAAGAGGTCTGAAGAAGTATCAACTAGGTCTGGCGGGAAAATCCCACCTGACCACCCATGTTTTTTTTTTAAAAAGAGGTCTGAAGAAGTATCAACTAGGTCTGGCGGAAAAATCCCGCCAGACCATCCATGTTTTTTTTAAAAAAAAGGTCTGAAGAAGTATCAACTAGGTCTGGCGGGAAAATCCCACCTGACCACCCATGTTTTTTTTTTAAAAAGAGGTCTGAAGAAGTATCAACTAGGTCTGGCGGAAAAATCCCGCCAGACCATCCATGTCTTTTTAAAAAAAGAGGTCTGAAGAAGTATCAACTAGGTCTGGCGGGAAAATCCCACCTGACCACCCATGTTTTTTTTTAAAAAAGAGGTCTGAAGAAGTATCAACTAGGTCTGGCGGGAAAATCCCACCTGACCACCCATGTTTTTTTTTTAAAAAGAGGTCTGAAGAAGTATCAACTAGGTCTGGCGGAAAAATCCCGCCAGACCATCCATGTCTTTTTAAAAAAAGAGGTCTGAAGAAGTATCAACTAGGTCTGGCGGAAAAATCCCGCCAGACCATCCATGTTTTTTTTAAAAAAGAGGTCTGAAGAAGTATCAACTAGGTCTGGCGGAAAAATCCCACCTGACCATCCATGTTTTTTTTAAAAAAGAGGTCTGAAGAAGTGTCAACTAGGTCTGGCGGGAAAATCCCACCTGACCACCCATGTTTTTTTTTAAAAAAGAGGTCTGAAGAAGTATCAACTAGGTCTGGCGGGAAAATCCCGCCAGACCATCCATGTTTTTTTTAAAAAAGAGGTCTGAAGAAGTGTCAACTAGGTCTGGCGGAAAAATCCCGCCAGACCACCCATGTTTTTTTTAAAAAAGAGGTCTGAAGAAGTATTAACTAGGTCTGGCGGGAAAATCCCGCCAGACCACCCATGTTTTTTTTAAAAAAGAGGTCTGAAGAAGTATCAACTAGGTCTGGCGGAAAAATCCCGCCAGACCACCCATGTTTTTTTTTTAAAAAAGAGGTCTGAAGAAGTATCAACTAGGTCTGGCGGGAAAATCCCACCAGACCACCCATGTCTTTTTTAAAAAAGAGGTCTGAAGAAGTATCAACTAGGTCTGGCGGGAAAATCCCACCAGACCACCCATGTCTTTTTTAAAAAAGAGGTCTGAAGAAGTATCAACTAGGTCTGGCGGGAAAATCCCGCCAGACCACCCATGTTTTTTTTAAAAAAAGAGGTCTGAAGAAGTATCAACTAGGTCTGGCGGGAAAATCCCACCAGACCACCCATGTTTTTTTTAAAAAAGAGGTCTGAAGAAGTATCAACTAGGTCTGGCGGAAAAATCCCGCCAGACCACCCATGTTTTTTTTTTAAAAAAGAGGTCTGAAGAAGTATCAACTAGGTCTGGCGGGAAAATCCCGCCAGACCACCCATGTTTTTTTTAAAAAAGAGGTCTGAAGAAGTATCAACTAGGTCTGGCGGGAAAATCCCACCAGACCACCCATGTTTTTTTTTAAAAAAGAGGTCTGAAGAAGTATCAACTAGGTCTGGCGGGAAAATCCCACCAGACCACCCATGTTTTTTTTTAAAAAAGAGGTCTGAAGTATCCACTAGGTCTGGCGGTAAAGTCCCGCCAGACCACCATGTTTTCCAAAATGGTTTTGCAGGAATAATAATCTGGACGGTCTGCTCACCCGTTACATGGATCTGGGAGAAAAACTGAAAATTTCCAGTTTTTATGCGAAACGAAAAAGTCTCAACAGCCAAAGAATGCTAATGTGGGCCACTCTCAGCGGAAAATGAGAAGAATGAATCCATCTTATTTAAGAAGAAGAAATTGACGAAAATTAAATTAAATCGAATATTGAAAAATATGAATTCGTTTGAAGAAGTTGACACTCGAGGAAATGATCATGGAAATGAAGAGATCGGGCTTTTCCTTGTTGCAGAAAAATTGTTTTTTATTCAAAAAACAAATGACTCTACCAGTTTCGGTCACGGTCTGCGACCCTATTGCATGAGCAAAAAAAAAAAAAAAAAAAAAAATACATAAAAGCCATTTGTTTTTTTGAATAAAAAACAATTTTTCTGCAACGAGGAAAAGCCCGATCTCTTCATTTACAGGAAAAATATGATTTACACATAATTAACCATTTATTTAAAACTAAAAATACATAAGAAAACTAAATGAAACAAGTTCTGACCAAATAAAATTATCTATTCGTTAATAACGTTGCACTGCAGCTTTGATTTTAGTCACATAGGAGCCCTCTCGGTGCCAAGCGAGAAAGCAGTGAGTTCGAGCAACCTGCGCGACGCGGACGCTCACCGGGTTGCATACCCAATAGTATTCCCTGCAACGAGAAGCCAATTTCATCCAATAGACTTCATATCTAAGATTCATCGTTAGGTTTTATAAAAATTATGCATAATTCGATTGCTCAAAAGTATTCATCAACTCAGTGTCTGATTTATTAAATTTTCATTCAACGACGCTAAAAAGTTGCACAAAATATTTTAGAAATATTTTTTTATTATAATAATTCACAGTCGTTGATTTTATTTAGCAAAATCAAATTATTATTTCATAGAGCGAATTGGATTTAATTTTGAACATTTGGAAAGCAGTTTTGTAAAGGAAATGAAACGCAGTGCATCAGAATAAATATGGACGAAATATTATATAATATTTATTAATTTCAAATTTCGTATTGTCTCGGGGGTTGATGTCGGGCGGGCGGGGGTGAGATTAGTGGCGCGCGAGCCAGCCGGAGCCCCACTTGCCGTCGCCGGGGTCGCGGCCCTTGTCGGCGTCGTCGCCCTCGGGCGGCGCCACCCCACTCACGTCGAGCACCCTGAACGCTGACACGGCGGACGGCGCGATCCGCACCGGCGAACGACGCGTCCTGCAACAAAGAAGACACAACACAATTCAATCATCTGGGTCAAGAGCGCAATTTTTAAAGCAGAGAGTTTTATCCTGCACATGATAAAAATTGAAATAGTCAGAAAATTTGGGGATTTTTGAGAAAGGTTAAATTTTGTATTGTTAAAAACGTGTTTTTATTTTGTTTTTCCCCATTTTTCTAGTTTTCAAGAAAATCGGTGAAAATGTTGCTAGTTTTTGCGAACTTTGAACTAATGGATAATTCATATTTTGGTTCTTTTTGATATTTCCAAATTGCAATATGGCCTATGGAGATAAATAAGGGTTTACAAAAATTGCTGTAATATTAATTTGAATTAAGCTGTTTTAATTTTCTTGGTCGGAAGCAAGAAGGTATCTTTTATAATATTTTCTTAGTTTTCTCCAAGTTTCTAGGTCAAAGGTCAAGGTCATTGACCTTGGCAAAAAGATCAAAATTAAACAATTAATTGAAAATAAGCAACCCGACAAAAAAATCTAAGATAGCCAATAGACGCAAGATGTCATTTTACAATGATTTTGATTTTTAAGTTTTTCAAACAAGCAGTTTAAAAATTATTATTGGTTTGAAAGGTTTGAAAGAAACAACTTTCATACGATAAAATTGAATTTTAAATTATAAAATGATATTTTTCTTCATCAATCACATTCGAGTCGGTTTTATTAAATTCCAATCAAACTTGAAGAGTTTGAACAATAATCAGCAGCTTATCCCTCTTCTATCTACTTCTATTAACAAAATTAAAATTAGGGCACATTGAAATTTAATTGGAATATTTTCAGAAAGTATTTTAAGTACTTTCATTTGAATTCAATTGTTAAAATAATGATTTATTTAAAAAGAAATATAATAAAACGTCAATTAGGCTCACAGTTTAGAACAAAGTATTAATAAATAGCGACGCGAATAATAATTTGGGTGGCGTGATGGGGCATTTAAATCGTGAACTTGATTCGCGGCGATCACGCGAGTTGAACGACGAACGACAAGGCCAAAGATTAAAGCGGCGCTTTCGCGGTCTCGCAAGAAACCTGCAAAAGGAAAACTTACTTGTACGCGTGCGGAAGTGTGGGGTCCACTTTTTCCGGCTCGCCGGCTTTTATGTGCGGCGGAAGCTCCGAAGGCAAATCCTGCAAACACCACCGCAATCAACAAAAAAATCTTATGATTAAAACACAATTTCAAATTAAAATTCAAATGTTTCATAAAAAGGCTGTGAAAATTCAATTTCTTGCCAAAAATATAATGTAATAAAGTAATTATTTTCATTTTTTTTTGCGATTACTAATAATAAAAAAATAAAATGAACTTGATACTTCAAATCTTACTTTAAATTGATTTTTAAAAGAACGAAAGAAAGAAAAATAAACCTTAATCAAATCTTTAATCTTTGATTTGAATTGAAACCAATTTTTGAAATTGAAAAGAAAGGAAAATGAGGCAAATCTGAATTTAGAAGTGGATTTATTAAAATATTGAAGGCAATTCCGAGGTTGAATCGAGTCTCGTACTTTGAGAATAATTTCAGCGGAAGTCGGCGACGTCGCTGGTCCGCCCGGCGCGTCGTTTTTCGGGGCGGCGTCCCTTTTCTTCTTGCGGCTCCTGCCACGCTTGTGTGCAGGGGAGGCTGATCTGCATATAATTATTGACACCGTCATCATTACGTGCTGCACCGCCCACACACACACACACACACATACAATCGACCACTCCTCTCAAGCGATGCAAAAAGAATGTGGAAAAAAAGTGCTGACGACAAACTCGGCAAACAAAACAAGTTCCAGATAAAATAATATGCACATCGACCAGAAAAAAGAACCAAAGCAGAGGGAGAGAATTTTTTCAATCAAATTCGAGAAACTTTGTGTTGACCAAAATTTTTATTTTTATCTGATATACAAATCCGTCAGATTATATTTTCTACAAAAGCACAAAATTTATGCACAAAAGTCGGATCAATCGTGAGAAATATCGGTTATGATTTTATTGCGTGACATTAACTTGCAGTGCCTTCGCGAATTCTATTTCAAACTAAAAATATATACACGTGAAAAAGACAGAGTTTTTATTATTTATTTTATTTGGGGGCAAAAATAACGAGTTTCACTCGTGATTCTTTCTTTTGCCAGAAAGAGAGAACACGACGCGACGTCTCCCGCGCTCCGATTTAATATTTCGCCGTCACGAAGATTGTAAAACCAGCCCAGGGGTGCGCCATTGCAACCCCTTCACGACCAAATCCACCAAGATTTGTTCAATATTTCCCCGAAATTTCGTCACAATTGTCAAAACAAAAGAGAATGATTTATTGTTTCGCTGATTGATTTGACGAGTCGTCATGCAACGGTTAAATTTTGAATGGCTTTATTTCTTTTCAAGGGGGTAAATTTGCACGAAATTTCTCCTCGCGTGATTCGAAGGCAGCAGGCGACGTCTGATGGTATCATTTTTTGCAATTGCGCAATGTAATTCGATTAAGGGGCTTCGTTTCGCGTATTCCGAACCTACATACTGCGGCGAAGACCTTCTCGTGCTGTCCGCCTTAATATTTTTTGCAGTTAATTCGGCGGCTGCGGGGAGGGCGCTACGTCACTATTTATACACTTTTAAGTTTAATTGAAAGACCTAATTAGTGAGACGTCAGTTGACAGATAATTGTTGTGTGCTCGTAAGGACAGGAACAAACAGATTAATTTATTTATAAGGACAAAGTTCAATTATTTAGATTATCTTAATTTGAGAATTATTTAAAGATTAATTCTGGAAAAAAATTAGGCATGAATTACTAGTTAATCTCAATATACGTGAGTTTTTCTAGAAATAAGGTTGTGAAATTAAGCTGAAATTAAGGACAAAAATCAAGTCTTTACAACAATGATGAGGTTTGTAGAGACTCGAGTGTTCGATTAAAAGTGAAAAACGTGCGTTCTCATGCAAATAAGCGAGTGCTGGAGTTTTGATTTTTAATTTAATTTATTTATTCGGGGTCGTTTTTTTTCATTTTCATTTTCACCAGTACCTTTGGTGCGCGTGGGGCGTGGTGGGCCCGGCGGAGTTGGGCCTGGGGGGGCCTTCGTAGCCCCCGCCGAGGGTGTCCGCGTTGAGGAGGCTGAGGGGCCGCGGGGTCACGGGCCGCTGCCGGGGCAGGTCGACGAACGCCGCCCTGTACTCGGGGAAGCGGCCCAGCCAGGGCCCGCGGGGCCGCAGCGTCGTCTCGGGCCTGGGGGCCGCGTCGGGCCGCTTGCGCGGGTGCGCCACGAACTCGGCCGCGTACTCGGGGGGCCCCGCGGGCCCCCCGTCGCCCTTGGCGAGGGCGTCGGCGGGCCGCGGCGTCTTGGGCCGCTGCCGGGGGAAGTCCTTGAAGGCCTCCCTGTACTCGGGGGCGGCGGCCGGTCCCTCGCCGACGGCCTGCAGCCCCGAGGGGGCCGCCTTGCGGGGCTCAGGGCGCTTGCGGGGGAAGTCGGTGAAGTTGCGGCGGTACTCGGGGGCCTCGGCCGCGAACTCGCCCTCGGGCTTGAGGGTGGCCTCGGGCCGGACGAGCCTGGGCCGCGCCCTCGGCGAGTCCTTGAAGTTCTCCTTGTACTCCATGAGGTCGCAGAAGTCGCCCTCGGGCCGCAGGGCGGCCGGCGGCCGCAGGACGCGCGGCCGGCTCCGCGGGAAGTCGCGGTACAGCTCGCGGTACTCGGGGCTGGCGTCGAGGGGCGACTTGTCCAGCTCGAGGCCCGGCGGCGGCTTGGACGGCGACTGCTTCTTGGAGGTCATCATCTTGGCGGAGGCGTCGGCGGCCACCTGGCCGCCGCACCGCAGCGAGGCCACGCGCACCCTGGCCTCGGGCCGGTGGCGCGGGAAGTCGACAAACTGCGCCTTGTACTCGGCCGCCTCGCCGAACCACGGGCCTTCGGGGGACAGCGAGGCCGGCGGCCGCGGGACGCGCGGCCGGCACCGCGGGAAGTCCTGGAAGGCGTCGCGGTACTCGGCCCTGCCGACGTCCGGGTCGAACGAGGGCGTCGCGAAGTTGGCGTGCACGGAGGACGACGCGGGACGCAGCTCGAGGCTGGTGGGCCGCTGGACGCCGGGCCGCTGCCGCCGGAAGTCCTGCTGCTGCTGCTGCTGCTGCATGTCTGCAAACTCGAGGTGGTCGCCGTGCAAGCGCAGGGTGGTCGCCAGTCTGCACAGGGGTGGTCGCGGGGGCGCGTCTCGGTGCGGACAGAAGCTGGCGTGCGACTCGGACTCGGCCGGTTCGTCCCAGGAGCACTCGAAGAGGTCGTCCCGCGAGCTGGACGGTCGTGAGGCGGGCGAGCGACTGGCCCGAGCAGCCGAGGTTGGCGCCAAGCGGCGGCTGCAGGCGACGCATGCGTCGTCCGGCGGCGGTCGGAACGACTCGCGGTACTCGGAGCGAAAGTCGAGCCGGCCCTCGGCCTCGATCTGCCCGCGGAACTGGTCGCAACTGTCCTGCACCGGACGCCGCGACGGACGCCGCCGGTGCAGGTTTCCGTCCGAGCTGGAACGGTCCCACGGCGAAAGGGCGCTCAGGCCCAGAAAGTGGCGCCGGGACACAGAGGGCGACCGAGACATTCCAACTTGCTGCAAATAATACTAAGCACTCCAGTTTGGGATAATAGTTCTGAAATAAAAAAAACATTAACATCTTACAATTAAACTTAATGCATTTTGATAATTATAATTAAAAATAAGGAAAAATTAAATAGAAAGTCATCAGTCATCAGCTTCATTTTTATCACAAGGCAAATATTTTCCATTTTTTTTTTCAAAAAACTAGAAAACCGAGTTTTTATTTTTTTTATAGATATTTATATACATTTTTTGCTTTAATTCAAATTAATCTAGTTGAATAAATATTAATTTGACAGAGTAAAAATTTAGCTGAAAGTGACTTTAGACGTACACGTTTGGTAAATGTTCAAAATTTATTGGACATGGCAAAATCAATTTATAAATGTTTCTAATAAGTTTTTTCTCTCATAGAAAAAAAGTTGTATAAATTTTGAAATTTATTTAACCTAATAAAAAAATAATCAATCTAGATTAAAAAGATCTGCAGTTTTCACTCACCTCTCTATACAAAATTCGTCAGATATGAAAAATAAAAGCAAAGAGCTTCTTCATTACCTTAACTAAATGTACTCGTTTTTTATTTCTAAAAATAAAAAAAAAAAATAAAAAATTGTTCAAATGAAATATGTGTTTGTGCGCGCCCAGGATATGTTCCGTCGAGAGCAATTAAGTGCAAAGTCCGAGGCATTTAGAAGCACGAAAAACGAGAACCTTCTCTCTCTTCTTACGTTTAAAATTGGCCTATTTCCGCCCCGCGAGAACCAAACAAACAAAACAAAAGGAATTTGCATTCAAATCGCGCAGAGAGCGCGATAAGCGCAGAGACGAGGAATAAAGCGCGCGCGGTCGATTGATTTGACCCGGTTTTTGAAGAAGCGATTTTTCTCCCACTGACCTTGCGTGCGTCGCCAAAAAGTAATCAGCGGCGTGCGTGCGTGCGTGGGTGCTGCGACCAGAGTCTCTTTCTTGCAATTAGTCTCGTCGGCTGATTAGGCGTGTCGCATCACGCCCTCCCCCATATTCAGACCTTCTCAACCGCATCTCACCGCCTTAAAGTCAACGGAAGGAAATACTTTTTTTAAATGTTTATCGAAAATTCAACTGTAATTAATATTAATTTCATCACAAAATATGAAGTCAAAATAAGATCTATAAAATTTCCCTCCGATCAACTCTTTATATTCAAATTTTGGAGTTAAAGTTTGTTTTCTTTTAAATTTATTGCAGCGCAGCCCTCGCGTTGATAAAAAATAATTTTTCTTATGATCTTGATTTCTAATTTTATTTAAAAATTAAACTGTAAATGAACTTAATATAAACTTCATCAAAATAAATATGAGGGAAAAATTACTAGAAAAAATTAAATTGAATTAAAATTTGCTTACAATCTATACAATTTTTGATGGAACTGTTTGCATTCAAATTTATAGAATTAAAATTTATTCTTGCTTTCTTTTGAAATTTATTGCAGCACTCGCGCGGTGATAGAAAATCGCATGATAAGAACAAATTTGACTTCCTTTTCCTGGCAGCGAACCGAGCATCTGATCCGCGATTCCTTATCTCGGCGTGAGTTTTTTTTTCTCGCAATTGCAAGAAATTGATGCAAAGCCTTGAATGGGAAACGAGTTTGGGCCAAAAGTGGCAGGTTTGATCAAAAAGTTTGGATCAGATTGGGGCTGCAAGAAAGCTCATGCACGTCGGCCCTTGATCCAAATTTGTTATCGCGCCACAGCCACTCACTTTTTCCAACACACACGTCAGAGCGCCTGCGAAAATTGATGTCCGCAACCGGCGCGGCCTCCAATTAATTCACTCTTATAAATTTAACTTTTTTGTGCCTTTCAATTAAAAAGTTTCACTTTGTCAAGATCACAATCTACAATTGGAGCGATCAATCTCCATTTTCGGGCCAACAGATAAATAAAAAAAAAAATGTCTGGCAAACAATAACATCATCGCGATAATCGATTGAGCGATCAAATTATAATGACGGACACCGCCCTAATGTGAGAAAATAATGAAGAATTAAATGCTTTATGTAACCCAGAAAAATACATGCTAGTCTGAATAGCTCACATCGAGACACATTTTCTGGAATTTTCCAAGTTTTCACCTGCCGCTTCCATTTCTAGGCCAAAAAGTAAAACAATTGAAAGGTGCGTAATTTTGATTATTTATCTTTGTAATAATTTTCCAGTTCTTAGATAAACATGAGACCAACGCCAATCGATGGATTGAATTAGCTGTATTAAATCCTAATCAAGCTCTCTTGAATAAGACAATTTTTGGGGCAAAAAATGTCAATTGTTTTGATTGAACACCAATATAATTTTGTCATTTTTATTGATCTTTTTAGCTCTAGATTTGTTGGAAAACATTTTTGAGACAAATGCTCTTCACAAAACTATTGGATAATTTAAGGTTGCACATATTTTGTATTAAACATTTGCTTCTAAATCAGAAGCGACAACAGAATTAATAAAAATTGAGGGTTCGTGTTTTAAGTTAACATTTGGGTACAAATCGATCATGGGCCTAGAACGCACAAAATCACCTGAGGTGTTGCCCTTATACAGGATGAATCGTGGCAATTTATAGACACTTCCTCTCATTGTCAGTTGATCCGAATTTGATCTACAGTAAAAGGTAAAGTAAAATTAATCAAACAACTCTGGGAATAATTCTAAGTTTAAAATTAAATGTAAAGAACGCAACGAAAAATTTCCGCGGATAGTAAAAATAATCATTTGGATTTATCAACTTTTTCAAAAATTAGAAAGAGACCGCGGAAATTTTTCCCGCGGTCTTTGAGAATCAACGTTTGAACGAAACCTTTTTTTCAAAAATATATAAAGAGACAGCGGAAATTTTTCCCGCGGTCTATGAGAATCAACGTTTGAACGAAACCTTTTTTCTAAGATTTTAGAATGAGACCGGGTGGTAGAGCCAGAATAAAAAAATTTGGTGACCTGCAACTGGGAGATAAGAAATTCAAAACAGTGAATAATTAAATGTGCGCGGAATAAAATTGTAAATATACGAATTTCAGTTCAAGCAACTTAAATTAACAAGGTTGTGAGGAAATGTCTATGAATTGGCAAAATTCAAACACCTCAGGTGATTTTGAGCCTTCCAGGACCCATGTTTGACTTTAAACCTAAAAATATTCATTTACTAGGAATAATTTGTTTTCTTGAAATATAATTTTCTAGGTAAATTGATCTCAGTCGGCGGACAAACGCGACCTTTGGCTGCGCGTACAATTAATTAGGGAATTTTGTCCGAAGAAGAGAAGGTGGCTCGCGTGTGCTTCTTTTGGCATGAGAAACTATTATTACTTTGTCTGGCGCGATACGATCGCTCTCGGCCCACTTTGCATTTCCAATTCCAAGGCCAAGGTGTGCAGCTTTTATTATACCTTGTGTATGGATTATTTTATGTACGCGGGTTATTCTCAGACCGAATTAATTCTCATCCCTTTCGTTCCGCCGCACACAAAAAACACAAATTCAAATTTTCGCCATGTTTGTTTTAGGAACGACGATTACTAAAAAGCCGGTTTAGTAAAAGTAAAATTCGGTTGGAATTGAATTTAAACCAAAAAATACATCTTTTTTAAATTGAAAAGAAAATTGACAAGAATTAATTCAAATCGTCAAATTATTATATTAAAAATATATACATTAATTTAAAAATAAGGAGACAATTCACATTTTAAATATTAATAATTATTATACATTTATTTTAACTTCCAATTTCAAAAAATATCTTGAATTATTATCTTTAGAATCAGATTGAGAGATTTTGTTTGACACAAATGCATACTGATGTGCAATTTGCTGCAGGAAAGCGTGCAGCACTTGAATTATTGCACTCGTGAGAACATCAATTTTAAAACGCATTCGTGTGCTTTGATGATTCAAAAACATGCACAAACTTCTCTTTTTTATTCTCAGAAATATTTTCTTGCAAAATTTGAAAAGCAATAATCAAATTGGGAGGAGATTGTCTTTGCAATTAATCTTGGTGACGCAATTTTAAAGACCCAGCCCATATAATTTTTTTTTAATTGCTTCCTCCGATGCAGATAAATCGCAATTACACGCACGACTTGTTATTGCGCTTCCTCCTCCTCCCCTTGGTGCGTATGCAAAAAAATTAACTTGATTTGTACTCACGCGCGGCGGGAGCGACTCTGAAGACCGGTGGTCGGCGTCAAACTAATCACTTGACCTCGCCAACCCCGCTCGCCACAACTCGGCCACCCCCGCGCGCACCCTTCGATCTTATCTCGGCACGCAATCAAATATAATTTCTCCTCCTCAACCTCATTAACACTTTTGACACGTTTCTATACAAATATAAATGTGAAAAGCGATATTTATTATTGTAAAAAGATTAATATCTGGAAATTTTCATGACAATAATCAATTTCAATTAAAACATCGATTGCAATGTTGCAAAAATATTCTAAATAACGTCACAAAATATTTTTAATGATTTCCAACTTTCCAGTTGACTATTAAAGCTAAACACTTTTAAATTCTGTATTGAAATGAGAAGGCGATTTTTTTACCACATTTAAAAAAAAAGTAAACGGTGCGAATGGAGAAATAAATCAATCTAATTGTTTCTAATAAGTATAATTAAAGACAAATTTATAGTGCCTAAAATGTATATTTTGTGTAAAAAGTTTGCATAAATTTTCACACAAAAAAGAATTTTTTTCTTTCTTTGAATATTTCTAGAAATTTCATGCACCTTTTGTGCGCCATTCAAGTGAGTAAATCAGAAACTGCGCGTTTTGAGCACCCAGAATGTTAATTTTTTAATTTGCAATGAATTTATTCTTGTACAATAATTACATCCCCACAGATAACCTCATCTTAAGTATTTTGAGATAAATTTAATAAAATTTTTCTACTTGTAGGGAAAATAAAGCATTAATTTACTTCGAATTTCGCCGAATGTTTGTAAAAATCTTTCGTCGCAAGTAAAAAATTGCTCTACTTTAAGTTAATTTAATCTCATTTTAAATTTTTTTAAATAGCTAAAAATTACTCACGGGTATAACAAGAGATCTCCCCAAGAGAAAGTTGAAGCCCTCTGCGGATGTAAAGACAAGAAAGGGTTCTGCAAGCATTGCCTTCGTCTCTCCAAAGCAATGACGAAGGCCAAGCTCAGGCCGTTTTTTGTTCACAACCAAACAATTGAAGTTAATTGCTCAAGTTTTCATTGTGATAATTTCCAACTGACCTCACGAGCCTGCAAAACCATTCCATAGTTCTTTTCATCATTAATTAATATAAAGACACTTGAAGTTACTTTTCAAAATTAAAAAAGACGGAAAATATTTAACTTTTCGTTAAATTTATATTTTGTAAAAATAAGAAAAACCACTGGAGAGTTTCAAGCAGAATTTGATTTTAGCCAATTTTAATTTTGTCGAGAAACAAAAAGGAAATTTAGTAAGAAATTTTTACAGGTTTGCAGCAAATGGAATTTTTTAACCAAGCCCGGTGGCCCAGTGGTTAGAATGCTTGCATTCTAATCAGTGGGTTCCTTGGCCGTCATGGGATCAATGCTCAGCCTGGGGCTGTTTGTGGAAACAAATAGCCTCTGGTATGCGAATCATTGATAACATTTCGGCTGACACGTCGGGAATTTGGGAGGTATGGCGCAAGCTGTACCGACTCGCACTCGGAGGTTTGCCACGTTTCCTCCGAGCCACAAGCTGGAAGAACTCAGCTTGTGTGGCGAATGCCTGCGTTTCATTACAAGTCCTTCGTGGCAACGCCAGGGCAAGGGGCAAGGTCTCAAGGGGGGTGGGGGGCCCATGCGAGCACCACCAAATCTGCTAGAAAGCCCCCGAACAAGGGTCAGGTTGGTTGGGAAGCACAAATGTGCTAAGGGTGCTCGACTTCGGCAAGAGACCGACCCAATAGCCTAATAAGCTCACGGGTGCCATAAGCAAAAAAAAAAAAAAAAAAAAAGCAAATGGAATTGATAAAGTTTGGGTTTGATTGGATTTTATTAAAACTATTCGACTAAATGATTTCGTTTTCACTGAACTTGTTCAAAAGCAAGTCTCTCTTTTGGTCACCGTAACTTTTCTTCACTTCGTCTAATAATTTGATGCAGTTGTGCGCGTCGATGCTGAAGCGTTTGCTCCTTCTGACTTGGAAAATGTGCTGCTCCAGCAACTCGCTCACCTCATCTGCATTTCGATCAATCGGGAAAATTTTCAAACTCGCACAAATAAGATCGAAACTCACCAAAATCAGCTCCCGTCCTGACCTTCAACCTGCAAAAATCCACGATTTTGAACCAGTCGAGGGCGAATCTCGGATATTCCTGGATCTGGTGCAGAATTTCCGTCGCACTCGCCACGTCTTCCATTTCCGTGTACAAACTGAGCAGCGAAGACAGAATTCCCGGACTCAGTTCAAACCTCAGCGAATCCATTTCCTGCGAAATTTATCGAAATTAATGTTTTGATGAAGATTGAAAGTTGTACCTTTTTGATCTGCAGGGCTCGGTCGACGTTCTTAAGTCTGCAGTGCGCCTGCAAAAGTCTCCTCAGGACGCCCCTCGTGTTCATCGACTTGCTCTTGAGCTCGACCAAGTGAGCTTCCAACTCCTCCACGTCCATGTCTCTCTGCAATCGCAATTCCAGTTCAATAAAATTTACTCAAACTCGCAAATTTTAATAGCAATGAAATGAAAATTTGGAAAAAATATCAAATTTTTAACAAGATTTCTTTGAAAGGTACTTTTTTATTTACCTACAATCTTGGGAAATTTTAGTTTCACATGAAATTTTTTCAGGCTAGCAAAATGCTTTTGGTTCTACAAGATGGACTAGAAATTGAAATTGCCAAAGCCGAAATGCCAAATCTCAAAATGATTTGAATTATCATTCAGCCAATGAGGATTGATTCCTAAGAGAAAATAAATGGAAATGTTACCGGATGGGCGATGGGCTGGAAGGTGTTGAGGCCGCTGTAGGTGCTGTTGGTCAGCAGGTCAAGGTACTGGATGCCGATCTGCTTGACGGCCGCTTTGGTCAACAGGCCTTCGTAGCTGGCCATCGACATGCGCACTTTGAACTTGGCCATGTGCTGAGGAAAAATCAGAAATTAGACGGGAAAAATATGTTTTAAAACCTCCCAAAATTTGGGTCAATTTCCAAGCTTTCATTTAATATGAGTTAAAAGTAATAAATTCAGAAAAAAGAGATTTTAAAAGCAAATAATTTGAAACTTTAACTCAAATTAAATAACAGATATGCAAAAAAATTATTGGGAAAAAAGCTCACACTGAGGAGTTCCTTGAGGTCGGCAGGGGAGCACCTGCTGCAGTACTCGATCAGGAAGAGACCCACAAAGTCGACCTCGGCAAACTTGTGCCTGGACTCGGCAAGCAGGGCGACCAGGTGCGCCGCCACCCCGAAGCTCTTCTTCTTGAGCACGGCGCTCGACAGAGACTTGGTCAGTTTCCGCAGGTCCAAGGTGCGCTGGTTAATCATTTTGCCTGCAAAAATCATTGAATGAATAAAAAATATTGTAATTAAAACTATTTTAATTCTTTTCAAAATGGAACAGAAATTCAAAATGTAATGGAAATTGATCAATTTATTTGGAAAAAAGTATAGTTGAACTTAAAAAGAATTATTTTTAGAAATTCAAAACTATTGAAAATTAATTACTCAACTTTAATTAATTTTGTTTAGCAGAAAACCATATTTTTTTCCATTCATATTATAAAATTTCTTATTGTTAGTACAAAAAGAACAATTTTGAATTTACAACAATTATTAATTAATTATTGCAGTTTTTAATGAATTCCTTCTTTAAATATATTATATTTAGAGAAGTTTTTAATTAATAAAAAAAAAAAATATAGACTTTAGACCAATTTTTATAGAAATTCAGTTTTCTTGTATTTTTTTTTTTTTTTTTTTTTTTTTTTTTTTTTTTAATTTTCATATTTAGAGAAATTTTTTAATTAGAATGGTAGAGATGTTTAGAGTAAATTTTTTTACACAAGTCGAGGGCCTCCTGGAGGTGTTTGTCGATGAGGAGGGCGTTGAGCATGGGGCCGAGCTGCGTGGCCACGGACAAGCCGCACTCGGCCTGCAGCAGCTTGAGCACGGCCATGGGCGCGTCCCACCTGAGCATGCCGGGGAAGACGTAGAAGGCGAGGGTGTCGAAGTCGGGTCGCAAGCCGAGGCTCTGCATGTGGTTGAGGACGCGCACCATCTCCTCGGGGGAGCCGCAGTGGACGATGAGCGGCCAGAAGAAGTGGTTGCGCAGGGGGGAGGCGTGGCTCAGCAACTCCCCGGACAGGCCGCCCTTGCTCTTGTCCTTCAGACTCTCCTCCAACGCGTACAGCAGGAACGAGTTGTGGTTCGGAAAGTTGGACTGCAGAGAAATGCAGATCTCCAGGATGTCCACGGCGGACTGCAATCGATTAAAAATTTCAAGTCAAAAGAAGTTGTTTCAAAAGCAAAGACTGAAATCAAATTAAACTCAAGTCCGATTGCAGATCAAAATATGATTAAAACCTCAATAAAATTCAGAAATGGTAAATTTTTAAATTCAGAACACCTGCTGATTTCAAATACTAAGAAGATTCAACAAATTAAAAAAAAAATTAAACATCTTATCAATTTATTTTTTGAAAAAATTTAATAAAAGCAAATCCGAGTTGAAATAAAACCTTAAATTTAATTTCATTAGCCTGTTTCTTTTTTTTTTGTACCTTGTTTGATTTGACTAGTTCGGTGGGGAAGAAGGCGAGGATGCTGTTGAGGACTTCAGGGTTGCAGTTGGTCAGCAGCAGGTGGTAAATGTTGCAGGCGAAGAAGTGTCGGTCTTGGTGGATCAACCGGATCACCATGTTTCTGATGCAGTGGCTCAGTCCGTTCACCGGAAACACGCGAAGAATCTGTTTCAAATCAAAATTAATAACATTATGTGCAAAATCTAAGGACAAACCGGTCCGACGAGCTTGGTGTTGTTGGCCTCGGCCAGGCTGAGGATGACCTTGGCCATGTGCTCCTCCGAGGAAGGGAGACTTTGGCCCTGCATGCTTTTCAGGGTTCGCTCGACCGGTTGTGAATTCAGGATTTGCGCTCTGAGCAGGGCGAAGAGGGACAAAGGGCCCGGCGGCACCTCCAACTCCTCCATCGCCTTCAGGACAGACTCGACTCTTTCAAAGTTGCTGAAATTTTGATTGATTAACAAGTTTTGACATAAAAAAAGTTTAAAAACAACTGTGATTTTCCGTGGGCCAAAATGAGGGCGGCGAATTCTGCATCTCCGGAGGTTTTTCCGAGGGACTTGAGCAGATCGATGGTCTCTTCGCACTTGGTCGGATTCGCACCTTCCGAGTGGCAATCGAGCAGCTGCAGCAGGACGTCCCTGTCCCGCAGGAACCTGGACGCCTCGGTCGGAGGAAGCAACTCCGACAGGTCGACGCTCTGTCCTGCCGAACTGAAGACGTTCAGCAGCGCCAAGACGTCCAGTTTCGTAACTTTGTACCCTGAAAAAGTTCAAAAAATTTCCTTCAGATCGGATTTGTTTAAATTTTCCTAACCTTCTTTTTCAGCAAAGCGGGTCCAGATTTGCGAGGCCAGGTGGAGCCTCGTTGGCCCTGGCAGGTGCGGCAAACTGTCCGCGCAGCAGTTGAGCAGAAAGGCCAGTTGGGCGTCGGCCTCTGCGAGCAGGGCCTCCACCTCCCTTTCGCCCACCCTGCCCTTGTGAAGGGCTCGGGCGCGGAAAACCTCAAACTTTGAGATTCGCTGCTCCTCCTCGGCAAAGTTCTCCACAACTTCAGTCCGCAAGAATCTCCTAGTGGGAAGAAAAGTCGGTTATTTCACTTGGAAAGATAAAAAAATCAAACCTGGCTGGAGATATGATAATTTGTGGCGATTTTGACCAACTTTGGTGGTAAAATGCAGTTCTCGTGAGCGACCGTGATGCTGCCCTGCAACCCGGCCTCAACACCATTTTCATAAAGTTCAACATCGCGTTTTAATTTTTAATATCACTGAAAATTTCAAAAAGAATTAGTAAAAATTATTACATAACCAACGAGTATGTACCATAAAAAAATTCAGAATTTGCCTGAAAGATTCAGGACTTTCCGTCCTTTTGCCCTTGTCCTTCGTGACACTTATTCCAGGTCCAGTTTCATCTCAAAAATCCAAAAAACCCTCGCAGGTTTTCATCACTTTTACTGTTGTTGTCTTCATTAGGGTGAAGTGGGCGTAGTGGTGATCACGTGGGCGAGTTCTGAGCCGCGCCCCCTTTTTCAAATCAAAAGAGCGCCAACAAAACGTGCAACATAGAACCCTCCTGCATGCTTTTGCTCACAAAATCCTTGTACACTTGATCTTTACCTGTCCACGATACTGGAGTGCACGTACTAAGCTTAACCGAACTCTTAGAGAAAACAACTTCCGGCCTCCCTTTAATCTCCCAAACATCCTCTCAACCCAAAATAAGCAAATCTACATAGAACTGCATGAGCTGTACAAGAAAATCTTCCCTGCAGCACGATACTAAAAACTAGACCTGTCAAAAATTAGATCTGGCTGAATGGTCACCACCAAAGCCAAAAAATACAAACACAACAACAACATAGAACAAGGCCAGTGTTTTCCATCCAGAAACGAACGCCCGCTCCCCACTCCGCTGTTTGGTTTGGTTTATTCGTCTGTGCGTTTCAAATAATTACAATTAAAAATTCTCATTGTTGAGCAGCCCTGCAAAAAAAAACAACTTCAGTTTTTGGTTCAAATTTCCCAAATTTTACAATAATTTATTAAGCGCTTGTTTTTAGTTTTGAAAATAACTATTGAGAAATTGGTCCTGATTTTCTTAATTTGCTAAATTAACCACTTGAAAAATAATTTGTGGCAAAAATCAACTTTGATCAGGAAGTTTCAAGTCTGATCTATCTTACGAGTGAGATATTTTGTCACATTTACATATTCCAGATCTTTGACAATAGAGTAGATTAAGTAAGATTGATTTTTAAAGATATTTCCTTGGAGAACCTGAAGACTTTAGCACGGAATTTGGGCGTTGTGAAACAAACTCTTCCCCAATCCAAAATTAACCTTTATTAAGGTTTGAGTCGTGGGAACAAAGTTGTGAATTCAAATCCAGATTTCTTTTCGATTAATGATAGACTAAAAACCGCTAAAAACTATAAAAATTGATACAATAAAAATTTTTGAAATTATTAGAAAATAATCGTTAATTATAATAACTATAAATGCCTTCCAATGAAAAGTTACGCTCTACAAATCCTCGATAGGAAGTGAGACCAATAATTTTAATTAAATTAAGACTATATATTGATTTAATTTCATTAATTTAAATCATAAATAATGTAAACGATTGAAAAATCTAAAAAAATTATTTTGACATCAATTTCAATTCTATTTAATAGACCGTTAAGTAAACTAAAATTTTTGTTATAAAATAATTCCCATGTGAGATTTGATGGGGAAATTTGATAGAAAGTTTGACGTTTGCGATGAGCTTTATAGCTAATTTAAACATTTCAAATTGTTCCTGGTGAAAAGACGGCATTTCGACTCTTTGTTCATTTAGCAATTCAAACTCCTTTTTTGCCGTTTTTTTGCAAAAAAAAAAGCTAGTAAAATTTTAATTACAATCTGATCATACTTTGTAATATTATTGTGAATTAAAAAAAGTACTCTGATCTTTTGAAGAATTCCTATAAAAATTTATTAATTTTTTGTTCCTGATCCTTGGACTTGGAGTACATATCAAATTGAATAATGAGTTTTCATAAAAGTTTTAAGTTTGATTTATCCACCTCCTAAATCGATCGGTGCCTCTTTTTGTCTGATCGTCTTGACTTCTTCATTCTTTGTACCCTTTGTACATCAAAAACTTTTTTAACATTACGAAAATTAATTTATTCTCAACAAAACTTTGAACATATATTATATATGAAGGAGTGCTATTCTTATAATTAATATATTTATTTGATTAAATTATTATACGACTAATTTTTTTTATACATTCAGTTTCGTGTCCCCTTAGGCTGCAGACAGGAATGGAAACTAATTGATTTTTTTTTCATCAAAAGGAAAATTATTTGCTATTTAAATTTAGAAATTTAATTGAAGTGGAGAATTAAAAAGTTTTAAAATTAAATATTATTAGTATTATATTTCTTACAAAAATATAAGTGAATTGAAAATTAAAAAATATTATGCGTATTTATGTTTTGTTAATACGAAACTTGAAATTAATGAGTGCAGCAGAAGCAAAAACTTAAATACTTTACCATATTTTTGTAATTATTCAGAGACCAATCAAAAATACGGTTCGAAATTTAAAAAAAAAAAAACAGGCAAATTTTAATATACAGTGCACATTTTCTGGAAGACTGAAAGTGGCATTTGTGATTAAGATCTGAAATTTTGTGATTGCAGAATAGTGCTGAGACTGCTGAGTGTAAAGTATATGAAAAGCAGAAAATGGTCGGTGTCAGTAACATTCACTCGGCAGTTCGCAAATAAAACGAAATTTGGTGGTGCACAACGCGCCGTTCAATTTTTTGGAGAATGCATTGTCAGTGTAGAAAAAGACGCAGCCAGTTTTGTAAACATTATTGGCCCTCCACAGGTTGCTGTTTTCCTCCAACTCTGAGCCGTCCTGCCAGCGAACGTCGTATTTTTCGCCATTGCCGTAATCTTTCGCTGACAACCACCAAAAAGACGCTGAAATCAGATCGATTTTCAGCAGATCTCGAAACAAGAACAAAACCTCTGCTAAAACTGATTCAATTTTTAAAGTGCGCGTGCTTTTTATTACTTACTGGTTCTTTTCTTCGCTTCCGCCCAGGTCGCGTTCAGGTCGGTTTCGTTTCTCAGGGTGGCCAGGTGCAGGCCCATCCCCTTGCACCTTTTCTCAGCATCAGTCCAATTAGCCTGCCGAAAATTATCGTTTTCAGAGAAAAATGCAAACAAAGGAAATCACTCACTATAGTTGCATAAGAGAAGAAATATCTCTTGCCGTTGGACAATTGAGTCAATTTAGCCGAGCCTGCAAATTTATTGATACTTCAAATTGACTAAGTTCAGTTTTGCATTTAATTATTTTTTGCTTTTCTTCAATTAAAAGAAAAACTTACGTGCTAGGGCGCATGTGACAAAAATTTGGATTTCATCAAGCTGGGAAAAAACATGAAATTAAATAATCTTTTTTCAACAATTAAAAAAATTTACCTGGTGAAGAATCTCTATGCTTTTGGACACATTTTCCAGCTTCACTTCAATCGCGTCCACATATTTTTTTATCTCTTCCCCCTTTTACATCGAATAAATGTACAAGTCATGCATTTGACATAAAATGCCTGAAGGCAAATAAACTTTCTTTGCAAATAAAATATTATTTTCTTTGTGTTAAAATATATTATTCATAAAAAGCTGGATTTTTATCTACATTTTAGATGCAAATACATTTCTGTTGAGGTGACCTTGAGCAGAATCTTATTTCATTGAATACATTTTTTTACAAACTTTTAAGTGCCAATGAATGAAATCAGTGTTTAAAATAAATATTGCCCAAAAACAAATTGCGAACCACAATTTTTTTTTGGTTCATTTCTTAATAAATTTTTAAAGTTTGAAGGAAATAAAATAGAAATTAAACTTGTTAATAAAGAAAATTAACGGTACATAAAATAAATAGTTCTAATTATTTGAGAATTTAAAACCCAAAGAAACCACTCGAAACGGGAAATAATTAAATTAGTACTTGTGACTAATCGTCCTGACGTGGAATTACGTTCCGAGACAACGAGATATTTGAGACAAAGCCGGTGTAAAAAAGTTAGAAAAATTCCTGTTGTGATAATAAACAATTTTAATTGAGGGCGAAAATTTCCCAAAATTAAAATTCTTTAAAACCACCCCAATCTGTCCGTATTGTTTTGTGCTGGACAGCTGTTTCGGCTATTGAAGCCTCATCAGCAGCACTTTGCCTAGCAAATCAAATTCCACCCGCAGCGAGCTGCGAGAAGATGTTGCTTTGCTCGGCGCACAAATACGACTGCGGCTGCTTCTCGGCAACCTGCAGAGGAACGAAAAAGAGAGAGCTCGCGGCCTTCACCAGCGAACCACCCCCTCGTCCGACTCTTTCTTCCTTTTAAACACAACGAACGGAACGTAATTCCACGTCAGGACGATTAGTCACAAGTACTAATTTAATTATTTCCCGTTTCGAGTGGTTTCTTTGGGTTTTAAATTCTCAAAAAACTATTTCCATACGTGGTGGAAAACTAAGTGGCAGCCCCTTAATTGCGTTGCCGCTTAACCCATTGCTGTTGAAAATCGCAAGCCGCGATCAGCTTTCGGGGCGCAAAATATCACTCCGGTTTTGCGTGGCTTGGGTGGCAACCGCCGCTCCCTGAGATGAGACATTGTTCGTTGTGTTTAAAAGGAAGAAAGAGTCGGACGAGGGGGTGGTTCGCTGGTGAAGGCCGCGAGCTCTCTCTTTTCGTTCCTCTGCAGGTTGCCGAGAAGCAGCCAGCAGTCGTATTTGTGCGCCGAGCAAAGCAACATCTTCTCGCAGCTCGCTGCGGGTGGAATTTGATTTGCTAGGCAAAGTGCTGCTGATGAGGCTTCAATAGCCGAAACAGCTGTCCAGCACAAAACAATACGGACAGATTGGGGTGGTTTTAAAGAATTTTAATTTTGGGAAATTTTCGCCCTCAATTAAAATTGTTTATTATCACAACAGGAATTTTTCTAACTTTTTTACACCGGCTTTGTCTCAAATATCTCGTTGTCTCGGAACGTAATTCCACGTCAGGACGATTAGTCACAAGTACTAATTTAATTCTAATTATTTATTTTATATAGAAAAAAAAATTAGATTACCCGCCTTTCTTTAATGAAAAAAAAACGCATCTCTGACTTTTCCTGGGTTTGAATTCAGAAAAGGAATTTTTATTGTAAATTTCTACTCAAAATTTGTTCCTTATACCTTTTGAATACTTTTTTCGGACTCAATTTGCCTCTTTTGATTTTCCTCGCTAATATTTTGCAATTTCTGCGTCAACACGCGATTCTGTTCCGCCGCCTGGAAGTAAAATTTATTTATAACATAAAACTCAGAAAATTCTTTGATTTCTTTTCATACATGTTCCAGATGCTTCTCAAAGGACACCTTGGCTGATCCAATTTGACTTGCCAGTGATTTGTTCAAATTCTCAATCATCACTTTGCTCTCTTCAGCCACCTGAAATTTAATGAATTTTTATTAAAATTCAAATTTCAAATAATTTTTGTTACAAATAATTGATTTGTCAAAAATTCAATTCAATGGAATGTGAATAATTTGTTGATTACATTAAGTCAGATTTTGAATTATTTTTCATTTAACAACATCAACATTTTTTTTGGTCTCAGTTTCAAGAAAAGAATTGGTTGAATCATCCTCTGGTGAAGCAGAAAATTTTCATACTTCTGTTAAATAAATTTTGTTTAAAAAAAAAAAATACTTCTTCGCGGTGTTTATTGGCGGACAATTTGACCGATTCGACGTGACTTCATTGTTTCACTCAAATTCAGCATTAGAATCTGACTCTCCGCCTGCGCCTGAAAGAACAGATATTATTTCCGGCCTGTCTTCTGACCTGACTAGAAAAGGTCGAAAACTGCTTCTGCACGGCCGCGTCAGCCACTCTCCTCCCTTGCACGCCTAAAATTGGGTCAACGTTTATATTTTTCCCCTGTATCGTTTTTTAATATGTAAATGAAGCATTTGACCAGAGATTGACCTTTTATATAACATGTCAGTAAGTTAAATTTTTTTTATATCTTCTGCAGCACTCAAAGAAGTTTAAATTTCCACCACATTTTTATTTATAGATTTATTTGATTTTCAGGTATTTTTCCAATTTCCATGACATAAATAAGACAATTATTAAGAAAATAAATAAAAAATTCTTAATGCTTTTTTCTTACTTTGGTGGAGAAGAGGAAGTAGTTGAGGAGGCCGGTGCTGAAAACGGCGAAGACGATGCTGAGGGCCAAGGCCACGCTCAGGGTCAAGGTCGAACACCCTTGCTGCTCCTTGACCTCCCTTTTCTTTCGCAACCGGATCGTGACCCTGCCCTCGTCGTGTTCCTGGGCGTTGGACGGACCAGGTTTGACGTCATCGTAAACGACCACCGCATCCATGTCCTTGCTTTGGTCAAAAGAACGAAATCGGCCCCGCTTTTATTATGCTTTCGATAGACGCGCCCTTCCGTCGGCTTTTCCAGATTAGTAGCGGCGCTAATCGAGAAAAAAATAATTATAGTTTCTTTCTGCTTGATATAGAAAAACCGGGCGACAAACTTTATCGCCTGGCGCGCAGCAAAGCCTGATAAAATAACGAAAATAATCACGGATTGAAGCAATTTGAAAAAATAAAGCATATATATAAATTATTTTAAATTGTCTAACATGAAAATAAAATTCTAAATCCCCTCTCCTTGAAAATTGAGACAATACAAATATTTTCTAAATTCATTAAATTTGGAGTTCTTCCAGAGAAGTACACAGTCTCGTTTTTTGTTTTAAAATTAGTCTTTTCTTGAGTAAGTATTTAAATAATCTTTGTAATATTGAAAATTATAAGACTATAGTTATCAAAACGGCACACTTTAAGGATTGATCCACCAACATATTCATTACAGATTGAGCTCCCTATGGACTTTTCTATGAATTTATAGTTGATATTTTTAATGCGTCGAAAACAAATTTTCATGTTTTTTATTATGCAAAATATAATTATTTATTGTTATTTATATGTATTTAAGTAAATTAAAAAATTGCATTTCAACACGTTTTTTAATTTTCAAAAAGTTTATGTTTCCTAATCGAAGCATTTTTTTTATTTTGTTTAGCAAAAACTTAAGGAATTAAGGAATTTTAATTATAGCCCCTAAGTTGGAATTGATGCAGGACTATCTATCAGCAAAGACCTGGATCAATTCGATATTTCAGTACTAGATCAATGTTCGACTAAAAAGTTTAAATTCTTCAGGACCCCCTGCGTTGACCCGAAACAATTTGATAATGAAAATGAGATGAAATTTCAAAATTTAGGACTCTTTAAAAGACGATTAAACAGTTGAAAATGATGCAGGACTCGCAGGACTATCAGTGATGACAAGAATCAGTCTGAAAATTTCAGGGTAAACGAAATATCAAAATTAAGGACTCATTCAAAAGACAACTAAAAATTTGAAATTGACACAGGACTATCTGCGAAGACCTGGATCAATTCGATATTTCAGGACTAGAACAAAGGTCGACTATGAAGTTTGAATTTTTCAGGACCCTCATCTGCGTTGACCTGGATAAATTCGATATTTAAAATGTGATGAAATTTCAAAATTAAGGACTCAATCAAAGTTTAGACTAAAAATTTACTTTTTTGTTTCAAAATTGAAGCTATTTTTCTATTTACCAGATCAAAACTTTTAAGGGAATTGAAATAATTTGAGACAAATATGTAGGCCATTGCAAAAGAAAATTAAGTAAAAATTTAAAATTGTGAGAATTTTTGTGATCAGAAAAATGGTTCAATTAAATTTTAAATTGACTCCCAATGCCGCGCACTAATGTTGTTTTTTCAGATTAGCAATTATATATAATCTGCACTTATTTTTAGATTTTAATAAACTTTTGATTGGATATCCCAAGACTCGTACGTGCGTCAGAAAATAGGATAAAATTAATTGGAAGCAAAGGCAAAGAAAACCTGATGTGAAATAATAAAATATCTCGACCGCAAACCTCAGATCTTGATTTTTTGTTAACAATAATAATCCTCAATCAAAATACAAAACTTCCTGCCATTTATTCTGAATTAAAATTAATTAAAAGAATACAAAGTAACACACATTAATGATTAAATTAAATTTGTTAATTTTTAATTATTATTACTTTGATCTTTAGCCCAAACTTTTGCAAAGCAAAGTTTTTAGAGCTTGATAAGACGAGTTTAGCCGAATCCGGACAATTTTTCTACATCCACTAAAGCTGAGATTAACCAGGCTTATTAGTTTTTTCAAAATTTCCCGTAAAACGCCCACAATTCAATTTACAGTAAAAAATTTATGAAAGTCGCTTCGAAACTAACGGTAATGTGATGTATATCTCATCAATATCCTCAACTTTGACCGGAGTATGTCACTGTATGTCATATGTGAGGTGCAAAGTTACCCTTCACCGCGACCCAGGAATATTCTTTTCGCGCGCAAATGACCCTTTTTTAAGGTCCTATGAATTTGCCGCCACTGTGTGCGCCAATCGGAAGAAGCCACAAGCTTGCAATCGAGTCTGATTGGCCGATTCCGTCTCTCCTCGCATTTCATTGGCTGTTTTCACTCTCAAAGAATTGCTCGTCCAATCAGTGCTCACCTTCGAGCGTAAACAATCACACATGTGCATGGCATGTTCAGCCGGCCCGAGGCCCGACGAAAAGGAAAACAAACAATTTCGAGCTACAAATTCGCTCGAAAATCACGGTTTTTGCGTCTCATTCCAATTATTCTCACTCTCGGAAAATGAAGTTCAGCCTGGGGTGCATCACCAAGTCGGGCCGGCTGGGGTCAATCGCGGAGGTGGACAGAATTCCCTCGGCAGTGTTCGAAACGCCTTTGATGCTGCTCACGACCAAGGTAAACCTTTTTCCACCTTCGGAAAGTCGAGAGGAATTGGCTTCTTCAATTCACGTTTGAATACTAAAATGTATCGTGTTATCTTCTCAGGGTGGAACTGTGCCCCACCTGACCCACGAGACCCTGAGTCTGCTGACCTCGAAGACCCTCGCCCTGCAACTTCCGCTCGCCTCCAACCTGAGGGCGCTCCCCGGCACCACCCTCTCCAAAATGAACGTTGCGGAGTTCATTGGGATGAAGGTAGATTTCTCTTTTAAATTTGGCTCTTTTTTAAAGTTTCATCCTCAGGAGAGTTTGACCTTCTGCTGTGTCAACGACCCGCTGACCACCTTGCCTGGCAAATTCAACAACAAGAATTCGGTGGCGGTTTGGACCAATTCGGGCAGAGAAAACGTCACGCCCAAATCGTAAATATATTTTCAATTAAAACTTCACCTGATCTTCAACTCAACTCGCAGGTACATGGACATTGTTGAGGCCCTGAGACCGGACATGTACCAAACCCTTTGCGACTCGGACACTAATTCCTCAGGCAGCAACAAACGTGCCCTTCACTCGGTCAACACGAGCATGCAATTTTTCCAGTACTGCCTTGACAGACACAAATCTTCAGAGGTATTCATTTTCCTCAAAGTTGTTGGAAAATTTGCTCCAAACATAATTTTTTTTTAAATTCCAATTTATCTATACAAAGCACTATGATCATGACGTTTATTTAAAAAGATTTGATCTCTTTATTTCTATAAATTAATTTTTCATTTTTTCCACCTTTTAATTAAAAATCATGATTAACAATGAGATATAAAGTTTGATTTTGTGCAATTTAATCTCTTTCGATTGAAATTTTATTAAAACTGAACTTCTTGCAGGTCTTGGGCAAGTCTTGCATTTTGGCCTCACTGGTTGGCGGCTTCAGTGCCGAGAGCCGCCTGCAGATGGCCAAGGAGCTGGCAGGAGAGGCTGTCGATGGGTTTGTCCTTGAAGGTTTTGACGCCGCCCTGACCCACGGAGAGGCCGCTGACCCTGACCTCGTCGCCTCCCTGCTCAGGGACACCCTCGTAAGCCTTGAAAAAATATGTGAAGGTTTTTTTTTAAATTTTGAATTCAGAAGCTTCTGCCGGAGGGGAAGGTGCGGCTGCTGCCCGGCTGCTGGGCCCCCGAGGCCTTGTGGCGTTTTGTCCGAGAGGGGGTCGACGTGTTCGACTCGTCCTTGCCAACCGCGGCCGCCGAAAGGGGCGCGGCCCTCACCTTCGGCTTCGACCCACACTCAAAAAGGTACCTTTATTAAGTAAAATTTCTGATAAATATGTTAATTTTCAAACAGTTTCAGCTACAGTTGCGAGGAAAAGGAGAATAGCGAGTCTAAAGTTTACGAAATCAGTCTCAAGGAGAAAAAGTACTTTGACTGTTTGGAGCCCATTTTGGAGGGGTGCAAGTGCGTGACCTGCAGGAACCACACCAAGGCCTACCTCCACCACTTGCTGGTCACCCAAGAACTGCTCGGATCCGTCTTACTCATGATGTATGCTTTCTTCTTTTTAATATAATTTAACTTTAAAATTTTAAACTCAGGCACAATTTGCATCATTACGAGGAGTTCTTTTCTAAGATGAGGGAGGCGATTAGGAGTGAGGCAACATAAGAATGCGGCACTTCTTGTGTGTTAATATACAATTCCAATGGTAATTATTACTGAAACATTTTGCTTTCCAAAATTGTTTTATTTTACATTTGAAAATAAAAAGGTTCGCAATTTAATTAAAATGCCCTCTTAAGAAAAAAAGAACTTCTATTTGAAGTAGCAATTTTTTATGATTGATTCAACAATGGAACCTGTAATTTTAAAAGTTTAAGTGGTCTTGCTTTGATATTTATAATTCTTATTAAATTTAACTATTTGAATGTTAAACTTAGAACGACGAAAGTGGGCAAAAATTGTTTGGATCTGTCGAGCGGAAGGAACAGGGTGAATAAATTTGTTTGCAACTCCGTTATTAAAAGCAAAGTTTTTTTCCGAACAAAGGCTGACAATACGGTGCGCTGCGGAGTTTTATTTTGCCGCGAGCTGCAAGGGCGGGAATCGATTCGCGCGGGGTGGAGCAAGAGCGAAAAATTAGCAGCTTTTCTCAGTCGCGATGTGGCCGTCGGTCGGGGCGGTGGTGCTGCTGCTGCTCGGCCCCCCGACGCAGCGTTGCCGCGCCGCCGCGTGTGACGTCACGCGCAACTGCTCGGCGGTGCGCCACCTGTCGCTGCCGCGCACGCTCGAGGTCGTCGACCTCACGGACGCCGGCGTCGAGACGCTGAACGCGACGCTCGAGGCGCCGCTGCTGCGTCAACTGACGCTGCGCTCGAACCGGCTGCACGCGCTGCCGCCGATCGCAGCGCCGCGTCTCGTCTTGCTGGACGTGTCACGCAACTCGCTGCGGGTGCTGCCACCTGCGCTGCGTCTGCCGCAGCTGCGCACGCTCAACCTGAGCCGCAACGCGTTGGTGGCGCTGCCGGCGCTCTTCCTGGCCGACGCGCCGCGCCTCGCCGTCCTCGACCTTTCGCACAACGCCCTGGCCACCCTGCCGGCGCTGGGCGTGGCCAGACGCACCCTGACGCACGTGCACCTCGCGCACAACCGGCTGGTGCGCGTCGACGCCAACGTCCTGGACGGCGTCGTCGTCTCTGCGCTGCTTGATCTCTCGCACAACGCGCTGAGACGCGTCCCGAGCGACGCCTTACGCAGGGCCGTCTTCGTGCGCAGCGTCGACCTTGCGTTCAACGCCGTTTGCCACCTTCAACCCGGTGACCTGGATGACGTCAGGGTGGCCGCCCTGGATCTCTCAGGCCAGTTGGAACGCGTCGACGCAAGCGCCTTCCGCTTCATGCCCTTTCTCGTCAACGTCACGCTCACGCACAGCCCACGCTTGCGTTTCCTGCCGGCTGGTGCGTAAAAATTACTGAAATCAATAAAATTTCATCAAACCCTGTTCATAGTTCAAATCACCCTGATCAAGGCGGCAAAATAAAATCATAAAATATTATCTCGCGGCTACAAAAATTTACAGTTCTTTTCGGGAAACTTCAGGAAGTTTATTTTCAGTGTAAGTTTAATCTTTCATCTTTAAATTATTATTATTATTATTGTTGTTTATTCTTGTCCGACAAATATTACACATACATGTTATATGCACAGATCACAAAGAAAAATTGAGAAAAATAATGAGCCTGGAATCTACACTGAAAATAAATTTTGCCGATTCCATGAAATAAATATTTTTTGTAGCATTTATTTAATCTTAATGTGTACTATATATATATAGAGATTTTTATGCTAATATGGCTAATATAAACAACATCTTAATTTATCGATTTTATCTTAAAAAATCTAATGTTCGCAGGTGCGTTTGACGCGTCACTGCCGCTTCTACGCAACGTCAACGTCAGCTGGAACGCGCTTCTCGCCTTCGAAGAACCTGCGTCTTGGGTGGACGTGACGCTTGACGCGACGCACAACGCGTTCGTGTGCCACTGCGTCCTGCTCTGGCTGAACGCTTCGATGTGCGCAGACGCGTCTTGCGCGCCGCTGGTGCTGCCACTGTTTCCGGAGGAGGCCGCCGTCGCACTGGGCGCGGCAATCGAGCTACGTTGCGTCGCGTTGGGCGCCGAACGCGTGCGTTGGCTGCGCGCGGACGGGGGCGTGGCTTCGAACGCGTCGCTGCTGCGGCTGCAGCCGGCGCGACGCAACGACAGCGGCCTGCTGACGTGCGAGGCGTCGAGCGGCGTCGGCGCGTCGCGACGCAGCGTCCAGCTCAGCGTCACCGACCCCAACGTGCGTCTGTTCGTGCTGAGCGCGAGCGCCACGTTCGTCACGCTCGCGTGGAACATGAGCGGAAACGCGCCCTACGTGCTGCGCTGGGGCGCCGACGCGTCGCGCATGCGCAGTGCGTCTCCCGCGTTTCCGGCCGCGCCGCGCGCACACTCGTACACGGTGCACGGCCTGCGCCCCGCCACCCCCTACTGCTTCGCGCTCACCCTCGACGCAGACGTCACGCTCGCCTCCACGTGCGTCGCCACCGACGCGGACCTCAGCGTCGGCGTTCAGCGCAGCTACGTCGCCGCCGCCGTCCTCGCGCTCGCTTTCTGCGTAGCGCTCGCCGCCTGCGTCGCCCTCTGCGTCGTCAGCGCGCGGCCTGCGCGAACCACCGTGCGCAGGGTCGAACTCATCGAGGCCATTGACGCTGCGTTCGTCATCGAGTTAGACTGAATTTCAATTTAATCAAACAATTCCTAAAATAAGTGAAAGTGGACGATTTTTTTATGAATAATCTTGAAAAATCAAGAATTAGTGATTTTGAAATTCAAAACTGAATATTTTGATCGTAATATCAATTTTGGTCACAAAATTTTGTCTACTTTCACATTATCAAATAAAATTATTTAGTGTTTTGGACTTTTAAAACCACTATCTTTAAATTCGTAAAGCCAACTTTAGCGCAGGTAGTGTAAAAACTATTAATTGTAAGTCTTTTTTGGTCTTATTAATAAAAAGCTTTATAATCACTTTTTGATTAAATTTTTAATAGCTGCACGGTTGTAAAATTTCTTTACATTTTGCAATTACAAGGGCATAAAATTTGCATTGGCGGATAAGCAAGGGCGCGGCGTCTGGTTTGTTTTATGTGCGGGGGGCGCCGCCGAGGTGGTTTTCTGCCGCATTGCTAATTGCGCTGCTAATTGGGTCTGCCTTTTTAACACTCAAACAAAAATGGCTCTCGACGGCGTGCGCGCCTCTTGACTCGCCGCCGCCGATGTACAGATGATGCTGTTACTGATCGCTTTGCAGTCGAATAACACTGAATAAATAATAAATTCAAAGAAAAAAAAGTAACACGATTCGTGTTTGTCTCTCTCAACTCATTTATCTTTAAACAAAACGATTCTCTCTTTAAGCAGCTCTAATCTCATAAAAAAATGACTACTATAATCAACAACTTGTGACGTTTTCATCTCATTTCCGTTTTCAGCTCTGTTTTCACGTTGAAAGGCAACAAGGTGTTCAGCTGACCCTCGAATAAACGAGCCTCTTTCCCGCCGGACACAAAACCATTTAATATTCGCCCGCCCGGTGATGCAAATTTAGCACCCACGGCTTTACGCTTGTGACGTCATCGGCATCTTTAAAGCATTCATGCTCCACGATTTTTCACCGCGAGCGCTCAAATTATTAACTTGTCTGGCAATCGATGAAGCAAAACTTTATTCATCACGAAAACAAAAAGCAAATAACTTGGAATCAAGTAAATTCATTATGCTGCAGAAATAATGGAGATCATTTAGTAGATTTAATTAAAATGAAGTCTTTTGCAAAAAATCCAAGTTGGCATTTTTTGTGTTTGCAGAATAAAGACGAATGAAATTGGCCCAAATTTTGGAATTTGCTAAAAATTGTTCCCAAAATGCAAAATTCCGGTATTTAGCTAATTAAATTTTGACCGATCAGTGGCTTGATATGCTTGAAAAAGACTAAATTAATAAATAAAGCAAGACTAGTGAAATGAGCAAGTGTCAAAGCTCGTCCCTGCTGGCCGCCGCGGACGTGGAGAGGCCCAAGTGGTGGGCCGCGCAGTTGGCCGCATTCCTGGCCGACACCAGACTCATCTCCATGGCGCTGGCGGCCCACTCGATGGCGTTGTTGTGGATCAGGCCCGGCAGCAGCGCGAACGGCGCGTCCGCATTGTCCGACCAGTCGTAGTGCGGGTACGCCGGCCACAGGTGCTGCCGCGTCTCCCCCACCCCCTCCAGCACCTCGGCCAACTGCGCCTCGCTCGGTTTACTTGCCGAAAAGATCTAAAAACAAAATTATTTGTTCAAAGAAAAAATGGCAATTTTTTTAATTCTCAATGTGAGAGAAGAGGAAATTTTATGAGATGCTCAGTCAGAAACGCCAAATTGGAAAATATAAACCCTCAAGCTTCAAACAAAGGATTCGTCTTTTCCTGCCAAGTGTATTTGAACCTTCAGGAAAGTTATTCACGATTTAAAAATCAATAAATTAAGGTAAACAGATGGGAAATGTGTTTTGAATCCCAAGCAAAGGTTCAAATACTTCTGGCGCGAAGACTTGATACCTTGAAACAACCCTTCAGGGTGCGAATTTTTTGATCGCGATTTCAGTTTTGGTTATAAAAGATCACCTTGTAACCAATTCAGGTATAAAAAAATTTACAAATGTGGGTCTTTAAAATCGCACCTTGTAGACTGGCTTTTCTGGTTTGGTTGAGTCGACGGGCCAGACTTTGCTCATCGAGTTGAGCCACGCGGGGCCCACGGCGATGACCTCGTCCACGGGCTGGCCAAAGGCACTTGGGTTGATGCCGGACGCCTCCACCAGCGTCACCCACACGTCCTCCATGGGCCGCACGGTGACGGACGCCTCTACCGGAAGACCGAGAGTCCCATTCAGGGGCGTCGCAATTATCACAGCGTCGTAAACGTCGGAAACTGCAAAAGAATAAAATAAATCAAATTGATACATTGATCAGGGATTTCAAATGATTCAAACTCTGTCATTTGAGAACTCTTTGTACTCAAAATTGGGTTAAAAATTAATTGATTATGCTTGAATTTTATAAGAAAATGAGATACTAGAGTAAGTTAGTTAGATTAGATCAGAATTTGAGAATTTAAAAAATTGTGTAAAATTTCAGCAATTTGGAATTCTTTCTACTCATTAATTATGACAATCGTTGTTAAATATGTGTTATATTTAAATTTATTATAATTAATTTCAATAAATGTAATCCATCTTTTTATCAAAACTGATCAAATCAGATTTTTTTTTACTGTTTTTCTTCTTCTAAAAATGCTGATTGACTTGCACCACAAAATTGAAAACTGGTCCTTCATTTCAGAGCTTCGCTTTGATAATTTGTATGACCTTTTTTGCTCACTACCTGAGTCCCAATACAGGGTGTACCCTGATCCTGAGGGCGCTGGTTCAATTCTGTCGACCTTGTGCGGAACGAGGAAGGCGTCCGCGGCGGCCAGCAATTGGTACGGGAGGCGCTGATTTCCTCCTTCAACGGCCCAAAGGTCACCCTCTGACCCTGCCAGGGACACGAAAGTCACAAACTTGGTCGCGTTTTGCACGTACTGGGCGTAGTTGACCCTGAGGGCCGCGCCCACGATTTCCCTGAGGAACTCGGGCGAGATGCCCTCGATGGTCTCGGCGGACTCGGTGGTCATGTTGGGGAAGGTCGGGGACATGGCGGACAAAAGGTCCGACACCCTTTCGAAGCACTGCCCTTTCTCCTGGGCCGCGTAAATCCTGAATTAAAAAAAAAGTTATTTAAAAATATTCGATTCGAAAGAGTTTTCACTTGTCAAAGTTGGCAAGCATCTGCTGGAGCTGCGAGTTGGCGTTGTAAAGGGTCATCGGGCCGTACCGCCACGCCATCCTGGCCAGGTCGACGACGCTCCAGCCACTCTCCTCGAAGACCACCTTTTCCCCGTCGAACAGACTCACTTTCGAGGCAGGAGGCTCGGCCCTGCGTTTCAATCCTGAAATTAGTTTTTGCAATTATAATTCAGATTTCTAATGAAAGCGAATATTTTTACCTAGTTCCTGGACCAAAGTGACAGCGTGTTTGTTGCGGGGGTGGATGATGGCACCACCGAGCTCGTACTGCTTCCCTCCGACCGTGGCCAGGGCCAATCGACCTCCGACCTCAAATATAAAAATAAATTTTTCCAGATTATGTAATAGTAAAAATTTTACTTCGTCATCCTCAAAGACATCGACCTTCGGCTGGGGATGCAGAAAGTTTCTCAGAAAGTATGCTGTCGCTGTTCCGCCAATTCCTCCGCCGATGACAGCTATAGAAATTATTTTAAAATTAGAATAATAAGGAAAAATAGATTTTTTTGTTCTTGAAGAATTGATTGTGAAATAGTATAATTCAATTCAATTTAATTACCAATTTTTTTAGTTTCTTGTTTGCAGCAGCAAAATGTAAACATTGAAAACAACAAGAAAATTAAGAGCCGCAAATCCATGATTCTCTGAAAATATCTGTTTGATTTCCAGAATTTTTTTATTTAAAGCTTCCTTATCACTGAAATTATCACAACTGCGTGTAATTCAGGGTTAATTCACTTAAATAACAACATTTTTTTAGACTTGTTCCTTGTTAGTTTTCAAACGAGACGCTGAGATTACAATATCCATCCATATCCATAGCTGAGATTAGTTCCGAAAAGCGGCAACAGATGACGCGGGCGTGCAGTTTTGCGCGAATTCCGATTTTGGCGGAAAAAGAGCAATGGCGGCATGTTGACATCGTGAGCCGGCGTTTCGCTTCAAGAATTGCAGGAAAAGAGACGGAAAAGAAGCGGAAAATGCGGTTCGCGGCGGTCGCGGCCGCGCTCTTGCTGCTCGGCGCGTCTCCGGACACTTCGGACGCGGCCAAACTGAACACGCCGCGCGTCCTGCTGCCGCTCTACAGCCAATTCCCCAACAACTTCACGCTGCACGTCGACGACGGCGGCTGCTACAAGTGGTGAGTTTTCGTCCCGAACGGGTCGGAAAATGGTGAAAATTGATTGATTTGTGTGTCGGCAGGAGCACGAAGAACCCGACGACGATCCAGCTGACGGTGGTGGAGGCGGCGGCCGGCAAGGGGTGCTCCTCGGAGGCGGTGGTGAGCGCCGTCATCTCCGAGGTGGGTCGCCACACGGCCATCATCATCGCCGAGGACGCCGCCTCGGGCGAGGTGTTGCGCTGCGACGTCATCGTCGACTCCATCGCCAGCCTCAGCATCGTCACCACCACCAGGGAGATCTTCATCGAGGAGGCCCCCGAGGTCTTCGAGGTCCAGGCCTACGACGACCTTGGTCAGATTTTAAATCAAATTATGTACAAATTGACATCATAAAAGAAATTTCCAGAAATTTCCAATTTTTTAAATGTGATTTTGAAAATTAATTGTTAGGATAAAAGCCCAAAATTATGATAAAAATAAACAGTGACAAAATTATGCAATTAATTTCAATTTAAAGATTTTGATTAATTTAGAGTGTTTTTTCGAATTGGAGCTGATTTTTTTCTCCTTTTGCAGGAAACAAGTTCACGACGCTGGAGGGATTTGCCTTCGAGTGGCAGGTGCGGACCGTGTCGAAGCGGGCCAAGGACGGCGTCATCAAAGTCCTTCGGTTCGAGGACTCGCACTACAACACACCCTCGCAGAGCCTGGCCGAGATCGAGAGTGCCGGCCTGCACGGCAGCAAAGTGCTCTTGTACGGGGTCAGCACCGGCCAGGTTGAGGTCACCGTAGCCCTCGCGCAGCCCCAGTACCAGAACGTCCGGCCGGCGCCTTCGGTGATTCTCGCCGTCGTCGCCAACCTCCTGCTCGACCCCCTCGACACTCTCCTCATGCCCTACACAAAGGTCATTTCATGCGGAATTTGTTTCAAAATTAAATTATTAATTGAATGCCAAATTTTTTTTATCACATTTTGTAAATCAATAAGGCATTTCCATGATTACCCTGAGGAATTTTCTTAAGGAAACCAAGCATTTTTAGGGCTTTTGTAAAGGAATTGTTTACCTTTAATTTTGAAACCCAAAAATATTGACTTTTCCGTTTTTTTAAACAATTAAAAACTTAAATAACTTTGCAACCGCAAATGCTAGAGTGATAAAAATTTCACATTCAGACTCAATTTTTCAAGCCAAACAACTTTTCTACGGACACCAAAGCTGTAGGTCTAAGGTCAAGGTCACTTTTAAGCGATTTTATGATTTTTTAGGAAAACAAAATCCATTTTTGGGGATGATGGTCCACATTGATAAATTTGCAGGTTTAGGAAAAAATGTAGCTAGTGTAATTTTACAAATAATATGTAATTTTCAGAATAGTTATAAATTTTTAGTTTTCCCACAAATTGCGTCTGAAGTTCAAAAACCGGGTAATAAACTGAAAAAAAAACCAAAAATTTTTCCATTTATGATCAATTCCTTTTTCTGAAGCCCTCAAAAGTTTGTGAAACTCAAAATGATTGGTTTCCTTAAGAGTCGTGAGTGTACTCATGGAAATGCCCAATAGATCACAAATTTATGTGAAACTTAAACTTTTTGTATAAAAGTTCAAAGTTTTCTCATGATTGAATCAAGTTTTAAAATGTGTCAATGCAAATGAAAGTAAAATGAATTGATTTTTGCAGGTGAGATACCAGTTGGAACTTGTCCGGCACGGTCGCCAGGAGAATTTGGCTCTGCCCTCTGAGCAGTACCAACTGGAGGTGCAGGACTCTGCAATCGCCAGCCTGCAGTCGGACGGGGTCATTGTCGAGGCGCTGTCCGTCGGCAAAACCAGAATCCTCCTCAGGGACATGAACGCCGTGGATGATGAGGAGGGCCGCACGACCTCGGCCACTCTCAGGGTTGCCAACCCCACTGCCCTTGACATCCAGGTCCTGCCTCACAAAAGGTGAAACAGTTTAACCTGATTATGACTGATAACGAAACTTTAACCTTACAATTTAAAGCCATTTATAAGCAAATGTCTGTTTTTGTTTCTAAATCTATAGAATTGAATAAATATTGAAGATATTTCTAATATAAAATTAAAATTTATGAAGCAAATAATATTTAAGCAAAAAGTTTAACAAGGAAAACTCGGATAAAAGCCTTTTCAATTTGTTTTTCATTTGAAATCTTAGAAATTTTTAGACCGAATTCATCTTTTGATGGTAAACGTAAATCTTTGAAAAGTAATTCAGTGCTTGGACTAATGATTGAAATTTGAAATTTCAGTTGGCAGTTGATTGCCGGGCGTCACTACGAACTGCATGCCAGCATCCTGGACGCCAACAGACACGTCTTCCACATTGGTGAGGGTCTGCATATCAACATCGAGGCGAACCCCAAGTACTTCTCGAACGACAGGAAAACGGCCTCGGTGCTCTTCGGAAGGGCGCAGCTGATCGGCACCATTCCCGTCACTGCCAGTCTGCCCGACACGCAGCACTCCCTCTTGGCCAAGAAGCACCTCGTCATCAACGAGCAGGTCAAGGTCAAGCCAAAGGTCACCTACCTGCCTTGGTCCAAGACTCCAAAGCCTTACGAGGTTTGTTGGAAATTTCGATACATGCAGAAAATGTTGTAAAGTTTTTATTTGAAACTTTTTTCAATATTTATGTTAAAAGTTTTAATTTATTTACTTAAAGAGGATTTTGCGAGATGAATGCGAATTGTTAATTCAATGAACTTTATTTGCCGAAACTTATTATAATATAAACTCAATTATAATCCGGGAGAGTTTTAGAATCAAATTATTTAAGAAAATTTCCTCGAAGAAGTATGTAATCGAAAAAAATCGTTCCTTAAAATGAATTTTTAAATATTTTAGAAATTTCTAAACATTTCATTGGTAATGAACTTGATTATAGTTTTAAAAGATCAAGTTTGAATGAATATTGAAATTCAATACTTTTTTTTGCAGATCCAACTGGAAGCGACAGCACGAACCGGAGACGGAAGCGCCCCATCCTTCGTGTGGCAGAGCCGCAGCCCTCGCGTGGCCAGCGTGAGCCAGGAGGGCGTGGTGACCTCTTCGGAGGCGGCCAACGTGTCCGTGTGGCTGGACAAAGACCCGCTGAACGTGGCGCAGGCGCAGGTGCGCTTCCTGCCGCCGTGCAAATTATCCATCGTGGGCCGCAACCTGCAGGCTGAGGCCGGCTCGACGCTCCACGTGCCCGTGCAGTTGCTGCTGTGCGACCCTGCAGGCCTGGAGGTCAAGGCGGCCGACTGCAGACACGCCCCCCTCGCCGTGGAAACCTCGGACAAGGTGCGCAAGCTGCCCAAGAACGGCGGCCCGTTGGACGCGGCGGCCGGCTCGTGCGCCTCCGTCCTGCTGACTTCGGACGCCGCCCTGCTGACCTCTGTGCGCGTCACGCTGGACGTGCAGCTGCCCAACGGCGACCTGCTGACCCTCGAGGACACGACCACCATCAGCTTCTACAAACCGCTGCGGGTGCTGCACCCGACCTCGGCCCTCACCGTCCTCGCCCCCGGCAGCTCCAGGAACGTCATCTTCGAGGGCGGCCCGAGGGCCATGACCGGACTCGCCAAACCCGGACGCAAAATCTCTATCGCCAACCCGGCACTTGCGCAGGTAAATTCACTTGGTAATTAGGAATTCCTCAAACGCGAGGAAATAATCAATTTTCATTCTTTCTGCATTTTCCTTTTTTTTATATATATATATATTTGCAAACAAAATAAAATTTGTGAACGTGGCTTAGTTAGTCCATGTTAACTGAACGAAATGAAATTCTAGCATGTTGTTAACCATGTCTAGAGGTTTCCAAAATGTATAGTTTTGCCCCGATATCTCAAAATTTACAGGTTTTACATGACATTCTAATTTTGATTTTGAAAAACTTTAAACGGCTGTATCTTGGCTTCCCGGGGTCATAGAAATTCCGGACGGTTTTAGAATTGTCTCGTTGCCCACTACAACTTTTCTGTGAGGCGCAGAATCGTAGGTCACAGGTCAAGGTCAATTCTGGTGACTTCGAGACCTTTGACTTCAATTTCGAGAATCACCGTTTATGAAATTCTGATATAGCCATTTCGTAGAGCGAAATATTTCACGTAAAATGAGAAATAAAATACAGGGTATATTCCTTGTTTTTTTATTATAAGAATTACACAAGCAAAAAACGTGGTTTTTACGAGCTTTTCTGATGGCGAAACTCGTTTGAACCGCCGAAACTTTGTTTCCGAGCGAGACAGCTCATCTAACATAAAAGTGTTTGTCTTTGACACGACTTATCTGAGTTTGTATCACCATTGGTGACTAGGTCGCAAAAGGTCATTGACCTCGGTGACCTTTGAATCTGACAAATTTGTTCCATCACGTAATTTACTGTAGCTTAAATAGAAGCAGTTTTAATTAAGAAATTTGTTTTTGAAAACCACAGAAGGTCAAAACCTGGTTATTTTGAAGCAGTTTTGAAGCTAAAACAATGATTCAAAACAACAAATTTTATCATTTTAACCCGATTCTTTCTGGTTTAAAAAGAAAAACTGCTGAGTTTTCCTTTCATTAAAGTTAAATTTTTCCATTTTTTTTTTAGGTCTTCGGTGCTGATATTTTTACAGAATGTTGTTTCGAAAATTGATAAAAATGATCTTTCTTGATGTTGCAGTGGTCAGATGTGGACCAGAACAGCGTCAACCATGTGATCGTCCGAGTTTTATGCAACAAAGTGGGCGAGACCGAGTTGGCGTTGTCGCTGAGCCTGGGCGAGGGCGACGCCGCCGTGGAGGCCAAGGGCGTCGTCAAGGTCGTGTGCGCCATGCCCGACTCGCTGACCCTGACCCCGCGGCTGCCGACGCCCGACTACGACGCGTGCAGCATCTCGGCGGGCACCCTGGTGGCCCTGAGCAGCCAGGAGGTCACCGTCGAGGTCACGGCCTTCGACTCGCACCTCCGAAAATTCGACAACTTCTCGAGCGTGCGCTCCGACTGGACCCTCGACCCCCGCGACGCCGTCCACGCCCTGCCCGCCGCCCTCGGCAACGACCCCGTCAGGGACGACGCGTACGGAGTCTTCCTGCCCGGCTCCGCCCACCACACCCTCCGACCCCTCGGGCAGAGCAACCTGCTCACCGTCACGGCAACCCTGACCGCAGCACAGGTAAAAATCTTGCAATATGACCTTTTTTTAAAGGAGCGTCTCTACCAGTACCCTTTGGAGGAGTCATTTTGAGTTTCACTTCTTACAAGGAACTTGATCAAAATTTTGATCCACAAAAACACTTTTTAAAAGCTCTGCAGGTCAAAGGTCAATGGCACCTGTAAGCGGTTTTATGTTTTTTTTTTTATTAAAAAGTCCGATTTTGGGGGTGATGATTGTAGTTTAAACCTTGATCTGAAATTTGATCGTTGCAGGTGCAAGTGAAGGCCCAGGCGGCAATTTTGTTCCTGGAGGAGGTGCAGCTGAGCCCGAGCAGCCTCACCGTTTACAACCACTCGAGCAAACTGAACCGAATGAAAATCTCCAAAGGCTCAAACTCTTTCTTGCTCAACATCGTCGACGGCAAAGACGTCATCGACATCAACTTGGCCAAGCAGAAAAGGGCCGTCGAGGTGGGCAAAAAATCATCTAAAATTATATTATTTTGATTTTAAAACTAATCAAAAAATTAATATGGATTTCAGAAGTGATAAGTGTCTTGATAATTTCCATCGTAAAAAATCGATCGCAGAGATTGTGATAAAAATTTATTTCTGCATCAACTATAATATCTATCAGGACACAATTTGATCACTTTGATTAATCTTGAAATTGATCTTTACAATTAAATTGCATTAAATTTTAATATTTAAATAAATTTAAAATAACAAGCTACCTGATGAGCCGAATTTGATTTCTAAGACAGATTTAAATCGATTTTGAAATTCGTATTTGCAGATCACGCCAAAGAAACCGGGCCACGCGAGGATCTCTGTGGTCGACGCGTGTCTGCCGAAGGAAACACGCAGAGCCGCCGTCGGCGAGGTGACGGTGCTGGGCATCGGCTCGGTGGTGGTCAGCGTGGCCTCGCAGGTGCAGGAGGGCAGCACCGTCGAGGGCTCCCTCACGATCGTGGGCACCGACGGCCAGCAGATGACCCCGCCCACTGCAGCCCTCGTCAAGCACAAGGAGGACGCGACCAAGATCCAGGTCGACATCTCCGACACCTCGCCCCTCCACTTCAAGGTCACCGGCCTCAAACTCGGCAATGCCGAACTCAGATTCGAGGTTGACAACGTCCTCAGCCACCCGGTCAACATCAACGTCTTCCCACCCATTAAGGTAAAAATCTCTTTTATTCTATTTTGACCTACTTTTGTGCAGCTGATTTTGATACACTTCGGCTGATCGATTTCTTTACTTCTTTAGAGATAAAGTTCCAATGGATTTGGGAAAATTCCCAAAATTGCCTACTTTACAGGGGCTCGAATTTGGAGATTTTTTGAAAATCGAAAATATTTAATTTTGTTTCTGTTTGAGATACGCTTAAAAGTATTATGACCAAATTTGTTCGAAATGAGACATTCTACAACTTTGCTGAAGTGCCCAAGGTCAAAGTTCAAGGTCACTTTTGCCTACATTAATTTTTAAAATTGCTGCTTAAGTATCTAGTACATAAAAATTTTAGGTTTCGAAATAGCCAAGAGTTGAGTATTTTAGTAGGGAAGAACTTATTAAAAATTTGTGATAGAGTGTTTTTTATTTAAAAAGTTATTCAAGGTCAAAGGGTGAAAAACGTGGTTTTCCTAGATTTTTGTACTTGCAATCTCATTAACTTATTTTCTATCAGAACTAGGATAAAATGTATCATGACAAAATATTATCTACTCGATAAGCTCTTTCAGATCGTGTATCGTGACCAGGGGTCTAATTCTGTAAGCTTTTTCGTTTCTATTTCCATTTCTATATTCATTTTCCATTTGCTTACCCATTCTATTTCGTCGCCTTTTTCGATTACGACTTCTATTTCGCAGCCTATCCATTTCCATTTCTATTTCGTCGTCAATTTTAATAGTTGAGCCATATACAGGGTGTCCAATAAATAATCCGCGGATGTTGACAGCTCGCCACGGGCGAACCGTTGGTCCAAATTGAAAAATCTAGACAGATTCTGAAAGCCCAACCTTCTCCAAATTTGACTGGCATAGTAAGAATTTTGACAGAGTTGAAATTTTAATTGTTTTACTTGAAAAACTAAAAAAAGCCAAATCGCCTTATGGGAACACCAATGTAGTGGCAAAGGGTGTGTGTGAAGTTAAAAGTGTGAAACATATTTTTTAGGTAAATCGACCCTCCTGAACACGAATCTGGGGTCAGTTTTTCGAAATTTTGCTTACTTCTAATTTTTTCCCGTTAATTTGCAATTTTTTGCCAAATGTGCCAAAAAAACTAACGCGTCGAGATAAAAATCTGAAAATTGCTGGAGGGGTGCATCTTGAACATAACAACAACGTAATTTTTCCATACTTGCTATTTTCCGGAAAATTGACCATTTTCACAAGGGGTCCACGTTTTGGTCGATTTCTCGATTTCTATGGGAGTTAAAAACAAAACTTAAAGTGATTCTGAAAGCTGATAAAATTTCCTATCTTTTCTCTGTGAACATTAACTTTCCAACACTGGCTGCTTTTCCGGAAAATTGAAGAAAAAAATTAACTTATTTTTCCCAGAGAGTATGCAACCCGCAACAGAAAGTCTAAATAGCCAAAATGTAGCTTGGTTCTTTGGCAAGACACCCCTAAAATTTCAAAACTTTTCCTCCAGCCGTTTTTCCGCAATCGCCGATTTTCCCGACCCCTTTTGGAAAAACTAAAACTTTTCCGGAAAGGCATGTGTGAGGCATCATTCGATTAGGCACGTCAAGAAGATGCTAGAAATGAATTTTTATCAAAATCGGATCATTTTTCAAATTTTCAGAGCAGTTTGAAAAATGAACTTTTTTTAATTTACAAAAACTGCTCTGAAAATTTGATATACATATATATATATATATATATATATATATATATATATATATATATATATATATATATATATATATATATATATATATATATATATATATATATATATATATATATATATATATATATATATATATATATATTTAGATATATATATATATATATATATATATGTATATATATAATTTTCATATAATATTTATATTTAATTTAATTATTGCATATGCGCTTACAGTAATTTTTCAAATGATTTTTAATATACTCAAGTCAATAAAATGTATAAAAAATTATTTGAATAAGGCGTTTAGTCAAAAGTACCTCAGTGTGGGAGCAAATTGTGGTACCACAGTGTGGGAGCAAATAGTGGTACCACAGTGTGGGAGCAAATTGTGGTACCACAGTGTGGGAGACAATTGTGGTACCACATTGTGGGAGCAAATTGTGGTACCACAGTGTGGGAGCAAATTGTGGTACCACAGTGTGGGAGACAATTGTGGTACCACAGTGTGGGAGCAAATTGTGGTACCACAGTGTGGGAGACAATTGTGGTACCACAGTGTGGGAGCAAAATGTGGTACCACAGTGTGGGAGACAATTGTGGTACCTCATTGTGGGAGCAAATTGTGGTACCACAGTGTGGGAGCAAATTGTGGTACCACAGTGTGGGAGACAATTGTGGTACCACAGTGTGGGAGCAAATTGTGGTACCACAGTGTGGGAGAAAATGTGGTACCACAGTGTGGGAGCAAATTGTGGTACCACAGTGTGGGAGCAAATTATGGTACCACAGTGTGGGAGACAATTGTGGTACCACAGTGTGGGAGCAAATTGTGGTACCACATTGTGGGAGCAAATTGTGGTACCACATTGTGGGAGCAAATTGTGGTACCACAGTGTGGGAGACAATTGTGGTACCACAGTGTGGGAGACAATTGTGGTACCACAGTGTGGGAGACAATTGTGGTACCACAGTGTGGGAGACAATTGTGGTACCACATTGTGGGAGCAAATTGTGGTACCACAGTGTGGGAGCAAATTGTGGTACCACAGTGTGGGAGACAATTGTGGTACCACAGTGTGGGAGCAAATTGTGGTACCACAGTGTGGGAGCAAAATGTGGTACCACAGTGTGGGAGACAATTGTGGTACCTCATTGTGGGAGCAAATTGTGGTACCACAGTGTGGGAGCAAATTGTGGTAACACAGTGTGGGAGCAAATTGTGGTACCACAGTGTGGGAGCAAATTGTGGTACCACAGTGTCGGAGCAAATTGTGGTACCAGTGTGGGAGCAAATTGTGGTACCACATTGTGGGAGCAAATTGTGGTACCACAGTGTGGGAGCAAATTGTGGTACCACAGTGTGGGAGCAAATTGTGGTACCACAGTGTGGGAGCAAATTGTGGTACCACAGTGTGGGAGCAAATTGTGGTACCACATTGTGGGAGCAAATTGTGGTACCACATTGTGGGAGCAAATTGTGGTACCACATTGTGGGAGCAAATTGTGGTACCACATTGTGGGAGCAAATTGTGGTACCACAGTGTGGGCGCAAATTGTGGTACCACAGTGTGGGAGCAAATTGTGGTACCACAGTGTGGTACCACAATTGTGGTACCACAGTGTGGGCGCAAATTGTGGTACCACAGTGTGGGAGCAAATTGTGGTACCACAGTGTGGGAGCAAATTGTGGTACCACAGTGTGGGAGCAAATTGTGGTACCACAGTGTGGGAGAAAATTGTGGTACCAAAGTGTGGGAGCATATTGTGGTACCACAGTGTGGGAGCAAATTGTGGTACCACAGTGTGGGAGCAAATTGTGGTACCACAGTGTGGGAGCAAATTGTGGTACCACATTGTGGGAGCAAATTGTGGTACCACATTGTGGGAGCAAATTGTGGTACCACATTGTGGGAGCAAATTGTGGTACCACATTGTGGGCGCAAATTGTGGTACCACAGTGTGGGCGCAAATTGTGGTACCACAGTGTGGGCGCAAATTGTGGTACCACAGTGTGGGCGCAAATTGTGGTACCACAGTGTGGGAGCAAATTGTGGTACCACAGTGTGGGAGCAAATTGTGGTACCACAGTGTGGGAGCAAATTGTGGTACCACAGTGTGGGAGCAAATTGTGGTACCACAGTGTGGGAGAAAATTGTGGTACCAAAGTGTGGGAGCATATTGTGGTACCACAGTGTGGGAGCAAATTGTGGTACCACAGTGTGGAAGTAAATTGTGGTACCACATTGTGGGCGCAAATTTTGGTACCACAGTGTGGGAGCAAATTGTGGTACCACAGTGTGGGAGCAAATTGTGGTACCAAACAGCGCACGCGATGAATTTAATAATATAAATACTTGGTTGCTAATTTGCAAAAAAAAAATATAATTGTATTTTAATTCAGCCAATTTTTAAGAAATTGATTTAATTAACTTCGTGAAAGGAAAAATTATCTTGATCCCCTCTATTTATGAGCCATAAAAAGATTTGATTATAAGGGGGTGCGAGAGACATATAAGAATTATAAATATACATTTTCATTTAAAATTAAATAATTCATATAATTTTATCAACCTTAATATTAAAAACCATTCGAAGAGCACTGCAAGCATAGGCAGTAATTAAATTAAATAATAAATAAATAAATGGCACAACTAATAAAATTGACAACGAAATAGAAATGGAAATGGAATGGCAGCGAAATAGTAGTCGTTATCAAAATAGGCGACGAAATAGAATGGGTAAGCATATGGAAAATGAAATAGAAATGGAAATGGAACGATTCTATCTTACAGAATTAGACCCAGGTCTCAAAAGGTCATCGACCCTGGTGACCTGTGACCTTTAATTAATTCTTCATACAATTTTTGAAAGAGGACATCAGCAGAAGCATTTTGGTGACTGGATTTTTGTTTTACATCCAACATAATTAAAGTTATCAGCGATGGAAAATCGTTTTTCACTAAATGAGCTAAAAAAAAACGTTTTTCACCCTTTGACCGTGAATAACTCTAAAACTAAACACAATATCATCACCAATTTTTAATATGTTCTTTCCTATTAACATACGCAACTTTTGGTTGTATAGAAAGTTAAAAAAATATTAATGTACTTCAGCAGCAAATTTAAAAATTAATGTCAAAAGTGACCTTGAACTTCGACCTACGACCTTGAGCACTGCGGCAAAGTTGTAGGTTGTCTATATTCCAACAACTTTGGTCATGATACTTTTTAGCGTATCTCTAACAGAATCCAAGATATTTTCGATTTTCAAAATCTCCCTTTAAAAAAAATTCCCAAAGTTAAGCCCCTGTAAAGAAGGCAATTTTGAGAATTTTTTCAAAATCCTTTGAAACTTCATCTATATTGAAGGGAAGGCCTGCCAAAATGTATGATAACTGACCGATGCAAAAATGCGGTTGAAATGAAAAAAAAAATTAAATGTGAAATTTGCAGATTTGGCCGAGCGACCTGGTGCTGGTGCCCGGCTCGGTGATGCAAGTGCTGGCCAAAGGTGGTCCGAAGGTGCCGGACGCGGTGCTCGAGTTCTCGTCGTCGTCGCCGGAGCGTCCGTCCTGCCTGGACACGACCGTGGGCGGCATGATGGAGGCGCGCTGCACCGGCTCGGGCCGCGTCTCGGTCAAGGCCGTGGCCCCCGACGGCCACATCTACTCGCAGGACTCGGCCCCGGTGCGCATCGTCGCCCTGAGCGCCGTCGAAGTCGCCACGCCCACCACCGTCCTCGAGCAGGGCACGCGCATGCCCGCCTACCTGGTCGGCAAGTCGGACACCGGAGAGGTCGTCTCACCTTTTGTCGTGGCCACGCTCGAGGCCAAGTGCGTCTGGGCTGACCACGGCGGCCGCCTCCACGTCAAGTCCTCTGGTGAGAGTGAATAAAAAAATCAATAAACCGGTAAAAAGGCGAAAATTTCGGAATTTTCTCCCAGAATGTACAATTTAATTTTTGAAATAACTTAAAACGGTCATAATTTTGGTTCTTATCAACTTAGACTCTTTTATTTCATGGTTCTGGAAAGACAAAATTGTGGCCTGTAAGATTAGAAATTGTATGAAATCTTTCAGAACCCGTTTTAGTAAAATTATGCTAATATTTTGGAATATTAAGTAAAAATTCGGTTCAAAGATTTAGTAATTTGAATTTTACGGCCAAGGATATTATTTGATAAGAAAATGTTTCAAACAAAAGATAAAGGAAATTTATTTCTGCATATTTTATGTCCATACTATTTTCTTCTAAATTCAAAAGAAAAAAAAGAAAACGCTTTAGAAAGGCGAGAATGTTCAAAATCTTCATTTGCTTCAAATTTTTGCTCAATGCTAACCTTAAGGACAAAATCGCCTTACCATGCCGATTTGGAGAATTTGCAAACTTTAGCAGCCAAAGTTAAAACAGATTTAATTTTGCTGCAAGATTGTTTTGATCGTTGTCGTTAAATTTGACCTTTTTTCCTTCTTTCTTTGCCAACAGACAGCGTCGTGCACGTGGACGCAGTGAACGTGGGCATGGCGGAACTTTCGGCCACCTTCCAACTGGGCGAGGGCACCGTCTTCACCAGCACCGCGGCCGTCGAGGTCATCCCCGCCCAACGCCTGACCCTGCCCCCGAACGCACCCTCCGCCGCCCCCATCCTCATCGCCCCCTTCTCAAAGGTAATTCAAATCAAATTATCGTAAATTGATTTTGATGGAATTTTACTTTCAATTTTAATTAAACACATTTTCAGTTTTAATTGTGATAAAAATTATTTGAACCAGGTCCAACTGAGGGCGAGCAGCGGCAAGTTCTTCCTGGACTGCGGCGGCGAAGGAATCATGTCCGTGAGCGAGGGCGGTTTGGTGACCTCGGCAGGGCCGCTGGGCCGAGGCACCATCGTCGTGTCCGACCACAAGACGAACCAGAAGCTGGTGGTGGGCGTGGCCGTGGTGCCCGTGGCGTACGTAATGGCGCAGGCGGCCTCACCGCTGGGGGTGTTCGCGCGGGGCATGCAGACCCCCGTGCATGTGACGTACCACGACGCCATCGGCAGGGAGATGGTGGTGCCCTCTGAGGAGCGCCGCCTCGAGTGGATGTCCAGCCGGCCGCAGACCCTGGCCCTGACCAACGACCTTCTGCAGCTCGGCGAACTTGGCCGCGCTGTCCTGGACCTGTGGGACGGCGCCCAGCACGCCTTCCTCAAGCTGCAGGTCAGGCCGATCGTGAGGCCCACCGCCCTGAGCCAGGGTGACGTCGTCTGCTACCACGTCGGCCGCCAGGGCAACTGGAGCACCCTGGCCGACGCGGCCCTCCAGGTTGACGCCACTACGGGCTGGGCCGTCGCCCTCGGCCCCGGCGACGCCAACCTCAACTTCGTCTCCTCCGAAGGTGAGCCAAATTCATGATGACCCTGACCTGAGTTGATGCTTTCTTTCAGGCGTGACCACTTGGGCCGAGATTCAGGTCAGCCCTGCCACCTCCGTCGCCTGGCTCAGCCCCTCGCCCTCCTCCTTCAGCAGCAACGCGCCCTTGCTGGCCAAAGTCCTCATCAAGACCAACAACAAAAGTGGTAAAATTCTATTTTAAAAAATCGCATTCCCGTGAAAACAAAAAAATTAATATCTTTGCTCCGATTGATAAATTACAGATACTCTCTTCACTTACAAACGTAACTTTTTATGCCCGACAAGTTTTCTGTAAAGTACTTTTGCGTAGGTCAAAGGTCAAGGTCACTTCGTTACAAATTTCACTTTTAAACTCAATTTTCATCAAGTAGCGCTCCTTAGATTTTTTTGCAGGATAGGTAAAATGTAGCTCCAAGTGTGTAGAACAAAATACCTGATTTTCAGAATGATGGAATCGTTTAATTGATATTTTTAATTGATTATTAAAAAAAAAACATCGCTATTTGGCAATAGAAATTAATTTTCAAACAGCGATAACTCACTTCTTGTGAGAGATATGACAATAGTTGTAATAACAAAAAGTGTTTCAAATTACTTTTTCTATCAAACCATGTTTGGTCACTTCACAATATTGACCCCAGTGACCTATGACCTTAAAATAGGGTTAACCAAAACTGAATAAATTTATAGCAATGTTTTAGTATGGAACGTTATGTAAAAATATTTTTATACGGTCAAAGGTCATGGGGGTCAATAACCTTAAGTGACCTGACCTTAATGATTAATTCATTGTTTGATAGAAAGAGTAATTTGGAACACTTTTTGTCATTAAAACTACAACCTTATCTCTCACAAGAACTGAGTTATCGCTGGTTGAAAATTAATTTCTATTGCCCAATTGCCATTTTTCCCGTTTTTTAATATCCAATTAAAAATATAAAATAAACTGTAAAAGTTAACATTCTGGAAATCAGGTATTTTGTCCTACACACTTGGGGCTATATTTTTTCCTATACCTTGGAAAAAATTGAAGATGTGCTTTTTTAAAGTTCCGTTCAAAAATTAAATTTTTTGTATTTTAGTGATCTTGACCTTTGACCTACGCAAAAGTTGTCAACAGCAAAGTTGTTCAGCACAATAAGTTACGTCTTCAAGTGAAAAGCTTTAATTTGACGAATTTTCAAGTTTTGTCTAAATTTTAATTATTTTTTTAAGGCGCAAAAAAGAGCAGCCTGGTAGAGGGAAAGTGTGATCCGCCGGCGAGTAAGTTGCCATCGGCCATCGAGTGCAAGGTGGCGTGGGAGGACGGCTCGTACGACCCGACCCTGAGCGCGGAACCCGTGTACGACTTCCAGGGCGCGCAGCACGCGTGCCAAGTGTCGGCCAGCAGCGGCGAGCGCAGCAAGAAGTTGATGCTGATGGCGTGTCTGCGCGACTCGACCGTCTGCACGGACAGACTGGGCGTGACCTTCTTCAGCCCGGTCGAGGTGGCGGCCAAGGAGGTCGTCCTCTCCGAGCAGGCTGGCCAGGTCGTGCTCTCGGGGCCCAGCCAGGCCCTGGGCAAGGTCAGGGTGGAGCCGACGCCCGAGCTCGAGATTGGCCACGCCAGGGAAGTCGGCCCGGACGCCATCGCCATCCCCGTCCGGCTGACGGACGCCTTCTGGGCCCTGCCCCACGCCCACCGCTACGGCAGCGTCCTCCTCAGGATCAACTCGCCCCTCACTGGTTAATATCTTAACTGAATATTGTTTTTTTTTTTTATTATTTAACTTATTCAGGAAACCAATCATAAAGAGTTTTCGAAATTTTTGAATGTTTAGAAAAGGAATTTCTGAAATTGTGACTTTCTTCGTTTTTTGGATTATTTAGAAAAACTTTAAAACGGGGTTTACTTTGCAACCACAAATTCTAGAGTGGTGAAAATATCATGTCTAGACTCATTTTCCATACTGAACAACTTTTCTGTTAACACCAAAGCTGTAGGTCAAAGGTAAAGGTCACTTTTGAGTGATTTTATTATTTTTTTAGTAAAAAAAAGTCCAATTTTGGGTATGAAGGTCCCTTTTGATTTATATCCAGGTATAGGAAAGTTGTAGTTTTTGTTATTCTACATTATCTGTTTAATTTTGGAGAATTGTTCAATATTTAGTTTTTTTTTTCACAAATAGCGTCCATACTTTGAAAACCAACAATTTTTCCTTTTATTGACAAAAACTCTGTAAGAACAACCATTATTTCATATCAAATTGGTCTCCGGTTATTTCAAATTTAATAAATTTTGCTTATTTTCTAATTCACAGTACTAAAAATATTTGACTTTCCACCCTTTTTGTTACTTCCTCCGAGATGTTTGAGACAAATTAGAAATTAAAAATTATCCTCTGAAAAGTTAATATTTTACTTTTAAAATAATTATGAAATCGCTTCAAAGTGACCTTAGCCTTTGACCTACAGCTTTGTTGTCAATGGAGAAAAATATTTTTCAAAATGTCAAAATTTTTAGAGTTGAACTTTTCCTTTTTAAAAATGAAACTCCAAATGAATGTGAATCTCTCTTAAAGAGTTATTTTGGATAAATTTTGGTAAAATATTTTTTCTTCAATCCGCAGGCCAAACATTCATTCTGCCCGTGCTGGTGGACAAGAACGTGCAGGCGCCCATGTGTCCGAACAAACCGGCCCTCTTCACCGCGTCCTGGGACCTCCTCTACAGTTTCCGCACCGAGATCATCTTCGCCATCTGCATGGTCATCGTCATTGCCGCCGCCTCCAATCGTAACTTTTAAAATGTTTCCATTTTCTTTTTAACGAAAAATCTGGATTTGCAGTTTACTTCGCCAACAACTCGTACACCAGCAGAGGCTTTGCACCCCCGCCTCAGCAAGTCCAGAGTAATTTATTTTGAAAAATTGAAAAGTTTGATTCCTAATGAAATGTCCAAATTTGCAGACAACTCGCCCTTTTTGAACAGGAGCGGTCCGTCGACCTCCCCGAACGGCAGCAACTCTTCTTACCAGTCAAACTTGCACACTCCAGGTAATCAAAGGAAATTTTTCACTAAAATTAATATTTCTCAACTTTTTTCGTCGATAATTGATTTTACTTTGTAAATGTGATTTGTTTGAATTTTTATCAATTTTGGTCTTGTCAATTTTGAGATAAAAATAATTTTTGAAAATTCCCATCAGAAATAATGTTTGAATTAGAAATTCAGTTCTTCCCTGGAACTGAAATCTACAAACTAAATTTAATGCAGGGTAAAATCACCATCAAAATAAACTTAATTTTTTTTGGCCTTGAGTAAATTTTGAACCTAAATGGATTTTTTGCAGGCCGCTTTGCTTACACAGGTTACGTATACGGCAATCAGCAGCTGGACAACTCGTGGGGCTCGCCTGGACGACACTGATCGAGACTCTTCTGGACATTTAAGTGACCTTAAACAGTGCAAGTGATTACGTTATAAGAAGACTCGGAGTTGATTCGTCGAGTGTCATAAGTTCGCTGGCCTTTTTCAGTTTTATTTTTGCGAACACATTTCAGTTTTCATTCTAAGAAGTAAGCTAGGATTACTCAATGTTCCTGTATTGCATCTCCACCGAAAGTAATTTCTAATTTTCTCACAAGCGATGAAAGAATCCAGGGATAGTTTTCAATGATGAAATGCAAATAAGTGGAGCTGTGATAAAGCCATGGTTAATTTAATTTACGAAAACTCGCTCTAATTGCAAACACACAGGTTGTACTTAATTCTGAATAAAAGTGTTGATTGTAATGATTTTTGTACGAGAAATAATAAAATTGAACTGTCAAAAAGTGTTGTTTCATTCCGTATCTGAACAAAATTATGAAAAATTGTTTCATTATCATTTTAAAAATTTAAATAGAAAACATGAAATAACAGGGCACAAAGTGCAGGTTGCACCAACATTTCATTTTGTGGCCCAAATTGTATTTGAACATATACAACAATTGCTAATCCAACGTGGTTTCAAATTGCGCTACACTTCTAAAAACGCCTGCAAGATTCGAAGTTATGCAACGCTTTAAGCATTGCTGACAGGTAGGTTGCAGCATTTCAACGAGACTTGAAAAAGTAAAAAATACAGCCTGAATGTTCATGTTTTCATTGAACGATTAATCACCTTAAAATCAGTATTCTCAGTTAACACAATTTAAACGATTTTGAAGATCTGAACCTGAAGCCTGTCAAGAAAAATCTGATTTCATAATCGTAAAAATGGTTCTACCCTCAGTAGGCCCGAGGTCGTATTGAAATAAGTTTCCCAACTTCAATTAGTAAAATCAGTAACAATCTGCAAAAGCTGATAAATTGAAAATTATGAGAAGCAAAACTAAAATATTTTCTACTTTTTAGAATAACATTGCAAATAATTCTTTGGAAAACTTGAAATTAACTTTTTCACTGCCCTGGGGCAGGTTTGAACTTAATTGCCGTGGCGTCAGCTGACGGGAATTTTGTTTGATCGGAAACATCCGAGGGCTCCGACTTTGCAGCAACCGCCGGAGAGAACAATTCTACTTCTTTAATTTTACTGGTCAACAGAACAGGAAATAAAATTCTTCAAGTTGTCTCAGGCAAATAAGGAATGCAAAGTGCAGACCAGACTGAAGTTACAAAAGGATGTTGGCGAAACACAGAGAAAATGCAATGTTAGGTAAAAAAAATCTTCTTGAGCATGATTTTGATGTAGAATACTTATAATCAAAAATAGCCTATGTGACATTTCCACCAAATTCTCTCTCCTTGATAAAAAAAAGTCTTCAAAACTCTTAATTTGATGAAAAGGGTTCAACATTGTTTTTTGTAAACCTATCTGAGCCTCTTCCAATCTTTCAGGCCGCAATTTTGTCAAACTCTTTCAACGTGGCACCGAAATTAAAGCATTCATAATGTGCTAATAAACCGTTGACCAAATGGTCCAAAAATATGAGGAAAAATGAAACACGCCCCCCCCCCCCCCCCCCCCGTTCTCCAGGCATGGATCAAAACAATTTTCTCATTCTTATATAACTCAGTTATCAAATATTAGATTTCACCAATACAAAAAATACAAGAGAAATAAATCAAATTTGTGAAACTAAATTCCACTTTTACATTCACGTCGCAAAGCAACGAGTCCTCAAAAGCAACAAAGTACAAAATATTGTTGGCTAATCCGAACTAAGCAAACGTTTCAGAGCTCCTCATCTTCATTAAGACGTTTTAGCAAAATGCATGATCTAAATGCCATTTTTGCACCGCTTGTTGCAGAAGATGAATTTCCCATCAAAAATCTCTTGAGCCATTGACTTTATTGTCCTTGTTGACAGCTTCTTCAGCTTTAAATTAGGTCGAGGACTTGGATTTAGCGGCCTCGACAGACAGAAGCCACTTTCCATTGCCGAGCATTCAATGGTCGAAATTGGGACACCCTCCAGCATGTCTGAATTCTTTGTGTCTCTCTCGGAGCTGAAACAAATAATATGACATGACTTGAAGCATAAAATACTTATTCTGAGGCTGCGGTGATTTGATTTTGTATAAAATTGTTTGTTTTTTTACCTTCATCAGCAGGCGATGTTGGAAATTCGCCAAGTTGATCGAATAGTGATCATGTCAGGGCAAACTCGGATGAAAAGGACAGAGACTGCAGTCGGGAACTTTTCGTTGGCTTTGGTTCCTCGGAGCAAATCTTCCAAAGTGGAGCGAGGCCGTTTTACCCTCGATGTCATCTGCTGTTTACAACCAAAGAACCGCACGTTAATTTAATTTTGAACTCACCACAAATATCGCTTAATTTTTAATTAGTATGCGTCTTTATTTCATAAAAACAAAAAAAAAGAGTGGGTTTGTGACCTAAAACGCAGGAGAGCACAACCCGCTCACGCCTCTTGTCCAGAAATGAGACTTTCGCGCATGAGAATTGAGGCTGTCAGTATTTTAAAACGGGCGGTCTGTGTTTTGAAAAATCTATAATCACTAAAATTTAAAAAAAATTCATGTTTTCGAGACTCTTGCCTGCAGTATATAGAAGTTGGTGTGGCAGGTCAGTGTTGGGGACAAAAGCGACGGCTCCAAATTCAATTCATTGCACACCTGAATTTTACTTCCTTTTCTTGTCAAAACAGAGCAGACGGTGCACCTCAAGCTTAAAATTAACAAGTTTTCTCCTACATATACTCAATTCTAAGTGCTCCATAGTATTTCATTCCGGCTCAACTATGTCTGCCCCACGTAAAATAGCAAATTATATATAGAATGAAGGCGGGAACAACCTTGGCGCTCGATATGGTTCCGGACGGGGCGAATTTTCTCCTCAATATAAAAATCATCAAAACTCCTGGCGAACAAGTCCACACACTGGTTTTTTTATACCCATCTGGAGGTGCTCTCAGTTAGGCTCTTTCGACATGAAGGGGCTGAAATCAGAACATTCATAATGTGCTAATTAACAAAACTACGAGGATAAATGAAACGCCTTATTGGTTCGTGTAATATAAATTAAAACGATTCATTCATTCTTATAACTTCCTTGCAAATATTTCAGGTTCAACTCATTAATATATTAATTTTTCAAGAATACAAAAAAATACGAGATAAATTGAAAATATAAATTGAAATTCCACCTTTTGTGTCCTTGAAGACAACATAGCCCAGAATCTCACAGCCTTATTGTGGCTTAAGACATATCTGCTGCTTATCTGTGATTCTGTCAAACAAGTTCTTGCTGAAAATGGTTTGGCATTTTTGCCAGATCCTTTGTGCGCCGCTCGTAGCAGCGCATGAATTTGTCCACCTACACTTTTTAGTCAATAAGCAACCTGAAATTGACCTTGTCCTTATTCGCAGCTTCTCCAGTCCTATAAAAGTGGACAAGGCCTCAACAGAACCGACCTGGCAGCCGAAAATGTTGCCAAATGAAAGGCGGAGTAAATTACTTAAATGGTTTCGATTTCAATGTGGTCTTGTCGAGGTTCACGATGGACACGTTTACCAAGCTGGACATAATTGCTGAAGCCACATGTACGAATAATTGAGTCAGTCTTCGGCATGCCAAAATTCGTTCTACTCTCTCAGCAGAGCTGGAAAAAATGACTTTAATCATTAAGACTTCTAAGATATAATTTTTAATAAAAATGATCGATTTTTACCTTCACCGACGCTATGTTGAAAATTTACAAGGCCCAAGTCGAACAAATAGAGTGATCATGCCAGGGCAAACTCGGATGGAAAGGCTGTGGTCGGGAACTTCTCGATGGCCTTGGTCCCTCGAAGCAAATCTCCCGGAGTGGAGAGAGGCCATTTGACCTGCTGTTTAAAACTAAACAACCATACGACGCGCTTCGACGTCAATTATTTTTAATTTTGTACTCACCACAATGATTTACTATGTTTTAAAATGTTTATTTTACAATATTTACTATATTTTTAAGCATAATTAACAAATTCTTTCATAGTAATTACACAAAAAGTGGGACACGAAACCAGCTCACGCCGACTTGTCCTGGAAAAAGACCATCTTGACAGACAATGTCATAAAAGAGGCTTTTTACCCTTTTTACAATGCAACGTACCGGAGATCCAGTCTACTTTTGGAAAAAATCTAGTCCCACTTTTTGTAAGACTCAATTGATATGGTCAATAATCATGGCTGCAGTTTGTAGTTTGTTTGGCAGGTCTATAAAATATTCATGTCTATAAACTGAGAGCGATTATTTAAACTTCTCTTAGGAATAATTAAATTTTGGTACCTCAACGCCACATTTCTCGTGTGGCCTGCACCATCTTAATACTTTTTCTTTCCAATTAGCCTTGACGATTTTCGATTTTGGCATTGGAAGACTTCAAGTTTTAAAAATCACATACTTTTTCTTTGAAGCAAGAGAAGAAAAGATTGAAATTGGGCGATCTGCCGCCATGGTCTGTTCACCTCCGTTGGGGACGACGAAATTCTTCGGTCGAGACAGCAATGCAAGTTTCGGTTGCAAACAGGAAGACAACAATGAAAGCCTCCACACCAGAGAGAGCATTGTTGGGCGATCCATGGCCGCATCCGTTGAGCCATCCGCTGGACAATGAATTTTCTTGCCTGAAATTTGCATAACAATCGTTCGAATTTTGAAAGAACCAAAATTAGTCACTTATTTTATAGTTCTCAGACCAATGTCACAGTATTCATTTAATTGATAAAAAAAGAAATTTAACTCTAATTTTCAGGCACAAACACGTTTTATTAGCTGAGAAGGTCACTTTTTGAACAATTAAGGCTCAGGGATATTGTCACAATTTTCCAACAACTTATTTGCGCTACTTTGGGACACTTTGACACTTAAAAAAATAGGAAATAAATTCAAATTTTGATGGCAAATTTAATAATCCAAAGGTACATGACCTCATTGGTGGAAATTACACAGCGTAAATTCTCATAGTTTCCACCAACTTGAGCAACAACTATTTTCAATCAACTGCCTGATCATTTGTAAGAAAATAAAAATAATTTTAAATTGAGGCAAATTTTGGAGGTATGACTTGATAATCACCATTTTAAAACGCGACACGTGTCTCATCCGATGAGGTCGAATTTGCTCCGCTGCAAATTTCACTTTAGACTCGTTGGTGATCCTCGAGGCCAGGACATCGATCGGTCCGAATAGTTTGTTGTGGCGGGCGCGTGCGACATGAAACAACAACATTTTCGTACTCTAACTGATGACAAACTTCTGAGGGCAAATAAAACTAGATCTTCAATCTGCCGTGATTGAAGGGAAAACTGGTAATGAAGAGGGAGGGAAATCTTCTTGCGACGTGCTTAAGACTAAGAAGATTTAGTTGAAGGTAAATTCTAAACTGGGCAAAGGTGAAATTACACAAACATTGTTTTGAAAAAGGTACTATTTCGGAATCTAGGCAGGATAAAAAAAAATTGCTATTCTGCTGGATCGCTCAGGTCAGGAAAAGGTCCTGAAAACTGTGAAAACTTTGTGATAAATGGAATTGCCACAACTTCAACCTGCCTTTGCAGACGGTATGCACCGTCAGAGAAACTTATCAAAGAAGGGCATTTATTGGTATCATTAAAGTTGAAAAAAGAATATTGAGTTAAAACGCCTAACAAAAAAAAAAAAAACAAAAAACAAACAAACAGGAATTCAGCCTGGTGAGAGCGTTAAAAATCTGATGCTGGATATGCCATACTCGGTCGATCAAGTCAGGAAAGGGTCCTTCCTGCTGGTGCTGCTTTCAACACGACAGATACATGAAATTGCCGCAACTTCAACCTGCCTTTCCATACGGTATGCACCGTCAGAAAAACTTATCAAAGAAGGGCATTTATTGGTATCATTAAAGTTGAAAAAAGAATATTGAGTAAAAATGCATGACCAAAAACAACAAAAAACAAACAAACAGGAATTCAGCCTGGTGAGAGCGTCAAAAATCTGATGCTGGATATGCCATACTCGGTCGATCAAGTCAGGAAAGGGTCCTAAATACTGCGCCGCGATCAACACACATGAATTTGCCACAACTTAGTCGTACACGTAGGAGTACAAGAGTCAGAATTATCTCATTATTTGACCGTGTGGAGAGCTTTCTGTAAATTTCAGCTTCATGGGCGTCTTGCAAATACCGACTTTTCATTCCATAGTGAGCAGCAATTTTTTAAATTGAAATGAAAAGGCAAAATTGGGAGAAAAAGCAGAAAATGAAATAAGAGTTGGTGAATTTACTCTAAAATGGGAGAATGTTTTTGACAGAGAAACAAATCAAAATGGACCGTTGCTTACTCAATTGTTGTGTCTAAATTTTTAACAACGCAATCAGATAAATTGAAGAAACTGTTTAAAATTGTATTACTAAAGTAGGTCATGGAACTTCTCACCTGCTCTGAGGTGGTCAAACTTGAAGAGCGACCATCACCTCGTTCTCTGTGGCCTCATCTGTGAAAAGGACGCGATTCAGTGAGTTTTTTTTTTTTTGCCACTGAAGCTGCTGTGACAAAAATTAACAATAAATTTTTTGGAAAATAAAACATTATAATGTGGTATTGTAATAAAATTGTGCAAATGATAAACTTATTCATTTTTTTTTAAAGATCATTGCCTAATTATGGGCAAATTGCCAAAACAATTAGATTATGAATTCAGGTTTGAACGGATGAATAATAAAACTGCCGTGGAGTGAAAAAAAAATGAAAACAGCAGCCACAAAATTTGCATGCAAACAGGAAATCTAGCTTTTTTTAATGAAAGCATAAAGAATTTAAATTGCCAAACAACGAAAATAGTTGACAGCTGCTTTCGAAGATGGATTATTAGACGTATTTTCTTTTACCACCCCAGGCCATAGGAAAACGCATCGGAATTATGTGTTTTCTACCAGCAACATTTTTTACATGAATGCATTTTTTTCTAAAATGGAATATTTGTGAAATTTTAAACAATGTAATAAAATAAATTGAATACCTCTGAGCGGCAATCAATTTGTGGATTTGCAGACAACATGGCGCAGAGATCGATTGAAAAGTTCGATTCACTGATTCAGTCAACGGCAAGGCTCGCTTCAGACTGCTTAGTGAGACCAACAGCGTGCCATTTAGGTCAGCCAGCGTCTGTCTCTCACGCTGGAACAAAAAGTAAAAGGAACAACACAGATGCTCTTTGGGAAAGTGAAACTTAAAACAGAGTTCACGAACTTTTGACAACTCAAACCCTTAGGAAAGAATACAAGATGCGCGAGATTTAAAATTCCGAAGTCAATCTATTGGCGTAAATAACAAAAACTGCAAGACCTCATCCTAAATTTTTTTGAAATTTTCAGCTTTCTCAGTCATCATAAAGTAAGAATACGGCATTAAAATGATGATTCCAAACTTCAAAATAAATATCCCTAAAATAGCTAAATACCGAATTTTGAGAGAGGGACAAGGTTTACAAATCACAATAGCACCTAACTCGTTACCTGCTCCAGTTTGTGAATTTTTGCCAATTGGAAACCACAGGGAACGAAGAAAAGCGCAAGATTTCAAATATTGAACCAATTTTGATATTATTTGGTAAATATATATAAAACTGAATTCCTTAACCTAATTATCATCGTCTCTTTCTGATTTCTCGGACATCATCAAAGAAGAATCACAGGAAAGTGTTGATTTATAAGAAAGTGTTGCTAAAATTAATAACAAAACTGACAATTCCAGACGCAGGGAAAAGACTTGCTAATTTCCAAACAGCACAAAACATCGCACTTCGCCACAGGCCAAGGTCGAGTCATGAAATTTACCAACTGCAAATTCATTAAGAGGGAAGAAAAGCGCGAGACACGAAATTCTTAGCAAACTTTTCGGGAAAATTACTGAATTTTAAATTCTTAAACCTAAATTTCTTGGTTTTTTTTTCTTATTTTTCAGCTTTCTTGGCAACAACATAGAAAAATACGGCGGAAAGTGATGATTTTAAATTAAGTTTTGTTAAAATTAAGAAGAAAACCGACTTTACAAGAAGCAGGGACAAGAGTTTCTACTTTTTCAAACAGCACAAAACATCGCACTTCGCCACAGGCCAAGGTCGAGTCGTGAAATTTACCAACTGCAAATCCTATAAGAGGGAAGAAAAGCGCGAGACACGAAATTCTTAGCAAACTTTTCGGGAAAATTACTGAATTTTAAATTCTTAAACCTAAATTTCTTGGTATTTTTTCGCATTTTTTAGCTTTCATGGTCATTTACATAGAAAAATACGGCGGAAAGTGATGATTTTAAATTAAGTATAAATTTAAATGAAAACTGACTTTAACAGACGCAGAGAAAAGACTTGCTAATTTTCAAACAGCACAAAACATCGCACTTCGCCACAGGCCAAGGTCGAGTCATGAAATTTACCAACTGCAAATTCATTAAGAGGGAAGAAAAGCGCGAGACACGAAATTCTTAACAATTTTTTCGGGAAAATTACTGAATTTTAAATTCTTAAACCTAAATTTCTCGGTCTTTTTTCGCATATTTTAGCTTTCATGGTCATTGACATAGAAAAATACGGCGGAAAGTGATGATTTTAAATTTAGTATTGTTAAAATTCGACTTTACCAGACGCAGGGAAAAGACTTGCTAATTTCCAAACAGGACAAAACATCGCACTTCGCCACAGGCCAAGGTCGAGTCGTGAAATTTACCAACTGCAAATCCTATAAGAGGGAAGAAAAGCGCGAGACACGAAATTCTTAGCAAACTTTTCGGGAAAATTACTGAATTTTAAATTCTTAAACCTAAATTTCTTGGTATTTTTTCGCATTTTTTAGCTTTCATGGTCATTTACATAGAAAAATACGGCGGAAAGTGATGATTTTAAATTAAGTATAAATTTAAATGAAAACTGACTTTAACAGACGCAGAGAAAAGACTTGCTAATTTTCAAACAGCACAAAACATCGCACTTCGCCACAGGCCAAGGTCGAGTCATGAAATTTACCAACTGCAAATTCATTAAGAGGGAAGAAAAGCGCGAGACACGAAATTCTTAACAATTTTTTCGGGAAAATTACTGAATTTTAAATTCTTAAACCTAAATTTCTCGGTCTTTTTTCGCATATTTTAGCTTTCATGGTCATTGACATAGAAAAATACGGCGGAAAGTGATGATTTTAAATTTAGTATTGTTAAAATTCGACTTTACCAGACGCAGGGAAAAGACTTGCTAATTTCCAAACAGGACAAAACATCGCACTTCGCCACAGGCCAAGGTCGAGTCGTGAAATTTACCAACTGCAAATCCTATAAGAGGGAAGAAAAGCGCGAGACACGAAATTCTTAGCAAACTTTTCGGGAAAATTACTGAATTTTAAATTCTTAAACCTAAATTTCTTGGTATTTTTTCGCATTTTTTAGCTTTCATGGTCATTTACATAGAAAAATACGGCGGAAAGTGATGATTTTAAATTAAGTATAAATTTAAATGAAAACTGACTTTAACAGACGCAGAGAAAAGACTTGCTAATTTTCAAACAGCACAAAACATCGCACTTCGCCACAGGCCAAGGTCGAGTCATGAAATTTACCAACTGCAAATTCATTAAGAGGGAAGAAAAGCGCGAGACACGAAATTCTTAACAATTTTTTCGGGAAAATTACTGAATTTTAAATTCTTAAACCTAAATTTCTCGGTCTTTTTTCGCATATTTTAGCTTTCATGGTCATTGACATAGAAAAATACGGCGGAAAGTGATGATTTTAAATTTAGTATTGTTAAAATTCGACTTTACCAGACGCAGGGAAAAGACTTGCTAATTTCCAAACAGGACAAAACATCGCACTTCGCCACAGGCCAAGGTCGAGTCGTGAAATTTACCAACTGCAAATCCTATAAGAGGGAAGAAAAGCGCGAGACACGAAATTCTTAGCAAACTTTTCGGGAAAATTACTGAATTTTAAATTCTTAAACCTAAATTTCTTGGTATTTTTTCGCATTTTTTAGCTTTCATGGTCATTTACATAGAAAAATACGGCGGAAAGTGATGATTTTAAATTAAGTATAAATTTAAATGAAAACTGACTTTAACAGACGCAGAGAAAAGACTTGCTAATTTTCAAACAGCACAAAACATCGCACTTCGCCACAGGCCAAGGTCGAGTCATGAAATTTACCAACTGCAAATTCATTAAGAGGGAAGAAAAGCGCGAGACACGAAATTCTTAACAATTTTTTCGGGAAAATTACTGAATTTTAAATTCTTAAACCTAAATTTCTCGGTCTTTTTTCGCATATTTTAGCTTTCATGGTCATTGACATAGAAAAATACGGCGGAAAGTGATGATTTTAAATTTAGTATTGTTAAAATTCGACTTTACCAGACGCAGGGAAAAGACTTGCTAATTTCCAAACAGGACAAAACATCGCACTTCGCCACAGGCCAAGGTCGAGTCGTGAAATTTACCAACTGCAAATCCTTTAAGAGGGAAGAAAAGCGCGAGACACGAAATTCTTAACAAACTTTTCGGGAAAATTACTGAATTTTAAATTCTTAAACCTAAATTTCTCGGTCTTTTTTCGCATTTTTTAGCTTTCAAGGTCATTTACATAGAAAAATACGGCGGCAAGTGATGATTTTAAATTTAGTATTGTTAAAATTAAGAAGAAAACCGACTTTACCAGACGCAGGGACAAGAGTTTCTACTTTTTCAAACAGCACAAAACATCGCACTTCGCCACAGGCCAAGGTCGAGTCGTGAAATTTGACAGCTGCAAATCCTTTAAGAGGGAAGAAAAGCGCGAGACACGAAATTCTTAACCAACTTTTCGGGAAAATTACTGAATTTTAAATTCTTAAACCTTAATTTCTTTGTCTTTTTTCGCATTTTTTAGCTTGTATGGTCATTTACATAGAAAAATACGGCGGCAAGTGATGATTTTAAATTTAGTATTGTTAAAATTAAGAAGAAAACCGACTTTACCAGACGCAGGGAAAAGAGTTTCTACTTTTTCAAACAGCACAAAACATCGCACTTCGCCACAGGCCAAGGTCGAGTCATGAAATTTACCAACTGCAAATCCTTTAAGAGGGAAGAAAAGCGCGAGACACGAAATTCTTAGCAAACTTTTCGGGAAAATTACTGAATTTTAAATTCTTAAACCTAAATTTCTTGGTCTTTTTTCGCATATTTTATCTTTTATGGTCATTTACATAGAAAAATACGGCGGAAAGTGATGATTTTAAATTTAGTATTGTTAAAATTTAAAAGAAAACCGACTTTACCAGACGCAGGGAAAAGACTTGCTAATTTTCAAACAGCACAAAACATCGCACTTCGCCACAGGCCAAGGTCGAGTCGTGAAATTTGACAGCTGCAAATCCTTTAAGAGGGAAGAAAAGCGCGAGACACGAAATTCTTAGCAAACTTTTCGGGAAAATTACTGAATTTTAAATTCTTAAACCAAAATTTCTTGTTTTTTTTTCTTATTTTTCAGCTTTCTTGGCAACAACATAGAAAAATACGGCGGAAAGTGATGATTTTTTAATAGTAATTAATACGATAACGTAAAATGCCAAATGCTCGACTTAAGGGACGAAAAAAATCTCCAACATGCAAAACGCGAATATTTTTTGGCCGTGTTTTTTTTCAGCCTCGATTTCGCAAACCGGCGGCCACCACGGGCGGCCAAAGTCGGAAATTCTTGCAAAATCAAACTGTCTCGATCGCGCCCAAACTTCGCCTACCCCCCCTAAACCGACCCCCGCGAGCCCGAAAAACCGGTCAAAACTGGCAAAAACCGGTTATTTCCGGGAGAAAAACCGGTTTTAAATTTTAAAAATTAAATATCTCGAAAACAAACCATACGATATTTTTTTTTCATCGATTTTTAGACTCCCCGACCCCGAATTAGGTTATGATTAAATTTTCAGAAATTTAAAACACGTCGTTTTCGAGCAAATCGCGAAAACCATGAATCGCAAAAATAAAATAGAAAACGGCCGAAAACCTTGAATTTCTCCTCTCCGTATGGAAAACCCCCCCGCTGACCCCGAATCGGGCGTCGAAAAAATTCCAGGACCACCCTGAGTACCTTTTTGGGTCACCCTGACCATCTTCGGAAGGTCGTAGGTCAAAAATTCGCGCATTTTCGGATTCCT